ACACATGAGTGGAGAGATTTTTGTTTTTCAACGCGTCAATCTCAGGAACTAATGGATCGAATTGAAAAAATATTTTCGTGATGGTTGGACCATATATCAGGCAAGGCTTTAAAACGTCAGGCTGTGACCAATACGAGCGGAAAACCGAAGGAAATATGGAATAATCGGCGAAAATTAGTAATCTTTGAGGGCTTCCGTTGCGTACGCTGTGAAAACGGTTCAAGAAACCAAAAAATATGTCTAATAAAATGATATTGATTTCATATCCCCAGTATATCTATATTTTAAGATTAACTCGCAAGAACGACGTCATGGGTGACAGCTATAAATGAATAAGCTGAAGAGGTTGTTTACAAACATAAATTATATGCCCAAAATAAGGCGGATGCATCGCGGACACGGCTAGTTTATCATATTCGCGGTCACTTATGACTGGAGCTTATACAAAACCGAGTCAAAAGCAAGGTTGACTTCACAATACACGCTAAACTAGGATAAGCCCATTCAAGCTCGCGTTAAATTGTTCCAGGTTGTCAGCGCGAGTGACAAACTATTCGAGAACAATGCCTTTTCAATATCGTTGACGAAAATAAAGAAATGCTCAAGGCCCGTCCATTTCACGGACGTTTTCACCGTAACGGGCTTCTTCTAATACAATCAATTACGCCTTCCCACACTTTCCAAACGCATTGTGGCGAGAGACAATCGTAATATCGCTCGATTATATGCATTTTTAAAAAGTCCAGTCAAGTAACTAGTTTTGACTTCTGTAATTCTACCAAGAAAGCGAGTTTCATTACCTTTCTTCTATACACTTACAGTCAATGTAATCGTAGGTTAACGTTATTCTTGGTTTCAACGGTTTAAGACGCAAAATATATTAGTTAAATGATTTGAAGTGCTTTTTAGATGCTATACATATAAAAATCGCACTGCTCAAATTTAAATACAATCAACTAGCGAGTTAGACGACTTGTCAATGTCGCCTAACTCGCACTTGTTAGACGATATTGGCAATTAAACAGGGGTGAATACAGAAAATTTCACATATAAACTTTTTTCATGTGCTTTCTGTTACCATTTATTGATAGCGAGAATAGGGGGACATAAAAACGTTTGTTGTACAGCCACCAATCTTAACACCTTTTTTCCAGTATAAAAAATGTAAATAACAAGTTAGAGCGGATAAGGTCCTTTTATCCTTGAAGCCTATGTATTCCCTACGGAATTTCAAAGATATTGATCTTGTAATCTGCTATTGAACACAGCATAAACAACATTAACTTCGAGTAAAACTTTCGTGAATCAGACTACAATAACATTTACTATCGACGCAAACAATAAAAAGGTCGTAAAAAAAGGTCCTACCGGAAGTAGGCTTTCCAATTTATCGATGAATGCAATCAAAAGGCCAAATAATTAACTTTTTATTGCTAGCCGCTAACAATATTATTTCGAACAAGAAGTGAGTCAACACAAACAATAGTGAAATTCAGTAACCGCTTTCCAACTTTTCAATCCAATCTCAAATTGATAAAATAAAAAGTTTGAAAGGCGAAATAAAAATAATGGCAATATGAAAGAGAGTTTAAAACGATCGGACACGAACTTGTAGTGTAAGAGCTGAATATTATAATTTAAATACTCAACGCCACCCTTTTTTATCAAGAAAGTTATCATAACCTTAAACTTGTAAGATTGTCAAAACCAACGAGTCAAAACAAATATATGTATACTAGCTGTGCCTGCGACTTTGTCCACGTGGTATAATGACTTGAGGTAGAATTTTTATTATTTAGGCTAATTTACTCTCATTAATATAATTTTTTTTTGCTTACCCAGTTCTCATATACTCAAGTTTGTCAGTATATAATACATCTATACTAATAATATATAATACATCTATACTAATAATATTAGTATAGATGTATTATATACTGACAAACTTGAGTATATGAGAACTGGGCAAGAAAAAAATTATATTAATGAGAGTAAATACTCTCATTAATCAGGTCTCGACATTGCATAATTTTTAGAGATGCAACGGATATCCGGTTACTATTCGGTATCCGGCCTATCCGGCCATTATTTTACTATCCGGCCGAATACCGGATAGTTGCGCACTATTCGGCCGGATACCGAATAGTGATTCTTTTTGCTATTTAACTTTGAAAAATGTTAGTATGTATACTACAAAAATTGATAATTTGTTGATAATTGATAAATTACCAATATTCGTTTATTAGTTTAAAAATCGTTAATAAATTTAAAAAAATTTCGACTCGGCAAAACTTAACCGGCATCGTCAGCGTTCCGAGCTGTTGCTCTACCAATTGTGCTACCAGTCCTACACCTATCTTGAATTTTTTCAACTTATTGATACATCACCTCTCATAATGTAATTTCAACCTTAACACTTGTGGATTAAGGTTCAACGTCTTATGATTTGCAGCTTAAGAAATCGTCAACCACGGAACCTATGGTTCAATTCCTGCGAGTCAAAAAATTTTACAATTTGTTTTCGATTTTTTAAATTATATAGTCCTTCATGTCAATAATATGTAAAAAATAATAAAGTTTTCATTCGTTTATTAGTTTTAACGTACAATTTAAACTTATCAAAATCCATTCAACCAATGGTAGCGTATCGTATGTTAATTTTTAATCAAATAAAATAAGAGTTACCATATATAAATAAAAAGAGAGAACAATACGTAACAGGTTGAAACTTGCACGAGGCGCGCCCCCAAACTAAAATATACATAGGTATCGTTTGGCTGGCCAATATTCGGCGGCGATACCGGATATTCGGCCAGTCGTGAGGCCGAATATCCGGTATTCGGTATCCGGCCAAACAACTATCCGTTGCATCACTAATAATTTTTCAAGCGTTAGCCTCTATAAGCGCCAGTTTAACTATTATATTTTGCTATCAATGACTCTAATTAAATTTTAAGGGACTTTTAAAGTTATGTTACTAGCGTGATACACTTAAAATTGTGTTGCTTTTGAATTAATGAATTTACGAAAGTGATGTTAATCTATTATTGCGCTGAACATACATATATGTTATACTCATCCAAACACTTACTTTGTTTTTACTTACGCCATTATTGTTCATTTCTATAAATCTCTATATAACTTATAGACTGACCGCCTCTCAAACGCTGTAAGCTAGAAGCTTGGGTTTCTGAGAAGCCTCTATGGGAATAAGAGATCGCGTTCTCTTGAACTCTTATTTATCCAGGTCTGTCTGTATTATTATATGTATTTTTTTCACCATATATCGACGTTAGCCTTCTATACCATCTAGTGCGTGGATGTAGGCTAAGTTAATAAATAATTTAATACAATTTTAATTGCAGTTATAACGGGAAATTTACTTTTTACAGTGCTTGCTTTTAAACTTATTTACAAATTATTTAAACAGGGAGACGGAGTGACCACGGCCGCTGCAAAGCATCCGAAACGTCGGAACATTTTTTTAAATAAGTTTAAAAAAAATTAAATAATACAATTAGCGTTTTAAACAGTTAATTTTTTTATTTAAATATGTACAATATTCGCGTAAACTACAGACAGTATTTAAAGCATCATCTCTTAAACTAACATTGTCAATATAAATAAAACGAGTCTAATTGACCGCGCGTGGCGTCCGAAATCTCGCGGACGTCTCAATCGCAGGGGCATAGAGAATGTGATGTCATCGTGACTTGCGATAGCAATAAGGTTATTCTTTATGGTCTATGGTGTATAAATAGCTACTGTATAGATTCTATAATGATAAACTCGATAAAGTTTCTATAATTGTTTATATAATATATTAATATTGTCAGGTTTAAAACATAAGGTACAGACAATTCTTCATTCATCATAATAGGTGAGGGTGATACATAACATAAATTATTTCAATATAATATCAGCTATTAACTACTTTTTTGTTAAAGTTAAACGGTAAAACGAATCAGAGTACTGAGTCATTCGTTTTACCATTTGCTAATTCAGGCAGAAATAACCTAGACGAGCGTTTCGAAAATTTGCCATAAAAGGACTCTACACTAATCAACAACTGATAAAATCATATAATATGAAACAAAACACGACATTTAGTGGAACTAAGCCATGGTTCGGTCCTCAACTAGGGTAACACGTTTTGCACTATTTCCTGTCCTAGAAAAATTAAAAAGCAAAGATTTCCACAATTAAACAATTACACGGAGCTACACGTGACATGTCGCAAATGTCAGCCGCGTAAAAAGTTAATAGCGCTAATCATGACGTGATCTTTAACCACGCACGTAACCGGGACATAATTGCCTACTTTTTGCATCCCAACGATTTATTTTATTAAATTAGCACATCCAATTAGATCGAACATGACTTTCTTATACTTGTCTCTACTTGATTACACCGATTACACTTATACAAAACATTTTCCAACACGACACATTAGAATTTTTGTATCGTTGGAAATTCTAAATTGTGATTTTTCATTTAACACATGAATGTAAATCGTCCGAAAATGTTTTCTCGGTACTACTCTCGGTATTTTTCATTACGAAAGACTCTAACAGATGGCGGCAAAAACGCATGTACTTTCTTACTATTAGCGCCATCTAGTTTTGTACACTAATATTAACGTGAGAAATGTACAAGATACAGGACTAGTCTGTCACTACAAATAGCGCTACCTCTAGTCAACACGGAAAGCTTTTTACCGAATTTTGACATCAAACATCATCGCATTACACAGGCAAGGATACAATTATTAATGTTCATTGATATCAAACATTTTTCTAACAAAAAGAACAATATAATCCTTTACATGTATATTTATATAGTTTGTCATAGAAATCCTGGACCCAGGTTATAGTAGGGGATCAAAACTGCCACAAACATTAATTATCTGTTGGAAACAATCTTTTAGCAAGTTTAAATTTTGCGACATTTATGTATGACGTACGTCGTGCATTGAAAATTTGATATAGAGCAAAACAACCTCAGACTAAATAGAACTCACCTTGTAAACTGTCCAGTAAATACGTCAGCAGCTTAGCAGTACCGTTGTTGTCGTTGTATATCGAAAGCATTTCTTTGCTAAGCGGATTCCCGTGGAGTCCAAGGAGTTGGAGGTGAAAGAGCTTGCCCAGATCGTATGGTAATACTCTAAGGTAGTTATTGTGCAAGTGCAACTCTCTGAAATAGAAGACTTTAGGTTAATATCGACATTGGCAGCATATCAACACAGACATTAACATTTAAAGTAAGGATACTGATAACAATATTTTTGGCTTTTTACGTCGTAATATTTAAAATACTGTCATCTTTATGTAGTTTATTTTTAAAGTATAACTTTTTTATGTATAATCTTCTAGTTCTCTTTGTTTATTATGCATTTATTAATATCGTATCGTATGGGTTTTTTCTTCTTACAAGTAAAAAAATAGTTCTTAACGTTTCGCCATCATGAGAGATGGATGCAAACTTCGCTAAGTGGCTAAGATAAAGCTTAACATATGATGATGCCACTCATCACGCTAAATCGTCGAAAATCATTTCTCAATGACAATAGTCGAACAGTTTAAAAACTCAAGTAGGATTACAAGATGGCCATAAAAGGTTTATACAAGTTATAGGGGCACCCATGTACCCATTAATTACTGAAGTATTAAATATTTAATTTTTTATTGCATAACAACTAAATTCTTATAAAGGGCTCTAGAACAATTGAAGTGAATTATATAAATAAGGAATTAACTATTGGTACATCACGAATTACTTAAGCAAAGAGTCTTGTTACAAGATAAGAATATTATACAACAGTATCCATTTTGTATTGTAGGAATAAATATAATATTGTAAATGTCTTTCATTGTCAAGAGTTTATTTGTGTATGCGTTTAATTTAGAAAAAAATTCATAGTCTAGATACATCAATAATCTGTTTGTTTACATAACAATATTTTTATACCTTTGGTTTGTTATTTGATAAAAAAAAAAAAAAAGATAACAAGACTTCCAAGACTGATTATCTGAATACAATAACAAACAGGTACATATCGGGCGTCGGGTTTTAATTGAAATTCTCATATCATAAACGCCGCGACCTTTATTAATGACACTCGAATAACTAACATGAATATCGTTCGATGCAACTTTTAGCAAAGGTACGTTGTATTTACAAAATAATATCACCAATTTGCCGCGTTATCACGAACGAGGGTTCATTGACTTCGCGGCCGGTTTGTTTTGTGTATATAAACTAAGACTCGACGTGTTCAAGGATTTCAGCTGTTTTATCTATTATCATGATAATCATAAAATTTGCAAATCGCGCAAATTTCAACCTAATTTCCTATTCGAAACATGCTAATACACACAAACAAGATTAGGTTGTTTGACCTATGCGGAATGTTTTATTTTGTTTTGTGTATTTATATACTTTTGTGCTTCTAGCAATTTGAACCGGTTTGGTGACTAGTGAATACATCCAAAAATTCAATGTACAAAGTGAACGAAACTTTCACGGTAAAATGACGAAATTAGGGAGAAACTAGCATCATAACGGTTGCGCAAACAAAGACACTCTAGGCTTAGCCAATTTGTTAAATAGAAATATATCAGAAGTAACCAAGCGAACTTTTTAAAACTGTGACGTTGCAAACAGATAGTGACGTCACTTAATGTCAATGGCACGAAGACTAACGGTCCCAATGGATACTCGCTGCTATAAACACTGGATTGCACAGCTTTATAAAATAAACTCTAGAATATACTTTTCAAAAACAAGTTACGCGACGTAACGAATGATTATTAAAAGAAAAATAAATTCAAATTCAATCGAATTGCATGGTGCAATGTGTGTTTACAAGTCATAAATTAGAACAATGGTTGTATTCAATTTGTTCTTTTTGGCAGGGCATTCTGTTCTAATTAAGATAATTTTAATTTAATTTGTAGATTTGTATTAGGTACTATAAGAAACCAAACTTTTAGACTATTTACCTGAGTTGTATAAGATCTCCGAGTTCAGCGGGCAGCGTCCTTAGTTTATTGCTGGACAAATCCAGTGTGTGCAGGTTTACGAGCTGGCTGATGTCTGGGGGGATCCTCTGCAGAGAGTTGTCGTTTAGATATAACGCAGTCAAATGCGTTAGTTGAAACAGTTGGGGCGCTAGAGCGCGCACACCTCCTGTTATCTGGAATTGACATTGTATATTGTTAAAACATATAATTAAATAAAATTTCAATGTACGGTGAAGGCAAACATTCGAATTAAACTAAACTGAACGATGAGTACAATGTGAAAACTTCAGCTTATACTAATATTATAATTCTGAATAATATGTTTGCTTAAATTGATTTATCGAGGAAGGCTTTAGGGTATAAAACATGGACATTACAGTAATGTGGAAAAAATGGGAAAATTATTCATCATTTAAGGGTAAATGGTTCAAAATAACAATATATAATATGTGTATAAAAGAATGATCCTTCCTTAACTGATCTAAAAAAATGTAGGCGATAGTAAGTATGTCTATTTTAAAGATTACTTCGCAAAAACGAAGAGACGCGATCGACGTCGTGGGTAATAGCTATAATTTATAAATTTGAGGTTTGAAAAAACTAATATTGATGCCAAAAATAACTATTTTAAGCGAATAAAGGTGAACCTAGTTTTAACCTTATATAGAAAGAATACTTCATGCATGTTTTATAAATATATGAATTTGCGATTAGTTTATCAACAACGTCAATATCTCAAGTAACAATTCTACGAGTACGAGGATAGACTATTTAAACAAGACTTTCAATTCAACGAAATAGGTATCTATTATGAATCGCGATTGTGCCGCTTTTACTAAATAAACAGGTTAACAGGAGGTTCTGTTTACTAAATGATACGCAACTAACAATTTCAACGTGCTACGCCTAAGGCAGAACAAAGATTTACTGTACACTTCTAAATTATTTACTCAGGAATATTCTAGTTTGGTGCCTAATCTGACTCGAAGCACGTCTATTTTCCAAGCACTCATATTTTATTTAATGAGAGATCATAAAAACGTAGTTAAATTACTTAAATACACAAGGTATTTAGAAGCATTTAGCAAGTTTTACTAAATAGTTTGGACATTTAAATAAAAAACTTTTAACGTTTTAAAACGCGAAATATATTAAGTTACCTTTTTTTAATATTTCTTAAACTACAGCCCGACGTTTTAATCTGTTAAGTGTTTAATTTTAACGTCTACTCACGTAAACTACAGACAATCCTTTAATAGTTTAGACACTAATTTTTGCAGCTTAAAAAAAATTCCTACATAGTTATGCCCGCATAGCTACGTAGCTTAATTACTCAAGTACTCGAGGATTTTAGAAGTATTAGGGTTAAGCAAGTAGTTTAAACATTTAAATAAAGCACTTTAACGTTCTAGAACGCGGATGATATTAGTGATTGATTTTCATTTAACTACAGCCCGACGTTTTAAACGTAATTTTAGCATGAACCACGGCCAATACTTAAGTATTTAGACACATTTTTTTAAAAGGTATTTTATGACAGACGTAACGTAGTAAGTAAGTAAAGTAAAGCTACATATGCGAGACATTTTAAATGTGTAAGGAAATCTGTGAGGATGCCGAAAAAAACTTAATAACACGCAAGATGTCAACGCAGAAACCGGTCATCAAGCCGTGTGTTCCACGAATGAGTGACGCCATAGGATCGAATGGCTCACCTCGAGCGTATTCCAGACACCGCGCCTCCCAGATGCCCGCTCCGCCTCCGACATAATGTGGTACGTGCGCCCGCTAGCGCCCTCGTGCTTGTCTTTGTTGCGAGACATTCTGTCACCTGCAGTATATACAGAAATAACTTTAATCTCTACTATTCCAGCCTATCGAACGGTGCATTGGTCTACTGGTAGCAATGATGGCTAAAAATGATCAATGGGTTCGATCCCCACCAGGTCTAACATGTTTCTAATTATTCAATTTATAATTTTCCTCAGTATGGAAACTTGGATATTGAATGGGTAGGAATATAGAGATTCCGTCCGAGTCACTAACCACCGTACACAGATGAAAAATCCGTGAAGCTTAATCGCGTTTCTGTTTCAGTCTGTGGATTTCCGAATATTCATAGCCTAAATAGGTCGACAGCGCATCTTGTGTGAATGCTATAGGCATCTATATCACCTACCATCAAATTAACCCCATGTCATATCTGTCCTAAAATCTGTTGATTACCTACTCAGAAGTACATGAAACACTAACACATTTCTACAAAAATTTGTATAAAACGTGCAAAAGAATAACTGTAGAAATGCAATAGATTCAATTCCAAGAAAGAATAATAAACAATATGAGAGAAGATATAATGCTATGCTAATGTGTAAGGCTATATTATAAATAAGCTATACACTAATTTAAATACTAAGATTATTTCTGCCTTATTAAGGTATTAATTACTGCAACGTAACTAGGTAGATAAGTATCTTTATAGGTACATACAATGATATTGAAATATTTACTTTATAAAAAAATCAGAATTATTCAACTATTTCTTTTCATATCATGTTCGTTTTTTAATGTTGTGTAAAACAAATTTAAGTATCACATTGATGTGTTCAAGGTTTTAAGTAGATTTTTACTACAAATATACATACTTGGCCTATACTATAAGAAACACATAAAAAAATATCTTATGCCCTTCTTTTCAAAAATACTTCTTTATATAAAATAAATAGCTCAATCCAAAATTATTAAGTGAAACCATTAGACATGTGAATAATTGCAAGGTGTATAAATAAGTAGGTGAAGGATACTCTATTTTGTAACTGGGTTAAATATAAAATAATAAACATTCAGCATTATTTAAGTGGGACAATTTCTAATCCATTCAAGATTCAAATTGGTAGCATTGCTTAACCTTTAGCGTCCTCTTTGTAGTGCCACAACCAATTGTGCAAATCTGATAAGGCCTTCACTTTTAATAGTGATGAACAATTAAATGTATTACAAATTTAATTTTATATAGAATTGTTATATCAACTATAAGTTAAAGTTAATACGATAAACATAACGATTATATAGGCAAATAATGTTAAATATTATTTTTAAATGTACCAATCATGTCTTATATCAGATATGGTGGGTCTTCATTTCTTTGTTATAATGGAAAAAAATTTCAATAAAGACAACCACTTGAGCTATTACGCTGGTATTTAGTCAGTAGTAAGCCTAATGCTTATAATATTCAAGACTATGTAATAGAAATCCAATCCCTAAAAATAAAGTTAATCTCTATCTATAATGTCAAGTGATTAATAAAATATAATACAGAATACAAACTAGGAAATGTATTATACTAGTAATATATCTACAAAATTAAATCTCTGATAACAGTAGGAAGTACACAAAATCCTTGATAGAAGTAAACATGTGTTATTTATGTTTCTTATCTTAGACATATCTAACCCTATTCTATATTCAGTATTTAATAGAAACAATAGAAGATACAGTAAAAACATGTTAATGTTTATATTATCTACTAGAATATATTTATTTAATTATAATCTATTAATACCTATTATAAGTCAATTGATAGAGTGGTATTTTAATCTATATTAAAATAGACTAGAATGTCTGATCTAAATTGCAATTGCAAGTCCCTAATTAATTCAGATCTACCAATAATTTACGAAATTACAAATCTTGTTTTTAAAAATGACTAATCAAACAATATGTGATATAATATGCTATTGAGATAATAAAAAATATATAATTGACTATTCTGTTATGAAAATACCTTGTCAACATGCCAAGGGGTCATGGGGAAAGGCAAAAATATTGTTTTCGACAGAGGATTATCTTCACTTGAGGAATATATACAGGAGCGTTCCATAACCTCCGTCCTTCTGGAGGTTTACCTAAGGTTTCGATACATTTCAATAAGGCTATGTGATTTACGCTTAAGCAAGAACCCTTTTCATCCGAAAAAATGCGAATTTAATTCATTATTTTGTTGTTAAAAATGTAAATGCGTATGATCTTTGTATACAGCTGACATGAAAGAGATGGGTCGACGCATAGTTGACGGTCAAAGCGCCAAATCACAAGACGCAGATGCCCTTATAGGATAAGCTAAATAAGCATTAATTGTTATTAATTGTACCTTCATCTACTCCTTAAAAGAGTTTCCTCCAACTCGGATTAAATATATACAAGAAATAAATCACTGTAAACACACGATAGCACAATCTTGACATACACCACATCAAACATCCATTTACCGACTACAGCGACAATCGGTCCACTAGCGGGAAATTCTAGAATCTCTCTTTGTAGGTCGCAGTCAGAGACACTAGGCGGCAATAGACTCAAAATGTTATAATGACAATTTTTAAAATATATATTTGGATGAAGTTTGTCACATTAATTACAACAATAAATTATAAATATATATGTCGAACACTTAAGACAATCTAACGTTTTTTTATAAATGTAGTCAAGTTATTTTAGAATTGGTTGGAAAGTCTACCGAAAATTCGGTAGATATATACGTAAAATTTTTAGTAGTCATATCTTTGTAAAAAATGAGTAATTACTATAAAATGAAATAAAACACACCAAAAAATAGAAAACAAAATTTATTAACAAGCAAAATATCTTGTATAAAAAGTGCGACGTTAAAGGTAGCAATATGAAATGAAATAAATAATATCTGAAGAGGTTAATATTATTTTAAATGTTATTTAGGCATGCACTTATTCAAAAGTATCTAATTAAGAATGTTAATGGACGGTGCCGTTTAAATTAATTAAAAATTCAACCTTTGAACTTTTCATATGTACCCATTGTTTGTATGTAGGGTACTTTAGTTCTCATTCCTTTTGTAAGGGAATACGTTCATTTTTTTATTTAAATTTATTGCCAAAATGGTAGAAGTCAGCAAACATTTTGTGGAAAATTGCACAGGAATTCCTACATTGACCTGTGCACAATTACTGCATCCGCATACTGAAAGTTGTTTTAAGGCATTTCTTACAATGCTTCGAGAGTGTTTCAAGGGATCCATTATATTCTGGTTTCCAATACATGGATATTTTTTTGTAAGTAAATTATTCGATTTTATTGCCAACATGATAACATTGCAATGCAATTGCAAAACAATGATTCAGTAAAATATTATTTATGTTACAATGGTCACTTTAGATTAGTTAAAGATTTCACAGTCATGAATTGGAATAGTAAGAAAATGTGCAAATCCGAAATACCTAACAATCACAATATCCACATATATAATATAGTATATCGAGAATTTTAATCATAAAAATACCGAATAATTTACCGTTTTTTTTGTAAACCACGGACTCTGCATCATATTGTATAATCTACTTCTAACGTAGATTATAAATTGTATTGTGCTGTGGTCTATGTTTCATTCATATCCAAAGGTCATTAATCATTATATTATTGTAAATAATAATTTTAAAAATATTTGCTTTGAAAATTTAATTCCTAGTTTTGATTAGCAGGAAAAGAGTTTAATTGTAAAGTTGGCAATAACATACGTTTATTTTAGAGTGCTTTTAAATTACTAAATTTAGAAACTCGTATGTTGACCAATATAGTGATATCTTGTGCGTTATTAGTATTACGCGAGTCTTTAGATTTATTACAGTTCAAACTTCAACTTTTTAGTTGAAAGATCGCTGCACTATGCAGAACTCAGAGCTTCTGTCAAGCTAATAGAGTGAAGTCGTGTTTAACTAGCTAATCACACAGTAGTGTTGGGATAGTAACAAATAATACATTTCTTTGGAGAATTAATTACAACCGTTAAAAATGGTTGAAGCAAGTAAATTTTGGTTTGATAAAGCCTGTAGTTATTCTGATTGCCATACTTTAATACATCCCTGGACTAAAACATGTTCAAATGCTACTTCAACAATGTTACTTAGTTGTATTAAAGGAAGCTATAGGTTCTATGCCATGGTGTACCTTGTAAGTAGAATTATAAGGTATTAAAAAAACATAGTTAAAACAAATTCTATATTGGTCTTTCAAATTTCTAACAAATTAGTATAAAAGGATTTATTTTTAACAGATACAAATATTGATGCGAGGAAAGAAACTAACGAAGGAAGAAATGTTGGAACAATTTAAACTCTACCTAAAATCTGGTATATTTGGTTTGACTGTTGGAAGTTCATTTGTGACATTGAATTGTATATTTAGGTGAGGATTCTTATTTTTTCCCTTGATAATTTCATTATTAAAATCAGGTTAATTTGTATAAGTAGGATTTGAACCCAGTTGCAACAAATTACAATAAATTGCTGCCATGCCTAGCTATGATACATACATCAATAGTATAGAAACTTTATCTTTGGGGTTGTATATCTTGTTTTTATCATATTTAATATTCTTTATGATCTGACTTAAAATAACAGATAAAAAATGGGCATAAGGTTAATAGTAATATCTTGATTGCACAATTTTAAGCAGCTTATTTAAAACCTGTACTTAATAACAGGTCACATACACTCATCCTTTATCTGTACTTATTTTTAGGAAGCTCTTCTTTAGTGAATTTCATTACTATGCAACAGTGCTTTTACCATGCACAATAAGTGGACTTGCGGTATATTTTGAACCACCATACAGAAGAGTTCTAGTAGCTAATTTATTTACTAACTTGGTAAGCATTTCTAAACATGAATAAGATAAAATGCTTTCTTTATTCGAGTGTTACGAACATTTATTGCTTGGGGTGTAAGAGTTTAAATTATTTGTGCTATATATAGCCATTTTCATACTTATGTTTATGGAAATGAATGGAGGATAATTGCTTTCTGTGTCCATATAATTATATAATATATAATCAGTCTTAGGAACCAATAGTTTGCTGTAACAGGGCCAGTTATTTCCTTGTAACTAGTTTTCCTTGAATATTCCTTATTTAAGGAATGAAGTCTAAAAGGATAATTATTATTTACCTCTAAGTACCTATTTGTATGCCATTTTACAAAACATTTAATATATCTATATACTACTACCACTACTAGTAAGGTTCTTGGAAACTACTTACTGCTACAAAAAATTCTATATCGATTTAATAATTAAATATTGCTTATGTCTTTTTATTTAGGTATTTGAATATTGGATACGGACCTTAGAAATGAAAGGGTGGCTCCGACGGAGTGCTGGGCGCGAGACCCTTATATTTATGTTGGGTAGTTCTCTCTTCTTCTATCTCATGCGGCTAGATAGGGAGAACCCAAAAAGGACACCATTATTTTGGTTAGTAGGCATGTCTATATGATAAGCATGTGTTTTCTAAAATTTTGATCAGATTTTAATGAACGAATTATAAATCTCACAGGTTCTTCACACCACCTAGAGTATCAAAGGAAGTTGGAGAGCCAATAGAAGGTATAAAGGGTAGAAGCGAAGCCTGCCCACATAAAGGACCATGTCTAAATTACATTTTGAGAGTATGTAACTGTTAACATGTAAATAATTCTTAAAGAACCTTTATAGTGAACTCCTATTAAAATCCTCCTCTTCTTTGTATTCTATCACCAGAAAGATAAATTGAATTAATTCATAATAAATGATAAAGTGTTACTTTCTCATGTTACTAGTAAATCTAAGTAATTTTGACAAACAGACAACAAGATTTACTGTATTTTATAATATTTTCGGTCCTTGCTAACTATAAAAATGCTATCTTGATGTTGTATATGGTGAATATCACTAAATTTTAAAATATTATGCTTTGTATAAAATGATTATTATATTTTACCAAAATAAATCTGGACCCATAAGTTAGTTTCCATCCTAAAACAACATTTAACTAAGTTTCCTTCCCGTTTCAAGCAATAATTCTAAATACTAATAATAATCATTCAAAAACAAGCGTACCTTATACATTGAACTCAAGTAATTATTATATTGAGATAATACTAATACGTTTCAAGTTGTGACCTTGATTAGCCAACTGCTATTGATTGAAAAACAAGGTAAAACGAATCATCTCAAAATCCCAGTCTATTCAACGCTGGAAATGTTCATCTATCTTGTTTATCTAAATAGTTAAATGTATATGTATTAATTAAATATACTTGCAATATTTTTTTTAGGGTGTAGCTCAGCTTTTTGGAGTTGGATGTGCCATGTCGATGCTACGGACGATCATACCAAGACTTCTCACGCCAGTAAAGGCTTTAAAATCGTTGAAATTCTCACACTTCAAGTTGGGTCTTTTCTTTGGAGGCTATATTGGAATTTATCGGGTAATTATTAATTTAACGGCTGGAATCAAAATAACAATAAAATCAGCTAAAAAAGCTACTCTTAACCTATAAATTAAATTTTACTTGCACTTAAACGTATTTGACAATATTTTTTTTAAACCGTTAAAGTGTTTTATTTCAATGTGTGCCACCCGCGTAAACTACAGACAGTATTTAAAATTTATTAGTCATGTCTGTTGTCCACAAATTATATCATAGTTTATTACTTTATTTCCAGCTAATTATATGTCTCCTGTGTCGTGCGACGGGACGCGATAGTGCTACATACGCAATTCCCGCGGGATTGTTTGCTGGAGCCGCCTTTAGGGTTTCGCCCTCACTTCCCATAGCCCTGGCTCCCGTGACATCTTCTCTGCAGGTACGTTTAAATATATAATATTAACTGAGTCTATGCTTCTTTGGTAAGAATACAAAGAAAAAATAATTACAGGTATAGTTGTGGCTTTATCACGAACTACTAGCTGTGTCAAAGACTTCGTTTGTGTAGATTAGTTTTTTTGGGCATCAAAATTTGTTTAAGAAAACCTCCAAAGCAAAGATGAAGAATCCATACTGTTATCCTTGACGTCATCACGTCCCTTCATTCTTGCAAGTTAATCTTTAAATATTACCCTATCTAGTGTCGGAGACATTTTTTTAGATCATTGAAAGAATAATTATTTTTTTATACATAATTTTTTGGGTATCTTGATCCGTTATTCAAACAAACAACAAACAAACAAAAAATTTTTTTTTTTCACCACAATGTTTAAAAAAAAATTTTTTTTTTATTTTAAAAAAAAAGGGGGGGAAGGGGCCCCCTTTTTCCAAAAAAAAATTTTTTCCCCCCCCCCCAAAAAAAAAAAAATTAAAAAAAAAAAAAAAAAAAAAAAAAAAAAAAAAAAAAAAAAAAAAAAAATTAAAAAAAAAAAATATTTTTTTTTTTTTTTTTTTTTATGTTTGCTGTTATTTTTTTTTATATATATAGTCTGTACGTTTAAATATGCTACCATTATTTTCAGATCCTAAGCTCCTGGGCATACCAGAAAGGTATGATACCAGAGCAATGGCCGTTAGTGGAGCTACTGTACTGTGTGTGCCAGGGTATCCTGTTTCATGCACGGGTGATGCACGAAGACGCCTGTCCCCGATATATCATCAACTTGATGCACACCGTAACATCGAATAAGTAAGTGTTTAAATATTGTCTGTAGTTTACGTGAGTATAACTACGGCCCAACGTTTCGGATGCTTTCCGCCTCTGACCATGGCTGCTACAAAGCATCGGAAACGTCAGGCCGTAGTCAAAATAATTTTCAAATAAGTTTAACTAATATAAAAATACAAATAGACATATATTCATATTTCGTGTTATCGCCAAGACATTTTGATTGCAAGATTTTATTTAGAAATTACAATTCATTTATTTTTAGTTTTAATAACAATAGCCTTTTACACTTTCAAAGATTTGAAAACAAATTTTTGTTCCCATTTTTATAATTAACCTAGTTAATGCGTTTGATTATTGTCTATTAAATATAAAACTAACAAAAGACTGATTTATTAATACTTATTTGATTACTAATGATCTATTTATAATTATTCTTTGTGTAAATAAGTTTTAATATTTTAAATAATAATAAAAAACTGTTAAAATTCACGCACGCCTTTATCTTTTTCAGAGCTGATGAAATTCAAAGCGCCTTCATCCAGAAAATCTTAGCGTACGGTGGGGGTGTTTAATTAATCTTAAGTAGGGGGCTTGGTGGCAATATTGTTAACAAAGGGTACTTGCACCTATAGTGCAAAACTGTGATTTTAATTAATTGTATAAAAGTTTTGAAATAGGTAACTCCTTTTTTAAAGGGCAATAGAACAAGAATTTCATCTTATTTTCAAATTCACTTTCGAATGTAGAGACCACCCTTTTGGAATATGTAACATGTAAAAATATAGGTGACAAAACCGGATTTTGTGAAGTTAAATTATTTAGGGAAGTTTAGGTTATGGGTAAGGGTTATATGGTGTTAATTTAAATTATTGACACATATTCGAATTTATTCGTCACGGAAGGATTTTTTTGTAGTAGTAACCCTTTAGTTGTAAGATTATAAGACTATCTACCAAAAATACAAAGCAATATACGCGCGTTATCACACTCTACAAAAACATTGAGATTAAATAAAAGACAATTTACATTTTATTTTTGAGTGCGTAGGAGTATATTTTGAAAGTGCATTTATATTTTCTTTCTTTTGGTTTTGGAACCATTTAATTTTAACGGTATATTTTGTGAATTATGTTTACGAACAATTTAATAGATAAGCGGATACTCAACTTATTCAGGAAAATTGTGATAAACACACTAGAACGATGCGCAATTTGAAAAATAAGTTTTCTTTTGGAAAACGAAACTAAATAACTTGGCCCTGAACGATTTCGCTTCGTTCTCCTGTTTGGTAAATATAATATTGGTTAACCATGTTGTGAATTCTCGGGCACTCATATCACATTTTAACATAGTATAATTCTACTAGTAAGCAACAATCTTAAAATAACTTAAATGCGTTACCAAAAATGTTAGTCTTTAACCCAATTCAATTTCCAATATTTGAATTAATAGATTTTGAATGAAACATGGTCGCTCTTCACGTTATCGACGAAACTCATACTAAGCTTAGAGTTATATACTTTTTGCTTTTAATAATATCACAAAACATTTTACTCCAGAAAAACAGTAAATGTTCAGATATTAGGATTTACAAATAGGGGAGCAAAACAATGTTAAGTGGGAGTAATTTAGTAGTAGTAAGTTTTTCCTGTAAAAGATAATAATATATTTTCAACAATTACTTCTAGGTTAATTTATCTTTTGTTTTTAAGTTATCCACGTACTTATCCAGTACATAAAGTGATTACCATTTATTATTGTTATATTTTTGGATTAAATGATTTTTGTATGGCCACTCTGTGTGTTGTTAATTAGAAATACCTTGCCTTTATTGTAAAACAAATAATACTAATCACATTTCTTATACAGTTTAATTTCCTGTGTTCTCGATTATTTAATTACTGTTTTGAGATAAAGTGTAGAAAAACCAGTCTAAAAAGTCTTGTTCACCTATAAAAAATAGAATTATTAAGATTAAAACAATTGTTACTATAAGACCGATCATGTGGAAGATTTTTAAGAAATTCAGGGAGGCTAAGAAGAAAATATTTAAGTGTATAGGAAAAAGCAGTCGTTTTAATCAACTTCTTCAACCCTGGGGCCAGTAGAACGTGCAGAATGTGCACAGCTTGGTCCTCCTACTATATTGTGTAGCTTCATCATAGCTGATTGACAGACTGTCTGCGCTCTTTTCATCTGTTCCTGGAGTTCTGACGTGGAGGCATCGGGATGTGAGTCCAGCCACTTCAGTTGATTGGTGCATTCTGATAGGACTTCGGCTTTTTCGCTGTCCGTAAGACGAGGACCAGCGTTTTCTGCAGCCTGGCAACATTTTACTGTTTTTGACGGGCTCGTTGGTGTAATGGGGGCAACCAGTCGTGGTTTCGTTCCGATATTTTCTGTAAACTTCTTTTGAAAATCTGGATATTCAAAGGGTGGCAGAAATATCGAAATTCCGTCCAGGTCACGTACCACCCTCCGCCAATGAAAACCGGTGATGTTTATTCACGTTTCGCATTCAGTCTGTGGATTTTCGAATAATCCGAACTTAGATGCTATAGGCTGGAGTATTTCACCTACCATCAAGTATACCTCATGCTTTTCTGCCAGCTATCATTAAAAAATTTAAGAAACATATTTAAGACTCTTCTGTAATCATTAATGTACCTACAACTATGTTTAATTTAAGTATAGATCAACGTCATCAACTTTACCGATTTACATCCAAATAAGTATCCTTCTAACTGATTACGAATTTCAATGCGGTTTCTCGTTGCTTCGTCTTCTGCTTTAAATCTCTCAGCATCGTGCAACATTTTCTCAATCTCAGTTTTGTTCAGACGACCCTTATCGTTGGAGATTGTGATGCGTTCAGATCTACCTGTACTTTTATCCTCAGCACTAACGTTTAATATTCCATTAGCGTCCAAGTCGAATGTCACCTAAAATATATACTGTCTATTTTAGTACGTCCCATTAAAAACCATTTTAAGTTTATTATTGCTACTGAATGTTTAGATAGATATTTTAAGAGTTTGCATTACTTCGATTTGTGGAACTCCTCGTGGGGCCGGGGGTATACCAGAAAGGTTAAATGTTCCCAATAAATTGTTGTCTCGTGTCATTACTCGTTCTCCCTCGTACACCTAAAGCGTAAAAAAATATTATGTTAATACAAAGTTGCTTACTACACTCATAACTCAACGAAGGTTAGGTGTTAAAATATCACCTGTATTGTTACAGCTGGTTGGTTATCAGAATACGTTGAAAAAGTCTTTTTTTGAGCTATAGGAATTCTCGTATTCCGCTCTACAAGTTTAGTCATCACCCCTCCAGCTGTCTCAATGCCCAAGGACAGCGGAATCACATCTACTAGTAATACGTCCTGTAATCGTTCATCTTTTGAACCCGTGAGAATAGCTGCTTGGACAGCTGCACCGTAGGCAACAGCTTCGTCAGGATTAATTGACAGATTAAGCGTCTTCCCCCCAAAGAAGTCCTAAAAAAACGTGTCTTACATTTTATTGCTAATATTCTACAGCTTAAGTAATATGAATTATTTCTTTTTTACTTGTAACAGTCTCTGTATCTTCGGTATTCTTATGGAACCTCCAACCATTACGACATCATGTATTTCCCTCGTATGCAAATTAGCATCTTTGAGTGCTCTTTCAACCGGTCCTAAGGTTTGTTTAAATAAATCTGAGCAAAGTTCTTCAAATCGTGCCCTGCTTATTTTAGAATAGAAATCGATGCCTTCGTGTAGCGCATCCACTTCTAAACTAGCTTCGGTGCTCGACGATAAAGTTCTTTTCGCCCGTTCACAAGCGGTTCTCAAGCGTCTTACGGCTTTAGGATTGTCTTTCAAGCTTTTCTTAAATTTTCTCTCAAACTCTGCACTGAAATGATCTACCATTCTATTGTCAAAGTCTTCACCACCTAAATGAGTATCACCAGCTGTAGACCGAACTTCAAAGAGAGATCCCTCCGAAATTTGTAGAATAGACACATCAAACGTCCCCCCACCCAAATCAAATATCAGGACATTTTTTTCTCCCTTAAGGTTTTTATCCAATCCGTAAGCTAAAGCGGCTGCAGTTGGTTCATTTATTATTCTGAGCACATTAATTGCTGCGATAGTGCCAGCATCCTTCGTGGCTTGTCGTTGAGAATCATTAAAGTAAGCGGGAACTGTTATAACGGCACTCTGCACTGTTCCTCCTAGATAGCTTTCTGCGATTTCTTTCATTTTTGTCAAAACCATTGACGATATTTCTTCAGGAGAAAACTTCTTTTTCTGTCCTTTGTAGTCTATTACAATCTTTGGTTTTCCTCCATCGGAGATCACTTCAAACGACCAATGTTGTAAATCCTGTTTTACCTTTGGGTCATCGTATCTTCGGCCAATTAGACGTTTTGCATCGAATACTGTATTTTTAGGATTCATTGCTATCTGTAGATATAGTATTATTACCTATTTTTTAAGTTTGTTTTTAGATTGCGTTCTACATATCAGTAAAATTAACAAAAAAAAGTAACGACTGACCTGATTTTTAGCAACGTCACCAATAAATCTTTCAGTTTCAGTAAAGGCAACATATGAAGGTGTGACCCTGTTTCCTTGATCATTTGCGATGATTTCTACTTTACCATGCTGAAAAACTCCCACACACGAGTATGTGGTGCCTAGATCTATTCCAACTGCCGGTATGCCCATTTTGCTTCGAAGGCATATAGATTTTTTCTTTATATATAGATATATTTTTTAAACCTGCCTACATAAGATATTAATAGAGGTTTTTAGCAAATACACCTTAAGATAAGACCAAAAAATCCTGTGTCAAGGCTTTTGACCAATTTCGTTATCGGACTCTTTATATTCTATGTAGCTTATTTTGAATCTTATTTGGTTCTAAATTAATACAAAATCAGTTTTCGAGTACCATTTAATGAAACCTCCTAGTTCTTTGCATTCTCCTTGCTATACAGAAAGTTAATCTTGTATGTTTACATGTTGGAATAATCACAAGATGTTGATTCGATTGTTAATGTGCATATTTGGAATGAATGTTTGATTATATAATTCTTAAAGGTGCCATGTTTTAGTTGCTTTTCGATTTTGACGTTATGTAAACACACATGAAGTGTCACTTGGATGTTGTTTATTAAAAGAAAACGTCAATTTTTTTACATATTATAACCTTATTTGTGCACACTTTTAATAATAAAATAAACATAGTCTTTTTGAGATTACTTTTTATGTATTTCTTTTTTCTTCAGGTATGTTAATTTCTAGTTCTAATGTATAATTTATTGACTGAGTTGATTTATACCTACGCTTTATTTAGGTTTACGAAAGCTTTGTTGTGTTTGGTCGTACGATAAATATAAATTCAATAGAAAAATAAATATTTCTTGTGCTACAAACTGTGAACGAGACACATTTTTCCTTTTAAGGTGGCGATATTTATTCTTATTTCTATGTCTGAATTACTTATAAAGTTATTTATTTTTATAACATATAGTTTGCGCTGTAAACGTATTAATTGTTAACCTTGTTTTTTAAATATCCTTCGGATAACTAAACGAATTTTATGACTTGAGTTATTTATATAATATTCATAATCTAAAAATGTTAATCTACAAGAGTACAGTGACCTAAAATTGTTAACACATTTCTTACACAAATAATAATAAGTTAATTGCACATTGTTATTTTCCACCTTATTGAAAATCATGTTTTATGTTATTTTAAAAATCGAAAATAAATTGAAAAAATTTTCGACTCGGGTAGGACTTCAACCGGCATTGTCAGCGTTCCGTGCTGTTGCTCTGATATTTTTGATTTTTAAATTATATACTGCCTTCATGTGCAATAACATATAAAAAATATTAATGTTTTCAATTATATGTTATTAGACTACTCTGCTTCTTGCAGCCTCAATATGTGGCTTTTATGTAGATTATCTAATTCGTAAAAAACATTCACATTTGTATTTTAAAATAATATTAAAAGGAAAATGACATAACACAATTTTCTCTGCCGTCATTCTCAATCTCCTTGTTAGTTTCCTAAATGTTTACAATAAAAAAAATAATCATTGCATAATTTTATTTGGTCTAAGCATTTAAGCAACAATTTCTATCGTTTACCCTTCTTCTTCTTCTTGCTATAATCAGGCGGATGGAAACCCCTAGCTTGTAATAGTTCTTGAACATTATGACACGCGTAGTACACATTGTCCATCGCTGCTTCAGTTAGCATGTCCACATTACATCGACCTTTGGCTTTACCTTTTTTCACTCTTACGCCACCTTTCTTGCTTTTCTTTTTGTCTGCACCGTCTTCTTTTTCTTTTTTCTCCTTTTTCTTGCCTTTTCCTTTACCGGCCATGTTGATACGATGATATAAAACTTTTAGTTGTTAGAGGTTATCGATTAAACAACCCACACGCATGTTGATGCATCAAAAGGCCATGCCAAGGTATTGTTATGTTGGTGTTGCAACGAGAACATTCGCTTGCTATATTGCTAACTTATGTTAGTATATTTAAGGCTTTTTAATAAGATTTTTTATTATTACAATGGGCTACGAGCCATTTATTCACCTCAACAGAACAGACAAAGCTTTTTAACTAAAGGATATATAATATACAATTCCAATTACATATGTATATTTGAAATATTTACTCTACTCTTTACCAAACACAAATTTAATAATTGTAACGTACAATGTCGGAGCCTCATTATCATACGACCGTCTACTAGAACTGGAAAAATTATTGACTAAAGTAAATTACGACGTAATAGGAAGTTTTTCCAAAGTTTTTCCGACGACTGGAAACAATATAAAGACCGAGAAAAATGAGCATCTTTGGAGGAGGCCTATAACCAAAGGTTCTTGCTGATTTTTCAGTTTTTTGAACATTACTTATACTTATATTATTAACATCTTCGAAGCTTAGGTACTTACACAATCTGTTTAATGTTATATATCAATAAACAATGTAAAAAGCAAGAAATAAAAGGCTTATTATTATTTTTTGAAATAATTATGGTAAAAGAAAATTATTAGCTCTTAAAGCATGTTCGAAATCTCTTGTAAAATATATAATAGAATAAAAAAAGTTTATAGTTTTATTTAAGGTCATACAGAGGTTCTCGTAGGATATGCTCAACTTCGACCCTGTGGAGCACTGGAGCACCAACCGCTGGGGTAGCTGCCTCAGACCGACCGGAATATATTATCTAAAAATATAATTAAAAATTATGTCATATGGCCTATGTCAAGTTCTCTACACAGTCGCTGACATATTACCTGACAATCCTAGAACATATGTTACACGGAGGCAACGCTTAAAGTGATTTTGGATTCTTAGGATAGGAAACCACAGTTTTGTAGGTGTAAAGTGGGTATATATATTTGTCATTTAAAGAAGAATTGTCTAAGTCTTGAAGAGGCAACTCTTTAGTTGGAAATAACATTGAGCATTTAAATAGTTTGATTTTGTTTATATAGAGCAGGATAGACAAGCATAAATTTCACCGCATGGTGATCCCAGCCATATAACATCTAAACAAAATGTGCTGTCGATCTATTTTGGCTTTGAATATTTAAGTAAAAACGTTATCAACCCATTTTATAGTCCGATAATCGAATTCAAGATGTTTGGCAGAATGGCAGATAATTTTAGTTAATAATTAAACTTATTTACACAAGTTACAATACGTATTTAACATTTCAATTTATAATTAATCTTTACTGAGAAATCTGAACTGTAGTAATTAGGATAACAGCGTTTTAATCACAATATTTAAGAAAAGGTTGTCTAGATGAGATCGATTAGAGTGGTATGGCTGTTACACACTATAGTTTCGTTTTATTTATTTGTAAGTGATGTGTGTGATAAATAAATCAAACATGTACCTTTCTCCCTAGTAAATTTTCAAATCTAGGTTTGACAAATGTCCATCCACCCATATTTCTGTGTTCTTCTTGGCTCCATATGAATTCTGAAAGGTGAAAAAAGAAAAAATAATGATAGAAACCGTGTTACAATTGAGGCCGCTAGAAGTACAGTAGCCTGACTGCAATTTTAAGACTTGAGTTATTTATATATGTATTCATAGTCTAAAAATGTTACCATAAGAGCACATTGACCAAGTGTTAACATAATTCTTATACGAATAATAGTACAAATTCATTTTCGCCTAAGTTAATTGGGCATTTTTATTTTCCTCCTTTTTGTAAATGTTTTTGGTTATTAGGCCACTCTGCCTCTCTGGCAGCCTTAATAGACTAATTAATATTATATTTAAATATCCGAGTTCAATAATAGTTGGAAGTCTATTGAACTATAGAGGAAATGTGTCGGCGGAAATGATGGCCAGAGCACACTGTGCGGCCAATTGCATTTCAACTTTAACTGGGTTATTGGAAATGGGAATTGCGCCTTATTTCTTTCAATACTTGGATGTCACGTTTGTTTTCTACTATATGTATATATTTTTAGATTGAACATCACTCTTCACACTGATATAGATTAATGCAACAATACTCAACTAGAAAAAACTAGTACCAGCATTTGTAAATTAAATGGGTTTATAACAATTAAGTAAATAAAGACAACGATTAAAAATCTTTAAATTAATATAAAAGAAATCCGACACGGGCGGGACTAGAACCGGCATCCACAGCGTGCCGTGCTGTTGCTCCCTCGCGCGGAACAGTGTGGATGATTCAAGTCCTGCCCGTGTCGTAAATTTTTTCAAAGATTAATTTTCATAATGCCATCATATGCAATAACATGTAAAACATATTAAGTATTTAAACAAAGCCAATTTATTCCATGAGTGTCTTTCATAGTAAAATTTAAATTTAATTTTTTAACTATAACTGAACAAACATAAATATATGGCTCATCTAATGGAAGGTGAAAAACAGTCCTACATTTAATGAAGATAAGCTGTCGACGAACTTAGACAAAAGACTGAGACCAACTTACTTCTAGCATTACTATATTTATCCAGTTCCTTCTGTAACCCGTATACAGGGAAGGGGCATAATGACTCCACTCTGACAATAGCGACGTCGTCTATTTTGTTTCTTATTCTCTCTTTGTGTAGTTCGTAGTAATGTTTACCACTGACTAGTATAACACGTTTTACACGGATAGGATCAGCTACATTGTCCCCTGGGAAAATAGAGTGCATTGATACAAAAAGAAATATCTCTAAAGTAATACTATATGTATACGCTGTTGGTTGTGAGGTCTCTATGTTTGGGTATCGAATAAAACATATAATTCTATTGAGTGAAAACTAACGCTGCTGAGTGTCACAAGCACTTATCAGCACTGGTACGGATTGTCATTTATTATCTATTTTTATTGTCATTTATGTATTATTGTATTCAGATTAGTAGCTACAAGTATATTGTAAAAAGGACAATAAAAAGTTTTGAATGTTTACTTGATCTTAAGCTGTGTCGTCAGTTGCCAATTTGTAAAGAAAGTGACGATAATTATATATGTTACTTTAGATGCCAATTAATATTACCAATAACGGGTCTAAACGATGAGCCTGGTGCAAAATCAGATAAGTCGCTGACTGCATCCGAGGAGCGAAGCAATATTTTTGGTGCTACTACCACCAGGGGTTTGCGGTAATTTCTGACTACCTGCAAATTGTATAGAATTTAAAAAAGGAATTTGTAAATGTATTTTGTGGAAATACATGTACAAATTGCTTGGAATAAATAAAAATTGAAGGTGAATTACCCCAGTCATATAATGTAAATAAGATGTGGTGTCGCCCTATTTTGGGACATCCATACACTGAATTCGAAACGCTGCTAAATTTCACGGCTTTTTGCCTGTAGATGTTGGTTTGTAACCCGAATGGAATTTCTATATATTTTTACTATCCAGATTACCAGACGAAATCCAACATATTTCAGAAACATTATAAAAAGGCGCGGAGGGGTTCGACCCCACGACCCAATGATTATTAGCAATTCATTGCTACCATTACATCAACGAACTTGCCTTATGACAAACCAAAAATAAAAACCATTTTAGTTTTAAAAATCAATACTTCTCACGAACGATTACATTTTATAATTGGAGAATATTAAAGTTATATGTCCAAAAGTTACCTGCCGTCTCAATAAATGAAAGTACTGCGCCGGCGTCGTGGGGTTGACCACGTGCATACATACAGCCTCCGAGTCAGGGCTGACTTCTGAACTATCAGTCATCTGCAAAAACCTTTCCATTCGACAGGATGAGTGTTCAGAGGCTGCACCATCGTATCCATGGGGCAATAGCATCACCAGACCGTTACTTCTGACCCATTTCGCTGGAATACATTTTAAAATATGTCAAACCACTCGAGTGAACCTCAACAAAAGTTGAGATGTTGTTATAAAACCTAATTACCTATAAATATGTATGATCCTTCTATTATGCACAACGCAATTTAGAGTTTTAATGGAATTTATTTTGGAAAAGTGAACAATGTAAAACAGTGGTAAATAATAATTGAGATGCCTGGGAAATATTTAACTTAATTCAAAACGGAGACAGAACGAACAACATGTAGAAATACTGCATAGTAACTGATTGCTTTGTAACTCCTTCTTAAACTCCTTCTTAGTAATTGTTCTTTAATTTTTAATTATTGCGTTGGAATTATATAGGAAAACAATTTAATTAAACACTAAACTCTACTACTACAATCATATCGTAGGTAGATTAGGATAGGACATTAGATTAATTTAATTAGTGACCGGCGATGTCACTGGAGGAAACACAATTGGTTTGTCTTGTGAAAAATCCTTTCTAACGTGTAGCGTGTAGCCTTTTATATGTAATGGTATTCTTATATATAAATAACTGTTCTTTACGTTCTCAACCTATTAAACTTTTTACTACTACGTTTGTGCTTACCCTCATAGTCCTCATAAGACATCGACAAGTAAATAAAACACTTATATAAATATCCTATAGAATGGACCATATATAGATGTAAGGTATCGCTGACGTCAACTTTAGACTCCGTGACGATGCTGCAAAGCATCCGAATCGTCGGGCCGTAGTTAAAATTTAACTAATGTATATCGTGTTTTAAACCGTTAGTATTTTATTTAAATGTGTTCTACTCGCATAAACTACAGACAGTATTGACAAGTGCTCATCGCTATTGCTGAGCGAAATGAATAAGTTACCTTCGCCCGAGGCGATAAACGCGTCGACTATGATTTGGGCGCCGTTATAGAAGTCTCCAAATTGTGCCTCCCAAATATGAAGGTTTTGCGGGTTGTCGTACGCCATGCCGTATTCAAATGCTAGGACAGCTTCCTCTGATAAGATTGAATTCGCTACCTGCGTAGGACAAGGTTGATATGAGAGTCATTGGAATTAGCAAAGCTTTTATGCATGTTTAAAGTATATCTTTTATAACCTTTTACGTCATTCACTTTAAACGGTTTAAAATGGAAATATATTAGATTATACGTTTACGCGTAAGACCACCCGACGTTTTGGATTCATCAAGACAATCTTGGTCACTGGTGGTCATAAATATTTTAAAGTGAATACTTTTATTTACTTTGTCATTATAATAACTATAATTCCTTTAAAACGTAAATATGTAACATAACTCTTTAAGGAAAAATATTTGTTTATATATTGCCTTTGTATCACAAAATTAAGCATGGTTTAAAAAACAAACAATATGTATTTAGCAATCTAACTTACAAAGCCAATAAATAATAAATATTGAAAGTTCCGAGAAAGAAAAGTGGAGCATCTCATCTACTTGGCAATTTCTGTTGGAAAATATTAGGAACTTTGACGCGACTCGCAATAAATAATGCATAAGGAATAAAAACTTACGTTACAATATGTATTATATTCTTAGCATATAATTCCGTATTTCTAATGGATTTTTTGAGAGTGCTAGAAGCTGATCAGACTTGTGCTCTGTCCAATAAAAGTATTATGTTACGACCCTCCATAACCATGACTGCTGCAAAGCATCCGAAACGTTGGGCTGTACTTAGTTAAATTACATTGTAATTAAGTAGGCTAATCCGTTTCGCGTTGCACGCCGTTGAAAATGGGTTTATTAAATGTGTACTTCTCGCTAAGCTTTAGTCAGTACTTATGTTTTGTGGGATTCAACATACTTAAAGCAATGACAGCACCGTTTAACATTAAATTATTAAGGCATAATTGAAGCATACAGTATATTTTGATATTTTTGGATTACTGGTAAAATATTTATACAATGGTATTCGTTAAAGATTGATAAAATATTACAAAAAAATAAATTAGTATAAATACTGTCTATAGTTCGAGTGTCAATTTAAATAAAAACTTAACGGTTTAAAAAATGAATTTGATTTGCACAGTGTAGTTCCCCTCTCTCAAAGCATCAAAGCGGGCAAGTTAAAAATATTCTCAATAGTATTTAATAATTATGCTTTAAAGTAAAGTGTTTTATTTAAATAAATAGTATGCTAAGAATCTTAAATAATATATACCTAATAGTATACTTACTTAAAGGTAAATTATTCAAATGCATTGTACTCGTTATGTTCGGCCTTCTTTTTTACGCACAGTGTACTGAAGGCCGGTCATAGTTTATTGAAACCAATAAAAAAGAGAACTTAAATGAAAAATAGTGATATACCTCTAAGTATCCCTTCTGTTCTTCGCTTATGTGATTAAGAGGAATGTGTATGCTCTCAGTGTTTTGATCGACGAGCATGACGTGACGATGCGAAAATGTGCCCCGTCCAACATCCTCGCCGCTTAGTCGTACGTGGCGGCCTTCCATTAAAAGAGAACCTGGGTGTGTTTACATTTATTATTTTACTAGATTATTCATTAGGTTTTGCATGAATACCTTCATTACCATTTCGAAATCAAAATAAGGCAAATAAATACAGCGTTGAGGTAGATCCGTCAATACAACTCCTGAAAATTCTATTATATTTGATTCACGATATGATAAAATTTTCAGGACACATTTTTGATTTGATTGATGATCACTTTTATTAAGATTGACGATGCCTTGATTTCTCAGACATGGATTATCTAATATCTATAGAAAATTTGACAAAGAATTTAAACAGTATACTTCTATGTACCAAAAGCCATCGCCTCCGCTGTTGACCAATCTATATCCTTTTCCCGACTTATTTTGTTCAGTCGATTTTTGACATGAGCTTTAGCCAGATGCGGATGTATATTCTGAAACAAAACACTTAATTTAGTATTAATTTAGATAGAATAAATCCTTCATCCTTCCTTATAAGAACTAACTCATTATAAATTGGTTTTTTTTTTTAAAAAAGGCCCCTTTTTCCCCCTTCAATTTTCTTAATTCTGATAATATTAAAATAATTTAAAGAAATTAAATAATACAACAAGTATTATCTGAGTCTTATACGAGTAGCAACTAATTAAAATTGAGTAGTAACTAATTAAAACTGAACACCTTTAACAGTTTAAAGCGCAAAATACGCTTGATTGGAGCCACTGTAAAGCTCCCGAAACATCGTGAAATTACTTAAAAATAAATAAATGAAGATATATTTCCCGTTTGGATATACTGTGAGCCCCCCCCCCCCCCCACCGAATATCCGAATGTTCGCGAAAACTGTTCGGTTAAAATTTACACAAATGTAATAATTTTTTTCTAGGTATCGTATTTACGCAAAAAATCGTCTTTTTGCACCATAACCTTCTCCTTTTAATTTTTGATTATGAAAATAATTGTAAAGTATAGAAAAACGCTTTTCTTTATTTCTTTTCTATGATTATGTATCTGTTTTACGATGATAATTTAAATGACACACAATGAATCAGTTTATATTATTTTATTAATTATGGAGTCCCTATAATAAATAAAATACAATATAACTTAAGTATTCGGTATTCGCCCGAAAGATGTAAAAGACTCCGAGTACGTCGAATCGATTATTAGCCGAATATTCGTTGCAAGCCTTTTTTGATTAAGTCGCTGGTGACTCAGTCTCTCGGCATCAGGCCGTACACTTTGGTCAATATTGGACGCCCCACGAAAATATGAAACCATAGTGCCGTAAAAAAGGTGCGCCAGAGAGTCGGTCGTCGGCGGCTAGTCGACAGTGCAGAAAAAGGAAGAAGGATATAAAGCACTTATAACGTTATTACGCTAAAAGTGCTTTATTTAATAATATAACACAAATATACCTATGTACGTATGCATCGAGCATACGCGCTTTAGACCCAGACGAGTTTCGACGTTCGTCTGCATAAATACAATGAAATTGTAATCAAGAAATGAAACTAAGCTTTTAACTCAAGTACAAAGCTCTGCAGGCGGTTCGCATTATTCTTTTTGAATTTCTTCAAAGTCTAAACGCGTAATGATATTTTCATCGCGGTCATTAATCCGGCGGGACGTTTTTATTTAACGCGACAAGTTTCAGTCCCTCCCCGTCTTAATAATGTCGACATCCATCAGGCATTTTGGGAGATTTTTTTGAGTAATTAGGGTGGTTCAACTTTAAGAAGCTTTAATGTTTTTGAATATTAAAATGGAAAGAGACGTGTCGGTCTCTCTGTCATATATTCATTACAAATAAAACGGCGTAAGCCAATTACATTAAATAAATAGACAAAAATCACAAACAAGAATTGCAACATATAAAACATTTGGACGCGATCGTTCCACAATCGTCAGGAGATGAGTTAAGAATTTGCAGTGTTTTAACCCACCAATGCCACCATACTGCTCGTTCAACTACAAGTTGATAGGCTCTTACTACCGCCACTATTCTTTCTATAATAGAGAACAGACAAGCGTGAACTTTACTAGATGATAGGTAAAAAAGTGTCACCACGCTTGCCATATAATATTGTACGAGATTTGTTTTGGCTTTGGATATTCGGAGATCTACAGCCTAAAACCGAAATGGGATTAAATTTTACGTGTTTCATCTGTGGTGGATCGCGATCCGGACGGAATTCGGTTATCCCTACCAACCATTTAATATCCAGATATCCAGACGTAATCTAACAAGTTTTAGAAAATTAGAAAAATGTTGCATCCGGTGGGGTTCGAACCCACGACCCGTCAGATTATTTATTAATGTTGGCAACATTAATAAATCATCATTTTTCTGGCTAGCTCTAGATATTTATTTAATATTTAGTTTGATACGAGATACGAACATGTAACAAAGTGAAATACTGTCTATACTTTACGCGAGTATTACACATTTAAATAAAACACTTAAACGGTTTAAAACTAATATAACGCGTTTTAAACCGTTTAAGTCTTTTATTTAAATGTAACAATGTGATTAAAAAAAATAGCAATGTCAATAGGTAACTATATTTAATCATACGAACAAATTAAAAAAGGCATTCAAATTAATCAAAGTGGGAAAGCGTTATCTAAATTGAATAAAACAGAAGTTATCTGAAAAGAGAAAAACTTCGGTCGGAAACGTCGAGGAAACCATTACGGTATCTGCCGAGACAGAATAATCCCCTAACTAGACTGTTTGAAGAATCCTGATAATAAATATTCCTATTCGTATAGATACCTTTTTATTCACTGTATTGTAGAATGTACCGGGAAAAGGGTGTGGTACCATTCATAGTCTTCTATGATAACTTATATATATATATATATATATTTTTTTTTAATCCTATAAACATTAGGCACAAACTTCGCATTTAGTAAAATTTGTTTTTAATAAGTTATATGTCGCGTTTTAAACCGTTAAAAGTGTTTTATTTAAAAAATTTAGTAACTCTAATTCAAATTTAAAAACTAGCTAAACATTAAAAAATTTATTTAGTTAAACAAGAATGACCCACGACAAGACCTAGGTTATAAATTTAAATAAAACTATCATGTCGCACGAAGTTTTATTTTAATTTTAACATAAGAAAAACAATAGTGCCTCAAATATCTGAACATTTTCCCCATGGTTTAAATTTTTATTGTGATTTCTTTTTTTTTGTTTGATTTTGTATTGATGTACCAACTAGTTCTAAATAATATTGTATAATGATATTTGTAACTAATAGTGCGGTTGTTATAAATCTTTAAAAAAAACTTACGAATCCTTCAGGTATATGCACGGACGCGTGAGCAACTGTTTTTAATAGGTCTGTATTCACTCCTGTGTCCCATACTTCTATCGCTTTGGGTGCTGCAGACAATCCCGCCCATTGTTCCTGGTAATATGTCACCTACAGAATATAAAAATAGTATAGAATTACATCATTTTGTCATCTTACATAAGTATCAATGCTAACTTAGATATGCTACAATTAAGGCTCCTAGAGTGACCTAATAACAGAAAACATGATTTTGAATAAGGAGGAAAATAAAATAAGCAATTAAATTAGGCGAAAATAAATTTGTACTATTATTTGTATAAGATCATTTTTAAACAAGATTAACTAAAACATATCGCGTTGTAAACACCGAAAGTGTTTTATTTAAATCAAGTCATAAAATTGCAGTTAGGCTACTCTGCCTCTAGCGGCCTCAATTATTATTACAACTCTTTGTTATGCTCCACAAGATTTTACGAGTACGTTAATGTATGCTGTCAACTTGTGAAATGACAGTTGACACAAAATTGTCTTCCTTGACGCGCGATAATTTTCTCCCCATTCGGTAAAAATATGACATACTAACAGTGGAGCCCCTTTCACCCCGTTTCCCCATAGGGTATCGAGCACACGTCTGTTTCCGTTTCGAGTAATTAATCAGACTTCTCTGACCTGCCCGACCGAAACAATATATTGTTTCCTGGGATTCAAACCCAGGACATTTCATGCTTAACGCAGTCTTACGTTTATCCAAAGCCAAAATAGGTCAACGGAGCATTTTGTTAAGATGCTATATACTGCTGCTATATACGGCTGCGATATACTTGTTTGTCCTCCCCTATCGTTAAAAAAAAATTAAACAAAGGCGGCAAATACCAATACTCTATGCTTAAGCCGATATGATTCTTAATCATTACGATATATATAAACAGGAACTAGGATAATAAACCGGAATCTATAAATAGTTCCAGGCCAGTGATATTCCACTATTCTTAAATCACAGAAGTTCATTGTCAAAAGTATTGGCTTTAAGGCAAAAAGTATTCGGTGACAATAGAAATTGTGCGTTCAGCTAATGCTAAATCAGGACTAAAGCGTTTTCCTTACAAATAAATAAAAGAAATACCATTTTGTTATCACAGAATGTTCCGGGAGATGTAGAAGGACGTTAAACTAAATTATATTTGCTAAGAATAGTTCAACAAAAAAACCCCTTAAAGCGGCCGTTTCTATGAAATGCGGTTAAATTAATATTTATTTATTTCGGGGTTGACTGTTATAAACAAGATACCTGACCTGTTACTGATACTGTTATTTGTTTTTTTAAGGGAGTAAAGAGATCTTACCTCCGGCTGATAATTCTTAGCAATCTCGTACTGTGACTGCAAAAACTTGTGATATTCAGTATTAATGTTTTTCACGTCACTTTCAGTTACAGCGCCTTCCGATACTAGTTTGTCGGTGTATAAATCTGGTATTGTCCTGGAAACAAAGCTTTATAAAGAGACAACAATCTTTATCATATTAGAAGAGTGATTAATCTATAATAAAAATTATAAAGCTGAAGAGTTTGTAATCTCAGAAACTACTGGTTCAAATTGAAAAAATCTCTTCTACATGATCTCATAAATGTTCGCGACAGTATTTGTTTATCTACAAAGAAACTATTCAACGGAATTCGTTTTTCAAAAGTACACGAGAATCGAACTCACTCCCATGATTTCAGTCTGTGGCAAAATAAGGAATATTGTATTAACACGACAACAATAATTATAAACTTAATCTTACTTTCTGCTATGTATGACTTTGTATATAAGTGGATTGGTGAATGTGGGGTCATCGACCTCGTTGTGTCCCCATCGCCTGTAGCAGTTGTAGTCAATAAAGACGTCTTTTCGGAATTTTCTTTGGTACTCAAACGCGATGTTCGTTGCTTTTGCTACCAGCTGTGAAAATAATGAACTAAATCAATGTTTTCATTAATTTAACATTGAGAGCTTTCAGTAATAACTAAAAATGTATATTTTGCAATATATTATCGAGTTTGAAAAACAAAACACGGATATATAAAGTTCAGTGCGAGTTTTAAATAAAGAACTTTAACGGTTTTAAACTCGATATATATTAGTTAAACTTATTTGAAAGCTAGTTTAGCTACGGCCTGACGTTTCGGATGCTTTGCAGCAGCAGGCTCCCCCTGACCACGACTGCTGCAAAGTGCGTAGTTAAAATAATTTTCTAATAAGTTTAACTAATATGTATAGCGTTTTAAACTCTTAAAGTGTTTATTTAAATGCGTACTACTTGCGTTAACTATAAACAGTATTCAATGAACAATAATTTTAATAATATTATTTTTTATAAAAAGATATACATTCCTAGAACTTGTCCTATTATGAAAAATGCTGTGTGTAAAGCGTTGAGTTATTTATAATAATTGTATATATGCACAATGTCTAATAAGTCTTTAATAAAAAGCGTAAACTTTGACAGCGAAAGTCTGCCATAATCGTATAATGAATAAATTCTCAATTAACCAAATAAATATACTTTAACTTTGGTTTAATTAATTTCAACCCTGTTTATTTTGTAAAATTTGAGGTTCCAATTGCAAAGTTACGACGATCAGTATTAAATTCGTTTAATTTATCAGTTATTTTTCGTTTTAATAGCCGAATATCAAATAACTAAGCCTGCCAAAACCTTTAATACGCGTGGCTGTATTTTTTATTACTTGTCGCTTGAAATCTCTGACCTTGGTTACGGTATTAACTCAAAATCCCAAGGGGCACGGGTGGAGGTTTTCCGAGCCATCTCTTGGGTTAATAAGATTTAGAGTTATTACAGCCGAGTAATGATTGGTGACGAAGATAGGGCATACTTTGTCGTAATGTCATCTCTCATGCTGATTACACGAATTAAGATAGCAAGTTAAACACACCCCATTATTAAATAAACGGATAAAATTACACAACTTTATTCAGAGAATCTTCGTCCTAAATAAATGTTTGTTAATTAAAAAGTAAGTTAGGGTTTAGAAATTACGTGGGCAAAAAGTTCGAGGTGTTGTCTAGCCATGTGTTAAACGATACAGGTCGTCAGTTTGGTTCTTGGGATTTAAATAATTTCGATTGGCCAAGATATAAAAGTTTGGTAATTTACTAGCTTTTCATTATGGATTAGGAACCGACACAGATATATGGCTCCAACATGTTACGAACGTACGAAAAAGCAGATTGCTACAACTACATTTTAAAAATGAATTATGATATACGATTCATTTAAATGAAATACTTTAGCGGTTTAAAACACGTTATATATTAGTTAAACTTATTTGAAAAGATTTTAACTACGGGGAGACCATGGCTTCTGTAAAGCATCCGAATCGTCGGGCTGTAGTTAAAATATTTTTCAAATAAGTTTAACTAATACATATCGCGTGTTAAACCGTTAAAGTATTTTATTTAAACGACATATTAAATAAAATAATTACTTAAACGATTATTAACGACACGTATTTAAATGTGTACTACTCGCTTAAACTAAAGACAGTATAAAATATGACGTACGTAGATGCTGAGGCCTTTTAAAAGAACATTCAAATGTGAAAGCATAAATCTCATTGCATAAAAGAAAAATCAACGCGTGACGATTCCATTTTATATTATTTTTAATTCAGAAATGGCTCTTGAAACTGAGCAAAGTGGAGCTCGTTAGAGTTTAATTTGAAGCTATATTTTGTGTTACTTTTCTTTTGATTATATACAAACTGTGAGAGGTTTACAAATTTCCTTTCTTATAAACGGCTTTAAGGTTGCAGATTTATAATGGAAAACTAATTGGCGTTAAGAAAATACTTTTCCTAGCGGATTTTACCAGTAATCTTCTTTTACTAAGGAAAATTAAGGAAAAAAATCTCCATCTATAGGACACCTGACGCCGCCACCTCACCATGTTTAAAACAGTCATTTAGATTACACTATAGACAATACTTCGTAAAAGTCATTCCTACTGGCAGTATGAATGCTTCTACATTTTCTTAATTACAGCACCTAGTTAAAAAAATAATTGCAGATGAAATTACAATGTTTATAGTTTAAAAACATAACCCTATATTTTGTAATATTTGTAACGCATGTTTACTATACTTGTATAAAATACTTACTTCAGGATAATCACCATTAACATGAATAACTGGTACGGAGATAGCCTTGGCCAGATCAGTCACGTATCGGCTGGATCGACCACGGGAAGCTGGCAGAGTGAACCCTATTTGGTTGTTCACTACCACGTGGATGGAACCGCCCACGTCAAAATGCGGAACTTGGGACATCATTAGCGTTTCCTGATTCACTCCTTGACCTGTAAAAGCTGCATCCCCGTGTACCTAGTAAAAAATATCACATTTATGTATGCATAACATCTCATTAAGATACGCTTTCATATGCCTATGAAATTAAAAATCTACATACTGAGACCAAAATGCGATTATACTTTACGACTCTAACATGTGTCACACAAAATGTACATTGATATTTTTAAATACGTTACACGCGGTGGGAATCGAATCCACGACTTAATGATTAATTGCCATACATTGCTGCCATTAGAGCAACAAAAATTTAAAAAATAAATCTTACTTAATACTGTTAATGTTAAATATTAAAAACTGTCAGTAAAAAGTTTAAAGATAACAATTGTAGGTTTTGTTCTTAAGCTTCGCGTCAGTGTAGACATTAAATAAATTGCTAACACTTACATTATTATTTTTACAATCAAGCAACATCTAGACTTCGTCCAGGTATAATTTTAATATGCAGAAAGCTAACTACCTTTATGATGGTCATTAGGTAAATAATTATTCCCTTTACAAGGCTAAAAGAGTAATCCCACCTGAATATTCATAACTTTGTCACCAAATCTCGAAGGATTATTTAAAAGAGTAGCCTCCTTCTCGCAATTTTAACTGCCTCGAACGAGCCTTTCCCATCGAAACAGGATTTGCTGCCTGAAAATTTAGGAAAACATTTCATAAATAAGTCCATAAGATTTTTATTTAAGAAGAATATACCTTTTGTTTACATATTAAATTTAAATACTACGTTAAAAGCGATATATTAGTTAAACGTGGTCTCCCGTGACCACGACTGCTGCAAAACCGAAACGTCGGGCCGAAGTTAAAAATCATTTTATTTTACTATATAAACCTTAAAGTGTTTTATTTAAAAGAATATACCTGAAGTGTCATTAGGAGCCTTACCCCCTTAATTTTACTATTATATACGATAACTTTAAATTCTGAATCTAATCTTAATTAAAATCGACTCTCTAATCTATACTTATATTATAAAACTAAAGATTTTTTGAGATTTAAGAGATTTTTTGTTAAAATGCGTTAATCTTAGAAACTACTGGTTTGAATATAACAATTATTTTGGTGTTCAATACATTCTTTACTAGGATATATATAAAGCGGTTCAATTCCACGACCAATAGGAGCGAAGACAGAGTGGAAAATTTGGAATAAGTCTTGTGCGCTGCGAAAACGGTTCAAGATACCCAAAAATATGTATGAAAGAATAATTCCTCTTGAAATGTCTAAAAATACCTACCTTTATGTCTATCTCTTAAAATTCACTCGCAAGAACCATTTTTTATGGTAAAATTTGGTCGCAGTTAATGCATGACAAATTATTATTTGTTAAAGTTGTATCAACATAAGAATATTATTCTTACAAACAATAAAACAACTTTTGGCGGAGCAGCTAGTGTGCCTGCCATTACTTGATGGTTATTGAGTTTACAACATCCAAGTAATAACACGAAACACACGAGTTTAACAAAACGAAAGACTATAAAGTAATAACCATAAACGGAATGGGACGTATAACTTTACATATAAATTGAAGACTTAAGTAACGCTAACTTAATTCTAACCCTTGTCTTGACGCGTCGCGCCGGTGTGAAAGTAATTAATATTAAAGCGAATAGTCCCTAATCATTAATTATTATTATACTCTCTGACGAGGATTTAGGTTCACGAAGAAATTATTAACTTAGTTACTGCGAATTTTAGCGAATTACAGTTCCTAAAGAATAAAAAGAGTATTCCTTCCTTGCTTACTTTGTTTACGCATAAAAAAATTGAATTTCGTCATATCAATCCGCGTCCCGTCGTTCTTGCAAGTTAATCTTAAAAGATAGACATATCATTTGTTATATGGAAAAAATACTTAAACCAGAACCGCGGAGTCTTGGTTTAACTCTCAAACCATGGGCTAAATGAAACGAAGAAAAAAGAAGAGAAGAAGAAGAAAGAAAGAATAAAGAATAAATAATTTCACTTTTACCACTGTTTCTTCGCTCCATTTTTCAATTCGAACCAGTGGTACCTAAGATCAGCGCTGTCAAACAAACAAACTTTCTCTGCTTTTAAATAAAACACTTTAACGGTTTAAAACGCGATATATTAGTTAAACATATTTAAAACGCATGTACTATTTAAAATTTTTTAACTTCTCCCCGTGACCACGGCTGCTGCAAAGCATCCGAAACGTCGGGCCAAAGTATAAAAATCATTTTTAAATAAGTTTAACGTTAAGTAAATAAGTTTAAGTTTTTTTAACGTGTTTTATTTAAATATGTACTACTCGCGTAAACTATAGACAGTATCAACTTAGCCCATACTAGTATTATTACCGGAATTGGTAACTTACCTCTAAATGTGAGGGATTGTTCAGCATTGACAGCCTCACTGTTTTCCCTTCCACCGTTAAATCGACAGATGCACCTATGAACACAAATAAATTCTAATTGTTAATATATGAAAATAACAAGTCAAAAACCAATGTCACGTCGAAAAGATAAAAGTAACTATTGATTTCTAGCTTCTCCATTATAAAAAGCAATGCATTCATATTATATATATATACGACCCGGGCAGGACTTGAACCGGCATCGACAGCGTTTCGTTCTCTAACCAAGAGATTTCGACGATAACCTATACTTTATCACATTAAATACTGCCTATAGTTTACGCGAGTAGTACACATTTAAATAAAACACATTAACGGTTTAAGTTTAAGTAACTCCCCGTGAGTCTCCGTGACGGCTGTTGCAAAGCATCCGAAACGTCGGGCCGAAGTTAAAAATCATTTTCAAATAAGTTTATAATAATAATAATAATAATAAATATCTATATATCTATAATAATAATAGTTTAGCGTTTTAAACCGTTTTAAAGTGTTTTATTTAAATCTTTATCACATTTTCAACATATTGATATATGCACCTGTCGCGCATTGGTTAAAGCAACATCATGGAGCGCTGTGATGATCGATTCACGTCCCGTCCGCGTCATCAAATGTTTTCGATTTAAAATCGATTTTTAATTTATAGTGTTGGAAAATATTTAAGTTTTTAAGTGCAACACTTTGTTCGTTTATGTAGCGTAAAATGAAACAGCGGTTATAAAAACCTTGTTCTCTCGTGCACAGTTCACACAATTTCAGTAACTAAGTTCCTAACGGAGCAACAGCAGTAATCGAATTACCATAATGACTGAATACTTACTGAGGTGTGTCGCTATATCGCAAGCCGAGTTAGCATCCGGGGGGAATTCTGGGTTCCCATTGAATTTGTGAAAGATCTTGACGGGCGGACATTTCAATTGGCTCGTCAGCAAATTTATTTTACCCCTGTGAGCCATCGCCAAAGTTATATATTCAATGCCGTCTGTAATTGAATTTGTATCTGGGTTAAAACGATTACCTCGGCTTATACCTACCATCTTGGCTAAATGATTGAAAAGATTATCGATGTACTGCTGAATAACTTCTTATATTTAATCATCAACATCAATGTAATAATTATTTTTTTAGGATTAGTTTAATTTTTCACGTTGACTTTTAGTAATTAACGTAACATTAAATGAAAATTATTTTTCAAATGCTGCCAAAGGGCAACTTAAAAAAAGGGCACTTTAAAAGTAAAGTGTGTTTTTTAATTTGACAACATTTTGTTTAAATATGTGGTAATTTGCATGAATTAAGAAGATAACATTTAGATTAAGAATAATTATTACATATCATTTAAAATATAAATCGATGTTAGATTGTATACAATTAACACACGCGATGGACTTGAACCGCCATCCACAGGATTCAATCAAAAAATCGATTTTAATTTTTATAGTGCCATCGTGTGCATATAAAAGATTTCAACAGTAATGTTAAAGTTATGTTAAGTTAATGTTTAAGTTTAAGGGGAAGGCGAAGTAACTTACTCAATTAGCAACTTACCACTAGTAGTTCGTTGAATAAGCGTAGAAAAGAATGTTAACAAAGACTCGGCTCCTTCGCCACAATATCTCTTTACGCTGGGATACTTTGTAGAAAGGAATTTGTCCCACGTTTGAGTCTCTAGCAACTCCTTCAGAATTTCTCTTTGTCGATCCTTCCCGATAGTATCGGAGCCACTTTCTATTCTCTGAGCGAACCATTCGCGTTCTGCATCTGTCTAGAATAATAGGCTTATAAATAAATTCATTTAATTGTTACTGATATTATTATATGCATTGTTATTGATACTGAATTCCATATTTAATGAAAGATAACTTTTACTTTTAAAACTCTTATTGCATTTATTATATTAGAGCTGCACACAAGTTGTTTCTAATATATACAATTCTCATGTTGGTTACCATATTTCTCCGAAACGGCTTAACAAATTAAGATGAGATTTTGTTTTAATTTACAACAACAAGTGATTTTTTATTAAAAGAGCGACATTACGTTTGTTGTAGTTAAAAAAATATATGGTTTTATCATGCTTACTTCTAAATAAGAAAATTCGTACGAAATAGGTCCGCAGTAAATCTTCTCCAATTGTTCGACTAGATTGTTGGCTGGCTGCTTTCCACTGTGGCCGTACAATAAACCTAAATCTACGTGATCTCCAGAAGCCAGGCCATATCTCGCTAAGTTCAGCTCTTTGATGTTTCTGGAAAATTACGGTTTTTTGTATACTTTCTTTTTAATTTTGTATATTATGTTAAGGACGTATTTTAGTTGAATAGGAAAAGATTTGAAAAATACAACGAACATGTGTCATCGATATTTTTAAATTAACGACTATGCGGTATAATGTAAATTGCTCCATTGCTCTGTATTTATATATTGCCTATGCCTTAAGCGTGAGAATTCCTGAATTTGAATTCCGAGAAATAAAATAATTTCGGTTCGTAGGGCGTAGAGGTCTTATCAACTACTTAGCTGTTAATAAAATCAATCAATAAAACGGACACTAATTTCTTGTATAGAGAAGAATCTTTACGTTGAAATCAAAAGTCGCGAATCTTGAAGACCATCAGAGGACTGAGGAACATACCAAAAATATCAGCTAACTATATAATTAACGAATGAATATTCTTTATTCAGCAAATATAGACCAATTAATTATTCATAATTAATTTCGCGGGCGTAATTGAATTTCGGTAAACTGATTAATATCGAAATGTCCGAATTTCTCAAAACAAATTACGCAAGTGCTATAAAACACTGAAAACTCTTAGAGGAATTAGCGATTCGATATTCTTTGTAAGGTTTTATTTATTATATACTAGCGGCCCTGTCCCGGCTTCGCACGGGTAGACATAAATAAGTACAGATATTAAAATTATAAGCATGCTAATTAAAACGACCATGAATCACTAAATTAGAAAAAAAATGTATTTCGCGTCGTCGTAGCTGTTAACGACCTTTGTCTATCACGCTGTGGCAGGAGCCGCTGCGAGCGTTCAGTGTTAGAGGGTTCCTAGCTCTATTTCCTTCAAGTCGCTGAGACGAACTTGCATTTTGTTCTGCAAAACGAACCTGGACATTGGACGGTAGATTTTCTGGCTTCCGATTGAAACGCGTACACTATTATACTTTTCAGATGATCATTTTAGGAAGAAGACTCTCCAATACGACAAACGTTACTAATCTCGCTTGGGAAGTATTCTTAGATAGCTGCGACCCTCTTCTTCTCCTTAGGCATTTTGATCGGCATTTCTATCAATTTGTTTAAATGTAAAAAAGTAGTTATAGCGACGTAACTACAATAGTTAGACATATGCTCTCGCGATGTTTTTTTGTAGATATTGATATATTCTATAATATTGTCGAACATTTTTTTGTCCTATCATTAATACTTTTCGCAGCGTATGCGAAGAAAGACATTTTACGGCAATTTTTTTTACGCCCTCCGTTGGTTTTAGTAAGAATTTCTATAGATGCCTATAGTAATCAAGTACTAAATATAGCCTATGTTACTCAGTGATAATGTAGCTTTATAATAAAAAAAGAATTATCAAAATCGGTCTAGTACTTTTTGAGTTTACCCATTACATACAAAAATACAAATCTTTCCTGTTTATAATATTACTATAGATTATGTTTTCTTATGTTTAAGTGTTTCAATTTCTCGTGGGCCCTGTTTGGGGCAGAAACATTCACGAATCTGTTCCTTATTGATTTTGTTTCCAGGCAAGTGGTTCTGTGCCCTACCTGACTCCTAAAAATTTACTGTATCTTCCTGGGCTTTGAATCATTTTTTTACTGATGGTTTGAATGACTAATGCACGCCCACGTCGGGCAATAGTGACGTGGGGTGTGTGGTAAATCCTACTACAACCTTCTCGGAGACTATAGCCGACCAGAACCATTAAACACACCGCCAAGCTACGGTTTTTTGAGGGAGCCCTGGGAACACTCGTGGATTTTCAAGTTAAGACCTTTCGTACTTAATGCTAGATAGCACAAACACCACGGCAATTAGTATACGGAGACCACGAAATTTCCCTTTAGATATTAATTTCCATTTTTTTTTGTATTAAATCATCTCTACATACCTGTTCTCTTGTTTATAATCAACATTATCGATACTTGCTCGTAGATGGCCATATGTGCGATAAGCGTTAACAAGTTGCTGAGCTCGGCAGTTCTCGTATCTTTTGACTATTATTTCGTCTGACAAATCTGCAATAAGTAATAAAACACGGTCTAAGTATATATGATTTGCAGCCCTATTCACTATATATATCACATTTATATAGGTAAACAGGCTTATACCAAAAAGCGTTTTTTTTCCATATAGTGAATTGGAGTGCAGGTATATTGTCCCACTGATAGAAATTGATTTTGTAAAGATACAACACAATACCAACAGTAATTACCTCGTTTGAAACTTATTATTTTGATAGATTTTTTCAAATAGCTTTATCTATATAAATAAGAAAGGATATGTGAACGGTTTAGACAGCTCACATTTAAAAATAATAATTTAATTTTGTTTCATTGCTTGAAATTAATTATATTTATACTAGGTGCCTAGTTAATACGCAGTGTCTACAACCTTATGTCTATAAGCTTAGACAACTCTATTTAAAAACATGTATTCGAGTAAAACGTGTTACTAAACGCGTAAGTCTTAAGCTCCTAATAAATAATTGTTAATCGTACCCGCAGTTTCATTCACCTCATGCGGTCGATGCCCAAACACCCCCACTCCAGAGTGATAGCTAAATCTTCCAAAATGAACGTCTCGCCATCTCGCTATCTGTCTCACTCCCACTTTCAAATACGCAATCATTGTCAGCACTTTTTCACCAAAACATATCACTAATCACGTTTAAATTATCCCACATTCAAGGTTAGCTAAAACTAAAAGTGCGCGGGAGCAAGTCCGCGGTTGGAGCTGCACTGACTTAAGAAAGAGATAGCGATATAGATTACAGAATAAATAGGAATATTGTTTTCGATCATTGCCTTGTTGATCGTGTGTTAACTGATAATATTATGACACAATGACACGAATATAAAATGTTAATTGATAAAGAATTCTTGCGTAGTAATAAAAAAAAAAAAAAAAATATTTAATAAAAATATTACTATAAAGAAACCTCAATATAATATAGTATAAATATTATATATTTTTTTTATACTTACATAATAAAGAAAGAGGTACTTTTATATGGAAAATCAACAAATAATTATTCATATGTAAGTTTGTTATTTACCTCTACATATTTAGAATGTTTATCACTTTTTGTACCATGAGTCTGATAACGAAGATAATATTATATACATTTTTAAGATAACTGTGTAGCAACAATGATAAAATACTATTAAATAACTGTATCGCAAAATTTTTATGCTATTTCTCTAAAACCATTTGTGATTGCAAAAAATATTCAAAAGTGCGTTTTGCGTTGTTATATTAAATTGTTAACATACACTCTAAAGCATTATGGCCACCTCTGTAGCCAAATGTATAAACGTATTACCTAGGATTGCGTTAAGCGCGAGAGGTCCTGGATTCGAATCCCAGGAAATTAAAAAAAAATGTTTCGTTTAGGCAGTGCACAGCAGTCTGATCAACTACTTGCCTGTTAAAGAACGGATCAGTGATACGGACACAATTATGTTCGCCCCATGCCCCACGAAGGAAAAACGGGATCTCACACACTAAGGCATTATATTATTACTATGCAAAAAATAAACATAGTGGAAGCGTTTTTTTTATTAAGTTAATCATGTTGGTAAATGGTTATCTATACTAATATTATAAAGAGGAAATATTTGTATTTTTGTATATGTAACGGGTAAACTCAAAAAGTACTGGACCGATTTTAATAATTCTTTTTTCATTAGATGTTACTCAGTGATAATGTAGCTTACATTATCACTGAGTAACATAGGCTATATTTAGTACTTGATTACTATAGGCATCTATAGAAATTCTTACTAAAACCAACGGAAGACGTAAAAAAATATGCCGTAAAATGTCTTTCTTCGCATATGCTGCGAAAACTATTAGTGATAGGACAAAAAAATGTTCGACAATATTATAGAATATATATCAATATCTACAAAAAACATCGCGAGCGAATATGTCCAACTTGTAGTGACGTCGCTATAACTACTTTTTTTCATTTAACAAATTGATAGAAATGCCGATCAAAATCAGACCGTGTTATCCGTACCATTTATGAATTTATATCCGAATAAATAATTTAATATTCAAGACTGTCTCAATACCTGATGATTACTTTTTTAATTATTGAAAGCGGACATTCCATTCAAAAGATATCACGAAGTTAAAATAAAAATGCAAACCGGCCGTGGCCGCCACGCCGCGTATCGAGTATCTAATTCGACGAAAGAGGGGCAGTGGGCTCCTTACGCAGTGGGCGCGAACGACATTGCATATATTTCGAAATTTTTTCACAATTTTATGCTTCACTTAAAAAGTGCTTTTCAAAGCTACTTATTATTAGGAATCACACTTTGCATAATATTTGTCTAAGTTCTTTTCAGAATTATCTGTTTGAACTTGAATATTTTCTTTTGTATTATTATTAGTTTATTCTTAATTTCTCTGATTTAAAGTAAATACCTAAGAATAGTTCCCAAGCGAGATTAGCAAAGTTTGTCGTATTGGAGAGTCTTCTTCCTAAAATGATCATCTGAAAAGTATTATAATGTATAATGTTCAGATTTGTTTTGCACAACAAAATGCAAGTTCGTCTCAGCGACTTGAAGGAAATAGAGCTAGGACTCTGAACACTAAACGCTCGCAGCGGCTCCTGACACAGCGTAATAGACAAAGGTCGTTAACAGCTACGACGACCGAAATACATTTTTTTTCTAATTTAGTGATTCATGGTCGTTTTAATTATCATACTTATAATTTAAATATCTGTACTTATTTATGTCTACCCGTGCGAAGCCGGGACAGGGTAATGCTAGTGGTAAATAAAGCTACCATTACCTTCCTATTAAAAATTAACATGACACCCTTAATGCAATAGCGCTGTAAACATGAAACAAGATTTAAGATACAGTCTGTAACGAAATAATACATTGTAACACGAAACAGATTATAGGGAAATAGTTCCATACGGATAGATTATAGACGTACCGCTGAGTAACCATTCTGAATAGAATCTTCACCATTTTAGATCATACGTCAAGTAATATTCTGTAATGTATCGTTTAAACTGCAGTACAATAATATCACAATTGAAGCGAAGACTTCAATATGCCTGTGACATGAGTAATCTGCATGGCATAAAGAACATCTTTTCATCACAAGAAATTTCCTGGCCAAAAAGGTAAATTGTAGATAGAATGTTAAGTTTTATTTCTCTCTCAACTGCAATAAAGTCTTGAGGTCGACTTTAATATGAATCTTCTTTATCTTCACGACCTTTTTAAATCTTAACACAATCAGTATTAATTCCTTTTAAAATCTTCATCTTAATTCTAGAATATTCTGGCTCGGAATATTATCGGCGTGTTGTTTCGGCGCTGCTTCAGTTTTAAGATCATCCCTTAGGCTTCTTAGCTCAGATGTGGTGTCATATTCAGTGGATACGAACTATTTGGACTGGGATACACCGTTTCCTGCTGTGACAGTTTGCGAACAGAGCGATACTAATAGGATTAAGTCGTACTTAAAGAAGTAAGTATCAGTGAAGGCAGAGGAATATTAGCAAAAAGTATATTTACTACCTTAGAGACATTATGGCCTTTTGAAGTTTCTAAACTAAAGTAACAGACTATACCCAGGCGTCATGCAAATTTACTTAAACATTGTTATTTTCACATAAATTACGAATCTAATACATTAAAACAATTTATGAATCTGGCAAGATTTTGACTTTTTTCAGAAGAAAAAGATTTTTATTTCGATTACACTTATTAACAGATATACGACCTCGATATACCCGATCACCAATTGTAAAAAAAACATCAAAATATTAATTAATTTATAATTCCTTGTTGAAGATTTAAAATTTTCCCTTTTCAACGTTCTCCAGCTACAAAATACTTTTAAACACAGGTCCGATCTACCGCTGTCCCTCTCGAATTTCTTCAAGGAGGTATCATTCTGGAACATGAAGTGCTGCCGCACCTGCACTTGGTGTGAGCTCAATAAAACGTGTGTGGAGAATTTTGTGGAGGATGTCATGAAGATCCGATTAAACTGTTCAGAATTGCTTTCCGATTGCTGGTTGGGTGGAAAACATTTTCGTTGTTGTGAGAGGTACCTTAGATATGTTACTGATGTTATGAATTCTCAGTTTAAATTTAATTGTCATATTAATAATAATTTAAATAAAACACTTTTAACTGGACGGTCTATTTATGTACCACGGTTGCTGCAAAGCTATGCGAAACGTCGCGTTGGGCCGTATTTAAAAACCAACAACTAACATTCTTCGCATTTTAAACCTGTTAAAAATTGTTAAAAGTGTTTAAATTATGTGTGCTTTGCTGAACAAATGTAAATATTTTATGTATGTTTGTAATAAAATTATTACAATTTCCAGATTCAAACCAATGGACACTGAGTACGGTGTCTGCTTTGTATTTAACTCTGCTTTACACGAGTCTCCTGTATTTACGGTAAATCAGAAAATTGGTAATCCAAGCTTATTGTTTACGACAGTAGATTCAAGTATGGTAAGTTTTAATTAAAGGTATTATATGAATACATTTTAAAAGAAACAAATGATGAAATCCGTTTTCCCTACATCGCATTTACGTCAGGACACATTTGTATTTCTGTTCACTGATATATTTTTATATACACGCAGTATTTAATACTTTCACGTAATTTGGATTTCTAAATTTCTGAACGGCACTTTCTGTGCCCGCGACTTCTACGCGATAAACTTTTTTGTAAACCCTCTACCTTCTAAATTACAGCTATTACCCAAGATGTCGTCCACCTCCCGTTCTTTCGAATTTTTCCACGATTTCACTGTTACTTGGCTCCTATCGGCCGCAAGGTGGTATTACATAGGCCATTCCTGCTTCAATAAATGGTTTATCTAAAGCTAATAATTTTAAAATTTGAACGAATAGTTCCTAAGATTAGCGTATTTAAACAAATAAACAACCTTCACTTCAGATCTATACTAATATCATAAAATATTAGTATAGATCTTTCTCTTGTAATATTTTGCTAATAAATTTACGGTAGGAGTTTTATTAGGGTACATGGGTATCATAAAACTGATCACGTTCCTCACGAGACGAAAACTAATCAGTAATATACGGATTACACTGAATAGTAATATTCTCTTATTCTAGATAAGAATTCACGCTTCAGAAGAAATAGTCTCGATAGATATGGACAACATATTGGGGCGAACTAATATTTTACCCATAATGGCCAATTTAGAAGCGATTTTAAAGGTAAAAAATGTTTATTAGTGTTAAAGAAGTCGTTCTTTTTTGTGACTAATTTGCTGTAAAACCTTTTAGGTGGAACAAACTGTGAACGATGTATCAGTGATGTCGATATCAAAGAAAATACGAAACTGTTTATTTACGGATGAACAGCCACCGTTTGTGAAAAAGTGGCCGTTCAAAAAATACAGTCATAGCGCCTGTGTTTTGTATTGCAGAGCATTGAGCCAATATAGCCTTTGCAACTGTACGCATCATTTTATGAGTAACTTGGGTATGAACAATATTTTTTTTATAATAGAGGAAAAAAGACAAGTTTGGCTTCACTTGGTGGTAGGCGAAATACCCCAGCCATATAACATCTAAACAACGCTGTCGACCTATTATGGCTTTGGATGTTCGGAAATCCACAGACTGAAATCGTTACACGATTAAATGTGATGGCGTTCTTCATGTATGATGATGGTTTGTGACTTAAGCGGAATTTTAATATTCCTGCGAAACCACACACCCACAGACAAAAACCAACATGTTTCAGCAATATTATAAATTAATCTAGAAAATGCTGAACCGGTGGGGATCGAACCCACGACCATTGATTACTAGCTACATTGCAACCATTACACCAATGAGCCCGTCGGTGAAAAATATATAAAATATTAATATTTATTTTTAATAAAAGAAACTCAACAAAGTTATATTTAAATATGTATAACATACAGTTATAGTAGGATAATGTATGAGATTTGTACACATTATAAATGTGCATTATGTATATACATATACATTCAAGAACTTTTAGTGAATGTTATACGTAGTATGTTGTACGTAGGTCCCTGAATTAATGTAGTTCGAAATTTCTAATTTTACACGTGAAATGTGTACGTGTTGACACAATGTAAAATATCTACACATGTGCCTAATTATTATATGCTAGGAAAAAATAAATTATATTTGTGTATAATTAGCATGCTATGTATCGGGTCTCTTAAATAGAATAAAACAAATGTTTATTCATATACATACATTTTCAGCCAAACTGCCAAGTTGCGGTGTTCATGGTTTGGCGTGTCTGAGCATAAATAAAGGTATCTTTTCATCCTTTACGCAATGTATTAGCTGATATAATACTTGCTGAAAATACTCCTATTATAATTACTAATGGATGCGATTCCCATATTAATGTATTTATGTAAAAAAATATATATTAACGTATTATAATAGATATCAACGACATATGTAAATTGTAAAAATATTTTTCTAAACCGGTGTATTTTTAATTAACTGCCTGTAAAATTGTTTATTAGATGGATAGTATTTCTATTATCTATTTAATATACAGTAATAATATTCCTATCATTAGATGAAACAACCGCCAATAGTTTGTGGATTTTTTTATATAATAGGTCAAGATTTCGTTTAATGTTGTTTTGTCTGTTCTTCTATATAATAAAACTTTTATGCTTACAGATGAAATATTAAAAATGAACTGCACTTGCCCTATGCGCTGTGAAGAGACATCGTATAAAGTCACCCACGTCTTTTATAAGTAAGAAAGCAGATCCCACGTTTTAGTATTTATTATTTTGAGCCAAAGAAAGGATCCACAATCAGTCGCAATTCGAGCGAATCGAACTATTTTCTTTGAATGAGATAAACGTTGCGAAAGTTAAGGGAAAACTTAGTTAGCATTGGTTGGGAAAATTGAATATTCTTTCCCTTCGAGTTTCGTTTTATTTTTCTTAGAATCGGACGAAAGTAAAACAAGGACAGTTTAAGTATCTGATCATTATAGATTTAGATTTTTTATGTAAGAAAGTTAACCGGACTTATAACGTTTAACAATGGTTAAACGTTATAAGGAGTCTTTTACGTGAAGCACGGGGCATACATATTCTTAAGTCCGTTTTAGTGATATTGAGTTTCTAAAATGTAACGGTTCAAAAAGCGAAATATATTAGTTAACTTATTTTAACTATAAGCCGAAATTCGTGTTATATTGAAATAAGCACTCGCGTATACTACAGACTGTACTTGATCGTTTTTTGTTTACACAAAAGAAAGTTATGTGTTATTTTTTGGGCTTTAAACCTTAATACTTACTATTAACGACTATCTAGGGTTAATCTCTAAGCTTTATTATATCTGTGACAATAATATTAAATTTTCTTTTAAGAGACGTGTCTGTGGATGTTAATATTATATCTATTAATTTATTCCAGTCGTTCCAGTAAGTCAGCGGACAATGTAATTCGCTCGTCAAGAAGTGTTGTCAGGCTTGCTCAGTTGCCCACAATAAGGATAAGGCGATTCGCTTTGCGGGATAATCTTGGGCTTGTTGGTACGTTATACTTGTGTTATACACATTCCTTTGCGCACTGTGGGAAATTTAGAGGGTACACTATAGAATTCTATTAGAACACAGCACTATTAAGAAACAAATAAAACTATAGTTTTATTTTTCCAACCGCATATACCATAATACTTTCTCGATGTCATTATTTTTAACTCATCAATTTTATTATTTCGAGTTCAAACAGCACCAAAGCTACATTTTGCGTGATATATTGTTTATGAATTATTTGTTACATCTGTGTTATAAAATTTAGCACCTTTCAAGTTTGGTTTTAATTTAATTTTGTAAGCTCTAGTACAAAAATTGCAAATATATTTTAAACTTGTATTTAACTACTAGGAACATTAAACTATGACGATTTAATAAATTCGGTATTGCCTCTTGTTAGCAAGTTATTATATGTATATTTTTATGTCTGTCCCACTTTTTTGTAATTAACAATTGAATTAAACACACACAGACAAGCTAATTATAGTGTTTTATAAAAGTATAAAATGTTACACCAAAATTAATTAGAATAAAAAAGGTAACGCATAAGAAAAAACTTGTACTATGTTTTCGCGTTTTTACACGCGATTGGGCTGTCAGCTTATATGATTGATTTAGGTAAGGCAAAAGCTGACGAAAGTATTATCCCTGTACCGAATCCCCAATCTGTAAGACAGTTATATAGCCAGACTATTGTATAGCTGTATATCAAGATATTAGTGTTTGTGATATCTTTGTACAAGTACAGGTAATAACTTCACTATTTAAATATAGTCTCTCTTTAGACTAGGAGGTCAAGTAAGTGAAGGTCTGCGCCAGCGAAGTAAAGAAATAAGCATTTAAATATATTATTTTTTAAGCTCTCTTAGATTAAAAGAAAATAAAAATGTGTAAGTTGAAATGAATGTACGATGCAGGCGGGATTCGAATCGACGAACAGAAGAGTGTTGTGCTTTTGCTCTAGTATATAGTCTTGTGTATTCTTATCTACTATTTTTTTATTTCGATTTTTTTTCTGATAGAGACGTTCAGACAAGCAAGGGATTTACTTGATGATGATGACGAGGTTAAACATTTAAATAAAACACTTTAACGGTTTAAAACGCGATATATTAATAAACTTATTTGAAAATGATTTTTAACTTCGGCCTGACGTTTCGGATGCTTTGCACCAGCCGTGGTCACGGGGAGACTAAAAATTGCTACGCTAGCGCCATCTGTTCCGTCGAAGTTGGTATTTGGCGAAACTGGCCGGGTCCTTACAGAATTGACAGACGGTGTCTTCGCGTTTGCCGTTATGCGGTTTATTGGGATCCAGAGTTTTTAATATGGGATCCCAGGTGTTTGATAATTTGAGGCCGTCCTCCCTATTAACCGTAATAATACCGTTAAAGTGTTTTATTTAAATGTGTACTACTCGCGTAAACTATAGAGGTTAAACATCTCAGCCATATGGCATCTCAACAAGATGCAATGTTGACCTCTTTTTGAAACCGAAACGCGATGAAACTTCACGTCTTTTTTATGTGTAGACGGTGTGACGCGGCCGGAATTTCGATATTCATAGCGCCCATTTAATACCAAAATTTCCAGAAGTCCAATTTGTTTTAGGAAAATAATAAATTGATTAGAAACATGTTGGACCTAGTGAAAATCGAACCCACGACCACGATCGATGCCACTGAGCCTGAATGTAATAAATTTTATAAGCAAAACAAAGCGTCGTTGAGTTTCATTCTAATTTTAAATAAAAGAAAACATCTGCGTTAGCGCTTGTCGACCGTGTAACCTCCGTTTTTATTTCCAGTGGACATCGGCGGCGTGGGTGGAGTGTTTTTCGGGGCTTCACTTCTCAGCATTATTGAATTTGTCTACTTATTTCTGTTTCGGCGGGAAACGTAACTTATTAGATAATATGTGTTGTTTCATTTTAAAACACGAATTACCCTGGTTACAATTTCACTGGCTTCATGGTTAAACACCCTGGGTTCGATTTCCGGGAAATAATAGTTCAGACAGGGCTTATAAGGCAAACATCTACTCGTCAACTATCAATTAGTGAAATTGATAAAGAAATCTGTTTACCCCATGGTTCATATTTGAATGTCTGTATTACAGGGGACATACTAACATAATCTGTTAGATCTCTATAGAATCTGTCTTGATGGAAGACTAAAAAAATTTGTAAGGGTTTCTTAAAAAAATTTTTTATGACCAGTCATAATTAAAAATGTTTTAAGGTATAAAAATTTGCATGTTTCTGTCGTAAAGGCTTTTGTAACCGAGTAGCTCTTTGGCAAAACTAGGCACGATCATAATACAACTTGCATTAGCTTCCAGCGTAGTGTTTCCTACAAAGTGATTTATATTCCCACTAGATATTTTGGTACTTGTAATACAATGAAATTCTGGCTCTCAACGTCCAATATGAAATATCGCTAGAGATTAACAAGCTTACACTTTCTATTATATTATTTATCTTTACTGAAACCCACAAATGTATCATTCATATTTTGTTGATTAAAATGGCGTTTTAATTACTTTAAATTTCCTTTTATTTAGAACATAGTCATATTCTGTAAAAATCTTTACTATTTGCTATACTAGGTAGCAGTCTTTAATTAGGTAGAGCCAAGATCATTTTCACAAAAAACAATTTTCATACCTATTACAATTTTGTACCGTAAATTGCAGTCTCGGAATGTTTGAGTCAGTACTTAATTATATTAAAAAGTATTTTATAATACGTACGCGCTGCCTAGCATTGGGTTGAGCGCGAGAGGTCCTCGGTTCGAATCCCGCGGAAACAATAAGTTGTTTAGGTCGAGCCGAGAAGTCTGATCGACTATTTGCCTTTGCCCTTGCATGTCCCTGAAGAGGAAACTTACTATGCGTAATATATACTAACCAATAATTTATTATTATATATTAATAAGAATGTGACATAAATCGTTCTGATCCAGTGCTATAATCACTTCCCTGAACATTTATCCATTGAGAAATGTTTTCTGTTCTTCCGTCGCCACCCATTTGTAACAACTAAAGGGAAACTTTATGGAAAGATTTTTACGTCGCCGTAAAAAGTTAGTGCGACGACGCCGTGAAAGGTTTTGGATTTATAAAGTAAGTTCACGGTTGAGTTTTCTGAAGAGTTAATATTTAGTGGTATGAGGATAGACATGCATTTCACTCGATGGAAGGTTGAAAGCTCCGCCATATATAATATTTATTAAGGATGGGCTGTCGACCCTTTTGGCTATGGACCTTTAGATATCCACAGATTGAAAGCGAAACATGAATTCTGTACATTTCATGGCTGCTTCATCGAGTACACATAAAAAACATACTTACGAAAGTAAAGTGGCATAACCTCTTCTTTTTACTCCCGTAATCCCTAAAAATTTTTTGTAAGCGGTGTGAAAGTAAAACTCATCCTCTTTGAGTATTGCCATAATCACAGACTGGCTCTACGAGAAAATAAAAGCACTCAAGTACGATAAAATAGTAGACATAATATAAATTAACGATAAGTAACGTGAGATTAATCATATTATAACCAATATTATAATTATAATACTTGTCTATAGTTTTCGCGAGTAGTACACATTTAAATAAAACACTTTAACGGTTTAAAACGCGATATATTAGTTAAACTCATTTGAAAATGATTAGTCTCCCCGTGATCACGGCTGCTGCAAAGCATCCGTAACGTCGCGTCGGGCCGAAGTTTAAAATTATTTTCAAATTAAACCGTTAAAACCGTTAAAGTGTTTTATTTTAATTATAATACTTATTATTATCATAATAAATCATTACAATAATAAGTAGTAATTAAGAATAAGTAGACCAGGTTCCTTCTGGTAAAACACTATCGACGAAGATTAAAAAAAAAACTTTTTTTATAATTTGATAGTTCTTCAGTGACCATTGTCATTCGTTCCTGGTTTGGCACTTGGCACTGTTTTGACTTTTTTCTCATAGATTGTAAATTCATGGCGAAATTATTAAGTGTTTTATTATTATTCCTCGTAATAAATACGAGTACATCTCGGCGTCCTGCGACAAATTGGGGAGATGATATGAGAAATATTTTAAGTGAGTATGAATACTTCGTAATATTAGAATCATAAATAACTTCGTCACGAACTAGTCTTTTTTTGTATGAAATAAATCACTTTCGGCAATAGTTTTTAGAATACACATTCATTTAAATTTAATTAAAATTTTAACTAAACATATTTAAAATTATTTACTACCAAATATTTTGTTTTTACGCAAGTAGATTGTCTTTAATGTATCTTAACTTTTTGTTACTTATCGCCTGTAGATGCGAAACGAATTTTTTTTTAGAAAGACTCTACTTAATCTATTGGCATGGAAATTAGCATGTACTTAGTAACTAAATACCACATCCATTTCTTCTACTTCAATATAATATGTCAAACTGAAGAGTTTGTTTGTTTGTATGAACTTGCTAATCTCAGGAACTACTTTAAATTGTGGGAAAAACGGGCAAAGTTATCTTTAAAAGATTCCGCTCCGTGCGCTCCGAAAAAGAATCAAGATACCCAAAAATATTTATAAAAGAATGATTCCATTTCAATTTAATCAAGAACGACGCGGCAGGACGCGGATGACGTCATGGGTAACAGCTATATTTTATAAAGGAGGTTGTGTGCAAAAATAAATAATATATTGCCCAAAATAACTAATATAGACGACTACTAGCAGTGCTAGTAGTTGGTATTGGTATTGGTAAGTATACTTACAAGATATTAATAAAGATATTGCCCTAGATATCACATGTGACGAGGCACAATGCGCGTCTCCTTGTGAGAACTCGGCCCCGCCCCCATATTGCCCGAAAACTATGCCCGACTGCCCGACGGAATGTGTGTGCATGCCGCTATGTCAACAACCCACTATATTGTGCTTCCAGATGAAATTCTGTCAGAAGAAGAAGTGGTTCTTACGTTCTAAATTACTTTAAATCAATTCTATCATTAAACCTATTTACAGAAATATATTTTCTGTTATTTATGTGTTGCAATGTACCGTCCGCAGAAAAAAAAAACTATTCATTTTTATTTTGCTCCTTATTGACATCCGCAATTTCTCAAAGTGAGTTCAAATTGAAATAAGGCTGATTACCACGATAGTGTTATGGTAATCAGCTTTTAGATTCATAAATTGATCTGAAAATGACGAGCTCGTTAGTGTAATGGTAGCAATGTATGTCTAATAATTATTCGATTCGAGGGTTCGATCTGCACCGGGTCTCCACCGGGTGTTTCTAATCAATTTATAGTTTTTCTGAAACTTGTTAGACTTCGTCTGGAAATCTGGATATTAAATGTGGAGTGGTATCACAATTCCACGAACCACAGATCTAATAGCTGTCAAATTTAATTCAGTCTGTGTATTATCGAATATCCGAAGCCAATATAGGTCGACAGCGCTAGATGTTTAAATGTTAAATGCCTGGGGTACTTCATCTTCCATCAAATGAATGCCATGCTTGGCTATCCTGCTTATCATAAAAACTCAACTCAAAATATCACGAACAAAATTCCGGTTATCCTAAACTAATTAGACCTCACTGTTACTAAAATGGCCAATGATGTTTGTCTTGTTACTCACAACCCTTGCGAAATATTAATATACAGAAATATAGGTTTGTAATTAAGTGCGTCACTGAAGAAAGTAGGTCGAGAGGAGGCGAAGTAATGAGCCGTTGAAACGTTATTTATTACGAGCTTGAACGTACTTGGACGAGTACTTTTGCCTTTGATAATAATTATTACGGCCCTCGGTGCCGTGCTACCATTTCGGCATTAAGTAGTTTCAGCTTTAGGGGGAATATCATGAAAGGCTTGGTCCAGTAGTGGTTTTTCCAAACATATGAGACTCAGAAATCTATATCTATACTAAAAATAAAGGTGAAGAGTTTGTTTGTTTGATTGAACGCACTAATCTCAGGAACTACGGGTTCGAATTGTAAAATTGTGTGTTGTTTAGAGCATTTATCGAGAAACTATCGCGTTGTGACTTAGAAGATACAGAAGGAAATGTGGGAAAAACGGGGAAAATTCATCATCTGTATGGGTTTCCGTTGTATACGCTTCGAAGACGGTTCAAGCTTGATACCGAAAAAAATGTTTTGTTTTCGACTCGCAGATAAGCATCGTCAGCGTTCCGTGCTGTTGCTCTACCAATTGAGCTACCGAGTCGTGGTTAACAGTGAAGGTTTACAAAGATGAAGAGGAGGTTTGCAAAAACAAACTTCTACACGGACGAAGTCGCTGACACAGCCTATGTCGCAATAATGTCCGAGTTTCCGACCCAAGGTATGTTGAAAGCGCATTTTAATTAGATACAATCCTAAGGCAACGCTGAAACTAGTAACTCTGAAGTTTGTATCTCACTGACGTGCTTGAGTAATTCGAAATATAAGCTGAACTAAATTTCGAAGAGTTTAAAACAACAAGTGAAAACCGTTACCACACTTTTCAATGAGGAGCAGAGTTTTAAAAGTTACGACTTTTTAATGGGATTGTAGACTCAAAGAAGTAGCTGTTAAATAGTCGCAATAAAAGCCAGTTTAAATCAATCGGAATGTTTTAGGGAATCGCCGAAAAGTTTACTGTTGGCTAAATTGTTAACTGGCGTAGAATGTGGAGAATTTACGTTCCGGCTGTCAATGAACGCCGTATTATTTCTCTTAAGTGAATTTTACACGAGAGAAATATCAAGTACTTTTAAAAGAAACACGTGCAAGAGTAGATATTAAAGGAAAAATTGGATTAATTAGTTTAGATATTAATTGGGTGCAAATACTTGCTTACATCGCAAATATACGCGTGGCAAGTTTAATGTATTATGATGATAGTGCCAACGAACGCATCTAATAACATATCTAATAATATTGTAATAATGCAACCTTGGGTCGCTGCGCCAGCGGATTAATTAAGTAAGTAAGTAATGCAATGTAATTCTAATAATTTACAAAATTGTCCCTGTGGCTGCATGGTTAAATGCCTAGCGTTTAGCGCGAAGAGTCACAGGCTCCCTCAAAGCACCGTAGAGGGCTGGTGGTGTGTTTAGTGGTTCCGGTCGGCTATACGATTTACCACACTCCCCATGTCACTATTACCCGACGTGGGCGTGCATTAGGCATTCACACCATCAGTTAAAAAAAAGGTTCAACTCCTGGAAGTAATAATAATCCTTATCTATATATAGACATCTATCTGATCAACATTTAGCCTTAACATATAAAACAGTGAAGCGATAAAAAATGAATATTAGATACTTAGGTAAAATTGGTATAAAATACATTTCTTGCTTACTAATCTATTGAACCGTTGTGAACACTTTAATTCTTTCTTCAATAATGTAAAATAAATTATTGGCGAGGGCCAAAGTAGCACCTGTTTTCACCGTGTGCCGTCTGGAAAGAATAAATCTATATTAACTGACATTAATCGTCGAAATGCTAATAAAATCCACCCAATACAATGGGACTGTTGTAAATTCGACGTCGTGGACCGTTTTAAAGATTTTATTGGAATAACTGTGACGTCAAACGTCTTTGAAGAATAGATATAGCATTACACTGTCTCAATAACTTCTACTGAAGATATCTTGAATTTCTTTGGTTACTAGTAATCTGTAGTGTTGTTACTAATTTTTGTATATAAAAGATGGTAAACATTTTCTAGTCCTCACCGGGTCCAAAACATGTTTCTAATTTTTCAATTTATAAATTTTCGGGAATATGTTGGACTTCAGGAAGTCAGGATATTATGTGGATGGTAGGAATATAAAAATTAAAATACCACCGTCCACAGATGAAAAAGCCGTGAAGCTTAATCGCGTTTCGGTTTCAGTCTGTGGATTTCCAAATATCCAAAGCCAAAATAGGTCGACAGCGCATTTTGTTTAGATGTTATAGGCTGGGGTATATCACCTACCATCAAGTGAAGCATGGGGGATGCTTGTTTGTATATCACCTCTATCATAAAAAAAACAACTTTTCTAATTAAATACCTATAGTTTACGCGAGTAGTACACATTTAAATAAAACACTTAACGGTTTAAAACGCGATATATTAGTTAAACTTATTTGAAATTATTTTTAAAATACACATTTCAAATAAGTTTAACTAAATATCGCGTTTTAAACCGTTAAAGTGTTTTATTTAAACTTTTCTAATACCTATAGAGGTGGTTTTCGTAAACAATCGAAAAGCAATAATTTAACTTAAGAACCGTTTGCGTCTGATAAAATGGTATAAAACCTTAATTAAAGATGAAACTAATAAAACCCGCAAATTAATAACCAAACAAAATACAACGCAATTAGTGTTCTAATAGCTTCAGGGATGTGCAAAAGCCAGTTTAATCGAATTTCGGCAGCTAAAAATAAATTTCGGCATTAAGCGGAAGTTCGGTTTTGATTGGCATATTTTGGTTATATACATTGTTGTGACCAAGTCATGATAATCTATCATTATTAATAGTATTTAATGGAACGGTAAAGTTAATTCAAAATTTCACTCCATTAAAATTGAGTTTAAAAAAGGAATATTTTTTTAATGTTTGGCTTCGTCTGGAAATCTAGATATTAAGTGGGTCACGAACCACTGTCTACAGATAAAAAAGCCTTGAAGCCTAATCGGGTTTTGGTTACAGCTTATGTATATCCGAATATCCAAACCCAAAATAGGTGGACGGCGCATCTTTTTTAAATGCTGGCGAAAAATGGCGGGCGGGGGAAAGCCCCCCCCCCCAAAGGGGGACAAAAGGGCGCGCGCCCCCCCCAAAAAAAAAAAAAAAATCGAATGTCCGGTGAAAAAGTCGGTTTTAATTAGAGCACATTTGACCCGTCTCTAGTAATACAGGCCTCTTATATCGAATACATTATATAGACATCGTTAAAATAACATCTCACTAGTTCAAAGAAAATCTTTATCAACGACTAAACTGTTTATTTGCACGACGCTTCCGAAAATACGGGTTGTTAGTATAATAGTTTTTTTTTTCACTTACCTTGGAAACGTGTTGGAAAATGATTTACGGTTCTTATCACATTCATTTATTTACATAGGTGTACAACCTTAAAATATATTTACAATAGGTACTTCTATTAAATATTTACAGTTTAGTTCATTACACAAATCTTGATGTCACTCTGTAATATTAAAATTAATACTTACGTACCGTCTGTAGTTCACGCCAGTAGAACACATTTAAATAAAACACTTTAACGGTTTACAATGCGAATTATAAATAAAATAAATAAATATATATCAGTTAAACTTATTTGAAAGAATAAATACGTCTTCCCATGACCACGGCTGCCGTAGTGAAAATAAGCTTACTAATATATATCGCATTTGAAACCTTTAAGGTGTTTTATTTAAATTCATACTTTTTATAAATATTGAACATAATAATAACAAACATATTTCTGGTTCATTTAGGGCAGAAATTTTATAATGGTTTGATTTGGATAGGAAAAAGGACGATCTATATTGTCATCCCTTTTTTCTAGCCACTTTCAATATATATATAATAAATTTAACTAAAAAATATTCCAATACTATACGAATAAATCATAGTTTAATATATTAATATATTTTTTAATTTGTATATATTGAAAGTGGCTAGAAAAAAAGGGTTGACAATATAGATCGTCCTTTTTCCTAACCATTATAAAATTTCTACCCTAAATGAATAATATTATATTTACACGGCTTTAACGAAAGCAGTAAAATCACAGAAGACAACATTTTAGACATTTCGTTCGAAGCAATAGAAAATTCAGTTAAGCTGTGCTCCTGCATCAAGTGGGGGGTTCTGGGGGAGGGGGATCCTTTTCCTTGTGATCCTTATTGAGGGGGCTATTGTCGGGCCCCTCTGCGCTATTTCCACTGTTCACTGCTACCGATGTCAAAGGTACCTGGTTAAGTAAAAATTGAAGTCATTAGTTGTATACATTAACTAATACGTTACAGCTAACTCAAACTTAGAATTATTTAGCTAAGAAAGAGCTACTTCCGAATGTTTTCAGAAATCTATATCAAAACTATGCTAACTAATGCTAATGCGATAGGCATGAAGTGAAGTGTTTTTTTTTAATTCAACCAAGCTGCACGTGGAAATGACGATCCCCTCCTATAGTAGGTTAGTAGGTATAAATAGGAAGATTTTGCGAGCAAATCGGTGCGTGAATACGCTAGCGAGAGTAACGGTGGTCGTAGAACTAGACTATGAAGGTAATAAATTTGTAATTAACAGAAATTTAACAATATTCTAAGTATTATTGTTTTAAATACTGTACCAATATAATCAAACATTAATTTTTTATATAGTATTGGTAATACTATAGATACGAGGCGATTACACGCGATTGTGTTTTGTTTTATCCCCAAGATCTATCCGCCCGCCCTAGCAGGTTTACATATGCCTTGAAAATCGATTGATTTAATGGTTACTTTGAGGGGCGTATTGGTGTTATGTATTGCTACTAATTAACGGGTCCCGATCCCCAACGGATCCAATGTTTTTCTAATCAATTTATAATTTTTCTGTAACATGTTGGACTTTGTCTGGAAATATGGATATTAAATGGTTGACAGGAATATCTAAATTCCGTCCGGGTCCCGAACGTCCACAGATGAAAAAGGCTGGAAGTTTAATCGTGTTTTGGTTTCAGTTTGTGGAATTTCGAATATTCAAAGACTAAATAGGACGACAGCGCATCTTGTTTAAATGCTTTAGGCACCTATATCACCTACCATCAAGCGAACCCCATGTCCCCCTCTATCATTATAGTAAGTAGTAAAAGTTTTTCCAAAGTTATTTTTTAACAGTATACTTTTCTCCTGTCCGATTGCTTAGTTTGCGCTATCACCTTATTTACTGGGGATATACGCCGTATTAATGCATACAAAATTTCAAATTTAAATAAAACACTTTAACGGTTTAAACTAATATAAGAGTTTAACTAATATATCGCGTTTTAAACCGTTAGTGTTTTATTAAAATGTGTACTACTCGCGTAAACTATAGACAGTATTTAAAATATCAAGTTATTTTGTTTTGCTTGTTAAACTTATAAGCCGGATACATATATGTTTTCTTTCACAGCAATGTTAAAACAATGTTATTTGATGCATTAACTTTATAGAATGTTATTATACCCAAATTACAAGCGTGTTTATCAGATAAGCGAAACATATTAATAAATTTCATGAGAACCGTATCGATAGCTCCAGGGGCTCGATAATAGAAGAGTACACGTACAAATTATCTTCTTAGCATGTTCACGTGCTTAGAATTAATTAATGGGAGTTCACCTTGACAGGGTTTTGGGGTGTGGGAGATAAATCGCCGTGTCATGAAGAACAGCGTCTACTTAATCTTCATCTAGTATTTGTTCTAGCAGTTCGGCAATATAATCCAATTGAACTAAAGTATTTATTTTGTCTCTACTTAAGATATACTAATTATATAATTAACAAAGACGCGTTACATTTCACGTTAAATTTCGCGTAAAATTCTAGCGTACGCTGATGCGACTCTAACCATTTGCGAACACCGTGTGCCGTACAAGATAGCTCAATTTGGACAAATATTCTAAGTCAAAATAGACAGATAGTAGACCTTGGCTTGGACCACTGTCACGAGGGGAGCTTGAGGAGCTGGACGGAAACGAGATCTGCCGATCGGGGTTTATTCATTGGAAGGTTTAACGAACTAGCATCGAATAGCTAAAAAGAAGAAGATAATGTAAGAATACCGTAATAGGAGTAAGGTGCGCTTTGATCTTCTTTGGATCTTATAAAGGAAATGTATATTATGACTTACCATAGACACTGCGGTGCAAGTGTGTGCGTCGGACGGTCGTGGTGGTGAGAAAGCTGCGTCGTACTTCAAGTCCAACTGCACCATGTACACTGCCGTGGCAAGAGTTGTCACAGAGATTGACAGCTGAGCAACCGCTACGCCGATGCACGTTTTTGAATTACACCTTGGAAATAAATGAATTGGTGAAAAATACATTAGTGAAACGGTGGAATGGAACTCGTTCGTTTCATTAATCGGTTTTTTACAATAGTTGAATAGAATCTATCTTTCGATTTACTGAGTTTCGAACCTAGGCCCTTACGTGCTTAACGCAATGCTAGGCAAAATGTTTAACCATTTTGTTTATAATAAAACAAGGTATTGAGATTCATAATTGAAATTGTATATTCTCCATTCTATTTTAACAAAAAATATCGAACGATTACCATTATTTAAAAGTTTAAAGGTGCTTTTATAATTCGGTTTTTTATTTCGTAAACGTTTGTTTAGTAGTTCCTACTCTTTCTTGAGCTCCAACTTATTTTTATAGGACCCTAAACTTGTAACAAATTTAGTGTCTTAAGTTATCGACTGTCATTTATTTTATTAGCGTTGTTAGACCGAACAAGTCATAAATGAATCTTGAGAGTTCTCTAAATAGTTTATTTAATGACAGATCTTCGTAAATGATTTGATTACACAATTATGAACGTAGTCGACATTTTAAAAGAATAACATGTACTGAGATTTATACACCAATTACACAGTGACGTGATAACTGAAAAGCTCAAATTTGAAATTTTTTTTGGTTTTTCAGTTATTTCGTCATTATTTTTTATCTATGTATGTTTGTCTCTCAGCATTTTTACAAATCTTTGAGACCTACTTAATTATAAACCTTTTAAAGTGCTATATTATACATTATGTAGATATATATACCTTATTGAATTTGTCGGATAAAAAAGATAATATAGAGTTATTGAAACCCACCATGTCATAATGTCAGGCTTTCAATTTCCTTTCTAGGGTAAATATTTGTATGTGAAAATGTATTCCGTTGTATTGCAGTTTATTCAGCTTTGGATACTTTGATGTTAATTATGTTTGTAAAGGACTGTTTTATGTATGTAGTTTGACCCAAGTAATTGAAAGCCTTATTGTTATAATATAATAAGAAGCCACTAGAAGCAGAGTAGCCGAACTGCAATTATGACTTGACTTATTAATATTTTTATCGTCTAAAAATGTTAATCTACAAGAGCACAGTGACAGAAAATGTGTATAAATTATTTCGAAAAATATATAAATTCATTTTCGTCTAAGTCATTTTTATTTTTATTGAAAATCGTGTTTTTTTTTTAGGCCAATCTGTCTTTAACAGCCACATTTTTTTTATTAATTTTTTTTAAATAATTATTTTTATTAAAACTTTTTTTTTTTTTTTTATAGGGTAATTTTTTTTTGTGGGTTTTTTTTTTTTTTGGGGGGAAAAAAGGTTTTTTTTTTTCCCCCCCCCATTTATTATATAAAAAAAAAAGGGGGGTTTTTTTTTTTTTTTTTTTTTTTTTTTTTTTTTTTTTAAAACCCCCCCCCCAAAAAAATTTTTCCCCCCCCTCCCCCCCCGTTTTTTTTTTTTTTTTTTTTTTTTTTTTTTTTTTTTAGATTATTTTAATAAATTATCGTATAGCGATATGATTATGTTTGTTTTTAATTTTAAAATCTAACATTATTCTCAGTCTACTCACCCAAGGTTCATAAGAGATCTTACGCAAAAGGCGAACATCGCGACATGGGCACTTATAGCTGCTATCCACAATATAGTGAGGGGTACAGCTGCACAAGGGGACGGGCCCAGAACTCTCCAAGGCGGACCCCAAGACCTGGTGGTTCGTGAGCGAGCTGATAGCCAACCCCCGAAACCTCGACTGTAGTATACTGATAGAGCTGTTAAAATATATACAAATTAAGCTCCAGTATATTTCGCAAGAAAATGAAGTATCAGTTTTATAATATCCATCAAGATATGCTATCGACCTATTTTGACTTAAAAAGAGAACCAAGAAGCGCGAAATTTTTCAATCATTTTGTAAATGCATTACATCATGCAGAATACTCTGTTAAGAAAAGCAAAAGAAAATTTCCCCGAAAATCTATTTCGACGATCTGGAATAATTGAATTTATAAACATTTAGTTATTAATTGCTTTTTGGTATAAATTGAATAGGTAATTTCAAATACATAATAGTTACAATAAACCAGTAAAGTGCACGCACCAAGAGTTCCGTATTTATTACCTGACTAGCTGTGTCAGCGACTTCGTCAGCGAGAATAGTTATTTTGAGCATCCAAATTCGTTTTTGCGAACCCCTTCATCTTTATAAACTTAAGCTGTTATCCACGACGACGGTCGCCTCCCTTCCCGTCGTCGTTCTTGCAGGTTAATCTTAAGTCATGGACATAAAACGCCGCGGATTTATTTTAGATCTTTTAAAGAGGAATCATTCTTTAATACATATTTTTTGGGTATCTTGAACCGTTTTTGCAGCGTACGCCTCGGAAACCCATAATGATGAATATTTCTCCTAATTTTTTTCACATTTCTCGCTGTATCTTTGCTTGTAATAATCACAGTGCAAAGTTATAGCCTTTTGGCGGGGGGGGGGGGGGGGCCCGCCGCCCCCCGTCTAAAGCCTTCCTCGATAAATGTTGTAACTAGTAGTTCCTGATATAAGCCCGTTCAAACATACAAACTGTTCAGCTTTATGTATTTGTATAGATACACAAATTTCATATTGTTACATTTTAGTTATTTCGTCGTTAATTTCTGTGTACGAGTACCTGTTAGCCAATATTGATTCGAGTCTCAATGGAAAAAAATGGCGTTATTGTTGAGTTGTTGCCAATTTGATCGGTTTAATTTACTGGCCAATAGTTGCTCAGACTTCTGTATCCTGCTTCACCGAAATGATCTATTATTTTCGATCCCAGGTCTTCTAGTGCTAGGGGGTCCAGCGGTAGTCTAATAATAATCATAACAATTTTTAAATTTGCTATGAAATTTACCTGCTGCTAGTACTGTAACAGCTCCGGCTGGAACACCCAATCCTAATTCTGGCTTTTGCTTTTCTTCCAACCATCCTACGGCACCAACCACCAACCCACCGATTCCGCAAACAATCTACAAATATATATTACCCATATGTAATATGTCTTGAACAAAATAAAACCACACAAATTTGAACGCATTTACAGTTCTCTCTTCTAATAACGCAACGAAGGAAATGATAAAAGAATCGACTAAATATAAGCTAAGACTTATATGTACAGTATTTGGAAAATGAATATATTTTATACATTTATATATGAATATACAGATATTAGATCATCTCCTGATGATGCCGTCCGCTTCGAAACGTCGAGAACCTCTACTTGCTAAAGTCGGCCGAACAGCCTGAAAGCCTTACGCAATTAACATTATTATTATTATGTTCTGTTGTTTTTTTTTTCAATCTAATATCGACGTGGTAGGGACGTAGCTGAAATAAGTTTTTAAAACACTTCACACATCGTATAACTCTCCGTCAGTAAATAGATAAACAATTGAACTAAAATAACGTTCGACTGTTATTGTTAGCTATAATCTTCGGCTAACATAAAGCTGTATGCACGAGCAATATTTATGATAAATGGGCACTCCAGTTAGTTGGCGTGTATTCAATGTTGTTTACAGAAAACACAAACTATTTGAACTGGAAATTGAATTATGCAATGATATCTAAATCATTTTAGAGAAACTTATTTAATTAATTTAAATAAAACACTTTAACGGTTTAAAACGCGATATATTAGTTAAACTTATTTGAAAATGATTTTTAACTTCGGCCCGACGTTTCGGATGCTTTGCAGCAGCCGTGGTCACAGGGAGACGCCCTGACCACGGCTCCAAATCAATGATTTCAAATAAGTTTAACAAATATATATCGCGTTTTAAACCGTTAAAATGTTTTATTTAAATTATTACTACTCATGTAAACTACAGACAGTATTTAACGGAATTCTTACTCGTAATCCAGTCATAAAAATTAAGTAAGAGAAAGTCAATTCGTCGAGTGATATTAGTAATATTAAACCATTACATTGTGTTAATGTTCACTTAAGAAAACCTTTGGAACTCTTTTGTTTTCATTCTTCCTAACAACCTGTTGATATCCGATATCTGAGATAATTAGCTTTCGTTAATTAAATGATCATCTTCAAAGTCAGTAAAGCAATACGCGCTAAAGAACAGCTTTGTGTAAAACTCAATTGTGATTGTCAAAAGCGTAAAATCTACGTTTAAATTCTGTCAGAAATCAGAAGTAATATACACATTATTATATCGCTAATTCAGTTAGTTATATTCACATTTCGTGAGTGAAACATGAGAACTTGTAATTATTAATTGTTATTAAAACAGATCGAATAGGCATAATTCAAACTCTATTAACAAATTACTTTATTCTTTATAGCACTTCACAAAACAAAAAGAAAATAAAAACAAAGAAAAATCTTATATACTAACTCATAAATAAAAGGGGCCGGCAAACTAAAGCGAGATAAGAAATTTAAAAAAAAAACTTATTACGCGGGTAGGTGTAATAAATTAAATGTAAGGTACATCATTAAAGTATACACAGCAAGTAGGAGACCAACTGACAGGAGCTGGAGAGGTAATACTTATAACCTAAAATAACGGAAAGATCTTCCCTGTAAGATCCGAAGAGCTTTTCTGATCTTACAGGGAAGAGACTCATATTACTCATAATATAAAATTTTGTAAATAAAACATGAAGTATTATCATATCGACCAAATGAATTGGTGTTTATTATAATTCCAGAAAATAGTGCAGTGTCAATAATAAACTTAATCAGATTTTACGTAAGAAAAATGCGCCCTGGATGTTTCTCGAAAGTCGAATAAAAAGTGCCAGTTAATAAACAAAAGAAGAACTCAAATAAATAGTACCTGTAGCACTCTAACTCGAAGACCAATCGCGAATGGATATAGGTGCTGATCTCCAATTACATCTTGCTCATCTGCTTTTGAGATTCCACTGACGGCACTGCACACTGATTGCTTGCGCGACCACATCTTTAGTTTAGTATGAAATACTGTAAAATATTATAAGTTAAATTTTTTAAAGATTTAACACACGTAAATAAAACACTTATAATGGTTTAAATGCGAAATATTTCCGCAAATCACAAACGATACTAAGATGAAACACAGTTAATAGAGACTTCTGAGTCGCCGATTAAAGAAATATAAAAATGAATTGCCGAGAATCTCGATAAACGTGTTAACTGGCCGCATAACGCGTTACATAACTAAACCGTTCTTCGTATTTAACACTTCTGTTTCAGTTTTGACAAGCAGATAACAATAAAAATGCCAAATTTTGTATCAATGGTAGCTTTAAATACCATCTTTGAACCGTTTGGGAGGCTTAAATTAAGTAAGCTAAACTTTAACTATTTTACTTAAACACGAACAATATTGTTCTATAAATTATTAAGCACGTTTTTGTTTGCTTTACAGAAGTCGGTCATGGGGGACCACGTGTTTACTACATCATTTGTTTGGCGAGTGTGCGGCAGTCCTAACGAAGGTCTGAATCTAATTGAGTTCGACTGTCTGTGAATATTAAGGGACCTTAATTCTCTATAGTTATGTGAAGGTAATAATCACTTCTATTATATACATCTTACTTTTAAGAACCTTGTAACTAACGAATTGGGTTTGTAATTACTAATATTAAATTGTTGACGGAAAATGTTATTGTGTTACCCAAGGACACAGGTATGATGAAAATGTGCATTTGTTTATGTTAAAATGCTATCTTTAACATCTTCGAATTTTGCTATTCCCATTACGGTTTTCCAGAGGATAATGTTTCATACCTAAGATTATTTGGAGGATGCTGTTCCTGAAACTTGAGAGATACAAGCAGAACAATGACTGCCTGGTGAATGCCTTTGAACACGCCAACTTATTGGTCTAAAAGTTGTTCAACTTTGTTGAGCAAAACGCTGATAAATATTATACGCTTATCTATAGTTTATTAACATGACGCATTATTTTTAAAGATGTTTATGTTAAGAACGATCAAATTGTTCGAGCAACGACACATTAAGAATGTGAGTTTGGAGAGCGTGGGTTCAATTACCGGATAAATAAATAATATAAAACGGAGAAATAATACGGATCTCTTAAAACAATTTTTAAAATTTCACATCTTCAATGGTTCAACAAAGCCAATATTGATTAGCAGTTCATCCTCGTTTATTTGAAATTCTAAGAAAGGTAAGAATTCCTTCTTAATTTTTATACGAAGCTATTTTAAGTATTGTAGAGAACTTCTTGATATTTAAATCTGGATAACTAAAGAATGACTAAATACTACATTAGGTGGTAGAAACTGTCTCATTGGTTTCCTACACCTACAGCAGATTATGAATATGTTCGAATCCGGAAGGGGGGGGGGGGTTTACCGTTCTAAATTTTAATATTTAAAAAAAAATCTAAACATAGCCCGTTGGTGCATAAGCTTCAAAGAGCACATTAAGCTGACGGTTCTGATTAAAGGTAACCAACTCATACTGAAGTGGCGTGGTGGGCTCTTAAACCAATGCGACAGGGAACTTTCCCAATCGTGAAGCGCGTAGGTAGGAAGAGCTGATTTTTTTCAATATAGAGGAGGCAGACTATCGGCTTCACTTGATGGTAGGTTACATACCCCAGCCACATAACATCTAAACAAGATGCGCTGTCGGCCTATATATATTTTACTACAAAAAGTAAAGGAATAGGTAATACAATGACATTCTTCATTCTTATAGCTTGCACAAACCAACAAAGGCGCTTAAATTTCAAGCTAACAAATAATTCACGATACTCAAATGTCGCACCTGACATTGCGTTCTACGGCTCATTCAAAGCTTTCCTCCGAATTGACTTATTATTATATAGAATCCATTATCGGTGTTGAAAACAAAATTGTAATAAAGTCGTAATGCTTATCTGAAATGAGTTTGATAACGTTAAGCTTTCATCGATATTCCACTCGTGTTCTGTAGAGTTTTAAAGATATTTTTTAGAAACGATAATAAAATTGAAGTAGACAGGTACAATGTGAAACTTAATAGATATAATGTAAGCTTATGATGAAACTCCACTTATGTGATAATCCTAATTAAAACCACAATAACAAATAATGAATTAATATTATTATCGATATGACGGGCTCGATGATTTAATGGTAGGTCCAATGTATGGCAATAATAATCATGGGTCATCCCCACCGGGTCCAACATTTTTCTAATCAATTTATATTGTTTCTGAAACACTTGAACTTCGTCTGGAAATCTGGATATCAAATGGGTGGTAGAATTATAAAAATTCCGTCCGTGTACGAACCACCTCCACAATGAAAAAGCCGTGAAGCTTAATCGCGTTTCGGTTTCAGTCTGTAGATTTCCGAATATCCAAACCACCAGTCACACAACTAACCATCAATAAACCTGACGAGTCTGTCCTTCTCTACTATCATCAAAAATATACTTATTACTTATAACAGACATACACATTATATATTTTTATTGGCAGATAACAAATCTTTTATGATGTGCCGACGAGATTCTTATTGATATGATAATTACTTCTTTACAACCTACACATAAGGTACTAAAACTTTTATTCCTATTATGTGAAAGCTCGGAACGTCTTCTTTATTGGGAACTGAAGAAAATGTAATTGCTTTTAGCACCAGGAAAATACTGATTTCTTTGAATTTGTTGTGAAGACAATATTCAGCAAGATTGTTCTCAGAACTACATGTTCTATGAAATGAGACACATTTCACATCAAAAATTACATGTATACCTTTATTACCACTCTACCATTACAGTTCGACGTTTTAACTGCATTATATTTAAATACTGTTTAGTGTAACGTGTAGAGATGCATAAATTACATAAGAATTAATAATAAAAAAAGCAGTTTTCAATTGGAATAGAAAAGTTATTTTGTATAATACTGCATTAATAATCTTACAGTTGCATTGTTTCGTTTTTGTTTTTGGCACTACTGGACCTAATATTATAAGAATCATTAGCTCAAATTGTATTTACACACACAGCGTTGACAATCGCTGATGACAATTAACCTTTATAAATTTGGAATTCAAATTAAAGAATCCTTTTATCTCTTCTTTATTACTACAACAACCAGCCATTCGATCTAAATATTTTTGTGAACTAGTGCTTAGCGAGATTCATACATCTCGCAAGTCGTAAACGCGTTTGTTATGAAAGCTATTAAATGTGGCGAAAATTTGTGGTTAATTTTAGCCAGTTAAAATAATTAACGCGGATATGAAATAACTACGTTTGATTTGAGTCTGTATGTGTTTGTTATCTACTCATATATATTAAGTATATAATTAGTGAGATTCAGTAACTATATTTTTCCCGGACAAATGGAAGATCCCACACTAAGATTAACCTGCTTTCATGCAATTACGATAATCAAAGAACTTTTTGGTTCTACGTAAGAAATAAGTAATTTTTGAATTCTTAAAAAGTTGTTCCTAAAACGTTTTATTCGTGTTTAAAATTTGAATGCTACTGTACATATATCTATAAAATATTCACTTATTACAAGACAAAAGAACTTTAAACATATATAAGTATCATAGACTAAATTCTTATAAGTGCGAAGTACACAGAGAACTGGGAAATAGTATTCATAGTACAAAATGTCGTTTCCTCACCGGGCATTTAAAACTTTATTCCATATGTTCACGTCACTACACTCACGAGAGTTAACAAGTGTTCCATAATCGAAACCTTATTCGAAAATTACATTTCATCGTAAAACCGGCACTTCGAGAAGTTATTGGGGAGCGAAGAAGACGTCTGCTCTGCTCCAGATCGAAAAATTCACTGAATTTCAGGCGTTTCAGATGAGCTTCGGTAGTTAAGGGCGTACGTGTTTAACAATATACGGTGCGTTGTGACCATTGATGTATATTGTGGGTATATAATTTTTCCTAAAAAATCCTGTATCGATTGATTAACGAGCAAGAAGGATTTGATTAGATATCTGTACCTTGCAAACCAAATCTGTTTTGTTTACTCAGGAATGGAATCCAAGCAACCATTACGACACGGAGGTTGTAAATATTTTACATAAAGTTAGTATTCGTTTATTGGATAAACTTCCGAAAAGCGCATACCGCCGATCGATCTGAAATTTGGTATACTTATGTATTTTGAGGAGGCCAAAATACATAAGTATACCTCCTAATCACGAATATCATAATGAAAATTGGCGCAAACGCCATTTTGAATATGAAAAAAACCTCTTTTCGTTCAGTGTGCCTAATCAAAAAATTTTCACGAAATGGAATTACTACAGCGGGAAATATTCCCAGGTCGATTAGGAGAACAAAAACCCACTCGAGAATTAGGCTACTATAGCGGGAATAGATCTCAAGTCTATCGACAAAAGCGGCAAATATTTCCATAGGCCGACTATTACAGTAAAAAACATTCTCGGACTTCGACTAATATAAAGAAAAATATACGCAGTTTGTATCTGACAGCCGAAAGTAAATGGAAAATGCAACTACTATAGCGGACCACATTCATGTACCACAGTGGAAAATCACCACAAAGTTGAAATTGTATAGCGGACATGTGCAACGTTTAGGTTATTGGTGAATCAATGAAAATCACACTCACACACACACACACACACACACAAAACGGCCCTTATCAGGGCCAGGAATGCTAGACAGACAACCTCCACGTGGTGCATTGTAGATAACGCGAATAGTCTGCGCTTTTCGGCCATGCAACCTCCAACGCTTTGACGAACTTGGATCACTATGGGTAAAAAATGGTTACACACACACAAACACATACACACACCCTTTTCGGGAAAAGCTCAAATAGTCTACATTGGTTAGAAATGCGTGATTAGACACACTGAACGTAAAGAGGTTTTTTTCGATTTACATATTCAAAACGGCGTTTGCGCCAATTTTCGTTATGGTATTCGTGATTAGGAGGTCAAAATACATAAGTATACCAAATTTCAGATCGATCGGCGGTATGCGCTTTTCGGAAGTACACCCCGTTTATTTTGCAACGTGACATTAAATTTGATCGATTTACGCTTTATTTTGTGAAGATTTTTGTAACATGTTACATTTAACTGTTATTAACATTTTATTGTTATTCATTGTATATGTGAATCTTATACCTAAAATACAATTTAAAGTACAGATTAGGCTACACTTAAATGAAGCTCAAAATGTTAATTTGTTTTTTTTTTTAATACGCACTACCCTTACGATTACTAAAAAACTTAGAGCTAAACGTATAACTTTTATTTGCGTACCATTTTTATTTTAAATGATCGACTATTGTGTATACAACCAAAGTCATATTCAAATGAAGCTTCGCGATTGCTTTTCTACTTTTGTACAATATTCGTTTCAAAAGTTCTACTTTGTATGTTAAATATAAGCGATATTTCCGCGCTCAATATTTCATCGTATCATTCGTTTCGGCGCCACAAAGAATCGCAAATGGAAAAGGAATACTTTTTATTTGCACCCACATGGGAGGTGTATTCTGTCTCTATTTTAGTTTCCACTTTTATCTCGATTTGATTGGTTTTTCAGATCTTCAATACTGTATATACTTTGAAAATTAGTCTTTTCAAATTATCTTCACTCCCTTTTTTCGTCATTATATTGTCATTAGTGTCTTATAAGTTAGGTTTAAGATACAAATAGAATTTCTACATTGGGACTTAATTAAAGGGTTACAGTTAGAACTGTTTGCATAGAAAAAAAACAATGCGAAAAAAGCAACGATCAAAAATAATTATTATTTTAAACAAGAAAATTAAAGCCTTTAATATAAAAAGCTTATTCCAACTAGGGTAAAGCTGATTCTAGATATCTGAGTCGAGTGTAATATGAATCAGCTCTCAAGGGAACAAACACTCGCGCACATAACGCAAAAGGCTAACCGTTGGTTATCCTTTTATGGGTCTGGAATTGTACTCCGGAGACTTAAGGATCATCAGCTTTTCGCACTTTGGAATATATGGCGATATTTTTTATTTATACATGCATATGTCCTTGCTAACCTTAATGCGTTTACAGTGGTGACTCTTGAAAACAAGCAAATGTTTCCTCTAATACAAGGAAACATTTTGCTTTTTTTTAAAATCCAAATTGTTTTATTCCAAGCTACCTACCAATTCATTAAACTCGGTCGGTTGCGCTACTTCTGTTGTGCTATCAGCAGACGCAAGTATTAAACCAATAGTAGGTAACCTATCTTATGAACTAACGTATCCGTTACGTATGAACGTTCAAAGGCGTGTTAGATCAACGTAATAAACCTATCGAACAAGTCGACTCCCATGTTTTCTCTTGTCATTTACTTACTCAATGGGTATACTTGCTGTGTAACTTAGGAGCTAAATGGAAGAACATACTTAGTTATATTACAAATGTATGCTTCTATAATTGTTAGGTAATATAAAAAAAGAATATCCCAAACAAGGTAATCAATGAAGCTATTGTATATAATAATAAGAGTTCAAAAGATATCTTGCTTTTTATAAAAGTAAATAATACTTAAGAACTAATTTATGTACGACATAGATAATAAATTTCAGTCGCATATGAATGAAAAATTAACAACGGAGCACGAGTTTATTGTTTCTCCAAAAAATCCCCGTTTTGCACGACCACCTTGAATACTTTCAACGTTTTTCCGACAAGTTACCAAGGAGAATTAATTTTTGATTTGCTTGTCATTATTATGACGTCTTTGACAAAGAAACTAAATTCAGTATTACAAAGAAATTATTCATGAAAACTTTATTTAAAGTATGTTCAAAAGAAAACCAAAGGACCCCTCCGTTCCGTTTCCAGCGCCAAGTACGTCTAAGGACGTCCGCGAACGCGAATCCAGCTATGAAATAAGGGAGCCGTGCAGAAAGAGATTCTGTCGATACTTATATAATAGAGAACAAAATTTATTCTGCGGAAGATCATGCAAGAGTTGGATATGTATTATAGCCTATTCCTTACTGTATTTAACATTCCTATGTACATACACTCTATTCTTCTTATACGGATCCTTATCTTTAATTAAATATCTCGATAATTATGAAGGTATAGACAAAATTGACCTCATGACGTACTCACAGCACGGAATAGGATTATCAGCGACACCAACATCCGTAAACAGCTATCCTATAATATCATATAAAAGTAATACGAACGAAGATAAGAAATACGTTGAAGAACTGGAAACGTTTTTCAAGCGACGAAAGAGGGATACTGCTTTTGATTTGGGCCCTTGTGGGTCTTCTCCATTCGGGTATGGCAATAAGCCTTGTGTAATAGTGCGTATAAATAAGCAATTAGGCTGGTCAGCGAAGCCACTAAAGTTAAATTCCACGGATGCCAACATTCCGCCCCTCGTTCGAGACTGGATGAAGGCAGATCAACAGAAGCTTTGGTTGCATTGCCGCGGGTATCATTCGTACGACAAGGAGCACATTGGAAGTATATCGTATTTTCCGTACCCGCCAGGTTTTGATCCTGCATTGTATCCAATAGATATGAAGAGTGATTCACAATTAATTGCGGTGCAGATGGCAGACTTCACTCTTGGAATGTCAATAGCTGTTGAGTGTACTTTATATTTTGATGGCGGATCATCTTCAACGACATTTCTTCTATATGTCACACCAAAGCGAAAGGTAATTTTAAGTGTGTAGTAGGTATTGTATTATAAATGGAGTGATTTCTTGTTAAGTTAAAAAATAAATGTTATTTATAACTTATTTCATTTGACTTTAAAATCTTTATAAGTTTTATACTCTAATCTATAACCATATTTTTCGTGAAATTGCCTCAGTTTACCGTTAGTACCGTAGTCCATGTGACCTTTGAAAAACGAGGCAATTTGTAAAATTGTAACCAGGAGCTTTAAAATCAGATCAATCATTCCAAAACGTACATATCAGGTTATCACTGTAACCTGATAGAGGGTAATATATTCTCTAAATGCTTGCGGGAACACCTTTGGGAGATTTGAAAAATTGTTACAGATAGATCGTGTTTTGTTTATTTAATATTAGATGTTTCACGCTGTATTACCCGTCTTAAAGCTATATTTCTCTATATAGACAGTACCAAAAGCTATATCTATTGGTATCAAGATATAATAAGACAATTTCTAATCAAATCTTAAATTATATACTTGTGTATCGATATGAGGACATTCTTAGCCCTAGAAGCCCGGACAAAATCCGAAAATGTAAATAAATAAATGGACGCTGTTTAGCCTCTTCAGCAAATAGTATAGATTTAGAAGACTGATAGTGGAGGTATCTCATAGGATATGTATTAAGCCACAAGCCTGCCCCACCCTGTTATTTCATTTGTCCGCATAATTGAATGAGACTCCCTGCGGGTATCAAAATTGGACATTGGATATTGCATTGGCTAATTTGAAATACGGATTAGGTAAATGTTATTTAAGACATTATTATTATTTTTTTAATGATGGGGGGGAAAAGATCCCCCCCCGGTTCCCTTTTTGGTGGGGGGGAAACCCCCCCCCCTTTCCCCCTCAAAAAATTTTTTTTTTTTTTTTTTTTTTTTTTTTTTTTTAAAAAAAAAAAAAAAAAAACCCCCAGATTCCAGACTGTTTCAGAAAATTACGCCTTTTTTTTTTTTTTTACGCGGGAAGGGGAATTTTGATATTCAAACTTTTTGTGTTTAAATATAAATTGATTTTCAAGTGTTAGACCCGGTAAGAATCCGACCCCCGGACCCGTTGATTTTTAGCCGTGCATTGCTACCATTAGACCAACCGGCCCGTCAAATTATTATGCACTTATTGTATTTATACATTTTACATTTTGCGATGTTTATCTATAATGAAACGCCTTCTGATTTGTTTGACCGTTGGAGCAGAAATATTTCAATGTACCTTTATGCTAGGTGAAAGGTGAACCTCAATTATTTTCCTTCAAGTTTTTTTATTCTTTACATACAAGAATCGTAATGTGTGGCGTACAAATCTTTTAAACAAGTGAAATAAATTGAATTTAATAGATATTTCTCGCCTAAACCAATATTTAAATATTAGGCGCGCAAACAGTCGACAGTAGGAACATTTGTTCAATAACTCCACTTAATCTAGAACAATGTATTGTCGCTTATAAATAGGGATTTTTCCTAAACAAAATGGAGTCCTACCGGGATAGTGTCGCGCAGTAGGAAGGTCGGTCGAGGTCGCGACATGGATGTGTAATTTGTGTTAACTGTACTTCGTAGGCGCCCGAAGTCATTTAGATCCACTCTCCTTAATTATGTTTCGCTTGTTTCGATACAAATAACAATATTATAGCGCGGATAAATCACTTCTTTTTGGCTCTAGATACATCTCAGACTCGCTCACGTTATTCATCTTCTAAATAAACAGTAGGGTTACCTGAAATATCTATACTAATATTATAAAGAGGAAAGATTTCTATTTTTGTATGTAATGGAGAAACTCAAAAAGTACTGGACCGATTTGAATAATCTTTTTCTTAGATTTACATTTCCTTCGGCTATTTTCTTGATTTTTAGGCATCTTTAAAAATTATTATTAACAAGGGTAAAAAATAGCCGTAAAATGTCTTTCTTCCCCCCCGGAAAAAATTCTTTTTGGGCAAAAAATTTTTCACACTAGTTTCTTTTTTTTTTTTTTTTTTTAACCCCTTTGCATAATATTTGTCAAAGTTCTTTTCGGAATTATCTCTTTGAAGTTGAATATTTTGCTTTTGTATTATTATTAGTTTATTCTTAATTTCTCTGATTTAAAGTAAATACCTAAGAATAGTTTCCAAGCGAGATTAGCACAAGTTCGTCGTATTGGAGAGTCTTCTTCTAAAAATGATCGCCTGGTTCAGTTCGTCTTGCAGAACGAAATGCAAGATCGTCGCAGCTATACGAACGACAGTCAAGCGCCGAGCGCTCGCAGCGACTTGAAAGAAATAGAGTTAGGAATTCGCGAACGCGTGCACGGGAGTCTAACACTTAACGCTCGCAGCGGCTCCTGACACAGCGAGATAGACAACAGTCGTTTACAGCTATGACGCGCAATACTTTTTTTCTAATTTAGTAATTAATGGTCGTTTTAATTAGCATCCGTATAATTTAAATATCTGTACCTATTTAGGTATGTCTACCCCTGCGAAGCCGGGACGGGCCGCGAGTTATTCTTTGAAGTAGTTTACGTTGAAACGTTAATATTCTAAAACTTTTCCTAAATTTAGATTAGTTTACTCGAATAGGTTACTAGGGGGAAAAATAAAACAAATTATAATATTAACGGAATAATTTATTAATACACTAATGATTTAATGATTATTTAAAATTCACACTATTTTAGAGAGTTGTTTTAAATAGTGAATATATTACTTTTTTAAAGAAAAGCCTAATTATAAAAACGCTCTTCTCAATTCTGTTCCATAGCTTACTTTCTTTATGTACAACATTCATAGTTTTAGAATCTATATTAAAATTTCTGTTACATTATCGAATGGTATTGGAGTTCACGATATTCTTTATTAATAGTGGCTAAAGATCTTGTAGCTAAAATGTTACCGTTAGGATTCTCTCGTTACTATGCCACTGTTTAAAATACCATTTGATAGCATAACCCTCTTACATTATTTATTCAATTTCTGAAGGAAAATTGTTATGTTTTAATATTAATAATTTTATTGGCACTAGCTAAGTTCTATCACATTCAGAAGTTGTAAACCTACCTTCAAATTAGGTATAGAAAGACAATTTCCAAAATATATAAAATGATTTTTACAATTAGTAATTGTTGTTTAAATAAAACACTTTAACGGCTTAAAACACTAGTTATATTAGTTATTAGTTAAACTTATTAGAAAATGATTTTAACGTTTCGGATGCTTTGCAGCAGCCGTGGTCACGTCGGGCCGCAGTAAAAAATCATTTTCTAATAAGTTTAACTAATATATCGCGTTTTAAACCGTTAAAGTGTTTTATTTAAATGTGTACTACTCGCGTAAATTATAGACAGTATTTAAGTAAGTGTAGTTATCATAAACTGATGTTGCATAAGTTCGATGTAAATTAGAATAGGACATTATTTAGTCTAATAAAAATCATAACGTCCATCTACTGTCCGAGATTAAAAAAACAAAACACTATACGTATGATAGATAGCTTATGAGATACATCACAAGTAGTTTTTGGTACGACAGATAATATCGAGCATAGAACCTTATATATAATTCAATCGTTATTAAAATAAAACAAACTCCTGTGTTTAACGTTAAATATGAAACGTAAAGCAAAGATAAACTTCTTGATAAAATATTAAACGAGCAATTTACACTAAGCTGTCTTTGCTAAAGAGAATTCATTTACTATACAATTCCCAATTTTAGCAATAATTATCGTAGGCTTATCAAAAATAGAAGGATTACAGTTAAATATATATCACAAAATATATTCATTGTTACAATTTAACTTTGTTTTCAATGCCTTAATAAAAGTAACGTTCATTCGTCTACTTAATTTTAATACCTAGAAAAAGAACACAATTGAAATGAACACATAAAACAAGGTGCTCGCATAATTTTACTATGTAGTTACACTTTACTAAATATTACTTAAAATTACGATGAAGTTAATGGAGATCAGAAAAATCATGATCATTACGAGAAGGCAGAAAATTTTGGCATTGAAAAAAAGTTATCATAGGCCTGACGTCATTGTGGACCACTGAAAGAGAGGTATTTTTTTATTCACTCATTTTCTTAAAATGTAGCTTAAGGATAATTCTATTGTTACAACAAAATAAAACCGACAAGCGTGCATAGAAAAAAAACAGAAGTTGCTTCTAAATTGAAATCTGAAAAGAGAAATAAAATAGTATTAAAACTAAGACGTTAATGAAAAAGTTAATTTGGATACTATTCCCTAAATATGTAATGGCTGATGTAGCGAGTGTAGTGAAAAATGTCATGTATTTGAAGGTGTATAGCTACATATAGAATATGTCATACATTTTTTATCATATGACTACATTATATAATATACATAGACTTTGAAAACATCTAAACAATAGACAATTTATATTACAAGACAATCGTTAAACTGTATGACACAAACAAGTTTTTGTACAACATACACTCAAAAGAGAGATCTTAGATCTAAAATGGTAAAGTTAAGAAAACTTTAGACAAAATAGGATGTCGTAAGTGGTACTAAGCTAGCCTAATGAAGAAATACATGTATACATAACTAATATACAATCTATTAACAATGGACGAACACATATCATTCGAGCGAATGCAGTCTACAGTACAATCGTATTAAGTAAAATATCTACAAATTTATGAGAATGTAGCAACTACAATATGCAATGGTAATTAATATTAGTCTTTAAATACAATAGAAAGTAGGTGTTACTTAAAAAACACATATAAGCAGCGACTAAGGACTCTACTACTTTTTATTGTATTAATATTAGGCAAACATCTCTAAGAGTAAACCTGAAGACTTAGACTTTGCCAGTTTTTAAAGCTTCAAGAGTACTTACTATTTATGACTGATTAAAAGTCCTTTTTTCTACATAGCATACTGATTTGAAAAAACAAAGTGCACATTTTTACTTAGAACTAAACACGCAAGTTACCGCTAAAATTTCAGATTTATAGAGATCACATCACATTTCAATTCTTAGCGTCACTTCACAGTTAGCACTACATAAAGTATTCAGGTAACTTTAATAGGCCACTTGGACAGGCACGATTAATAATAATTATACTTTTTAATCAATTTTGGGTCTTTCGGCTCTATTTACTTGGCTCTGATCGGTGGTACCATGTTGGGAAAAAATCTCATGAGAATCACGCTTATTCGAAGCATCGCTATCGGAATGTACATTTCTACGGGTAGCGGTGGTCGCATATAAACTTTTGCCTCTATTCACGTTAAGGTTTTCAGTTGCACGGGTACTAACACTGGATCTACCGCCGCTGAGGATATTCTCACGCGAATTTTCACGAGCTATGAGATTAACGTGATCCCAATTACCACCGCGTACGTAGTTACGGAATTCGCGAATATTGTCGCGAACTTGAACTAATTCGCGATAGAGACCGTAACACCAAAACAAACCTCAAATGACAAAGAAGGCAACGATGACGCCGAGCAGTGTGATGATGTTGGACACCGTGCTATGATAACCTTTACTCCAGCTGCAGTCAAGATCCTTCGCTATAATCTGAAGAAAAAAAGGTATGATAAAAAGGGCAAAGTTAAATACCGCTATCTCCTATGAAAACGTTTGGGGGCGTTTATATGTTTGTTTCACTAATCAATTTTATTGTATATATAGTAATTGTTCGCCGAGATTTGAACTCAGGACCTCTCGTGTTAACGCAATGCCAGGCGTTTAACCATTGATCTACAGATTTCACATATCAATTCTGATCAATGACTTAGGTTACTCAAAAAAATAGCAGTTATTTCATTTACATACATCGCTCAGAGTTCTATTCTGGTAAGAGGGGCAGGTGGCAAGTCTGACATCATCCAAACCGTCGCAATTGGATGGATTGTCACAAAGATACTGCCTTCTTTTACGGTCCCATGCTTGTACCCACCTAAAAGAAAATAAAAAAAATATCAATAGGTTTACGCCGGGAACCACGTTTAAAATGTTGATATTCGTACTATACGTTGGTACATACATACAGCAGTGGTTTGCTGTAAAAAAATGCGCCTATATGTCGGGTCGTAGTTAAAAATTAAATGACGTATAACCAGTTTAAGTGATTAGATAGAGAAAAATTGAATTAAAAAGGGGGTAAACAAATGTGATAAATTCAATTCCTTACCCGATGCCACAGTCGCAAACGAGAGGATTACTAGCAATGAGGATGTCGTTCAAAAATAAATTGTTAGGAACACCGGGCCATTCCTTGCGCGCTGGATTGGGAACTCTCTTCAGCCGATTGTTTCTCAGATCCAGAGATAAATTCTTAATACGACCATGCCTCCAGAACACTTCGGATGAAATATCCTCGATACTTGTGTTGAATATTGTTAATCGCATCTCTCGTGAGCAAGCGCCCTATAACAGAAAATTTTATTAATAGTATCAACAAGAAAACGAATTGTGATTTCTCCTTGTTTCATTATTTTACTTACATTTAACAGATTCTGTGATATAAACTTCAAATCTCGTCCAGTTAATGTGATGTTATCTAATTTGCATGGTAGGTCACCCTTCATATCGTTACCCAGATCGACTTGAGAGTTTTCCACGGATAGATACAAATTCTCCAAAGCAGCGTTTTGTGATGTCATTTTGGGGACGTTAAAATCTCTTACATTGCCATTGACAGAAATTTTTAATGTCCTCAAACCATACATTTTGCTGAACACTCCGTACTGGAAAATAGAAGTAACAGGAAATGTTAATATTTGTAACAGTATAATGAATTTCAAATTAGGACCCTATATTTTCACTACATTAACTAGCTGTGTCAGCGACTTCGTCCACGTAGAATAGTTGTTTTGGGCATCAAAATTCTATTTCGCAAAACCCCTGTTAAACTCTAGGCCATGATATCGTCTGCGTAGTGTCGTTTTTCCAGTTAATCTTAAAAGATAGATATCGCGGACCTTTTTAGATCATTTAAAGAGGAATAACTTTTTACACTATATATGTATTTTTTGAGTATCTTGAACCGTTTTTACAGCGTACGCAACGAAAACCCAAAAGGATAGATAATTAATGTAATTTAATTTTTTAATTTGATAATTTTCATCGCTTTTTCAACATTTCCCGCTGTTTCCAAGTTGTGCGCGACCACTTGCCTAGAGTATGGCGTTTAAACAAACAAACTCTACAGCTTTATATATTAGTGTAGATTAAAAACACAAACCTCCAAAATGTTTAAGCGAAGTCTAGTAACATCCAGATATTCAAGACGTGGAGATAACCCATACAAGCTTGTATTCATCAAAGCTGTAATTGGATTACCCGATAAAGACAACCAACGGAGATCGCTTAGAGAGTGTGTCGCCTGTAATAAAAATATATATTATACAACGTTTCCAACAAAATTTTACATGAAAGTAGGTGTTCCCAGTACTTACAACAGGCACTTTAGTGAGGTCGTTGAATGACAAGTCGAGTGCCCTTAGACGAGTCAGATTAGCTGTAGTGTCCGTAGGAAGCGAGGGTAGATTGTTGTATGACAGGTCTAACGTTTTAAGCTTCGGTAAGGGCAAAGACGGTATCTGGAAAAAGAAAAATATTTGAAAATTTTAAATTTTTTTTCAATGACTGCAGGCACTATATAATATAAAATCTCGGCAGGACTTGATACCGGCATCGTCAACGTTCCGTGCTATTGCTCTAAGCAATAAAAATATTTAAATAAAACATTTTAACGGTTTAAAACGCGGTATATTAGTTAAACAAATTTTCAAATAAGTTTAACTAATATATCGCGTTTTAAACCGTTAAAGTGTTTTATTTAAATGTGTACTACTCGCGTAAACTACAAACAGTATTTAAGAAAAATATCGTTAACATCCAATTCCTATGAATATTTACCGATATAAGACATTAGTAACGACATAAAAAGCCAACGTGTAATATAAAATAAATAATCTATTACCGATCAATGAAAATGTGTGTGTGTGTGTGTGTGTGTGTGTGTGTGTGTGTGTGTAATACCGTGTTCCCTACATAGAGCATGGGAAAGACACCTTTTTGTCTGTATTATCGATTTTATTTGTCAACAACTGTTAATCAGATTTCTATGCCATACTTGATCGAAACTATTTATTTTTTTTACTTTCTCATTGATGCATTGCCTTAAGCGTTTGTTATTCAAATCAAGATCGATGATTGACGTGACAATTATCATATATTGTACTCACAGTTTGCAAGCTGACGTTCTTCAATCCCAAATATGATAGCCGTCTTTCCAAACCCTTGAAGACATTTCCACCACGATCGCCGTTGTTGAATGGTAGGTTGTTGCTCAAATCCAGCCAACGAAGCTTAGGCAGTGCCCCAAAAGCTCCACTCTCTATTCTTACTAAATGATTATTCGACAGATCTAACCATGCCAAAGACTGAAAAGTATAATAAAGCGTTTAGTATAATACCGTTGTTGAGAACGTTAAAATATTTAAAGTAACATTTTAATAGAGCGCTGTACAGAATAGAAAATAAAAAATGCACCTGCCCTTTATGTGGAACGAAACATAATTACACTAAAAAACTACTAAGTGCTTCTACTACTAGACATATACAAACCAATGCAAAACTTGAACGAATTAAACAACACAAGCAAGTTGCAATATCGGAGAACAAATAAAGATATCAAGTAAAATTTAAAAAAATATTTAAAAATTTAGAAAGTAAGGTCATTTTCGAATTACTATAACATTAGCTATTTTAAATAACCTATAACAGTAGATAAAATTCCTTAAAAATAAACCATCAGGAAATAGCGAATCGCTTGATAATGTTAAAGCTTCCGAAAAGTAAAAAAAAAACAAAAGAGATTTGGGAGTGAGTGGCCAATCTGTCTACCTTGTAGAATATGTTCTGCGGATATTGCTTTTTATGGTGGAAGACTCTGGTGTGATCTCGCCTAGCGGTGTGGTACATGTACTCATCGCTGTAGTCGCTATCGTCGGGCCAAAACTCGCCCGCCTCGGAGTTCTGGCGACATGCGGGTTTTGTTAGCGAAGCTACACTGGCTGGTCGATACATATTGTGAGCATGGACTTAGCAAAACTCTACGTACAACAATAAAAAATGAATTATTGGAATAATGAAATATTTATGTGCCCAATATGTATCGACTAAAAGACATCACATTTGCATCACTGGTTACAACTACAACATCAACTACAAATTGCAATGGTTAGTAAGAACTCGAATACTGCGTGAATATTTCTAAAATTTATATTAAAAGAAGACAAAGATTACATTTGTATGTACAAAAAGGTGTACCGATCCAAGTATTAAAACTAAATTAGAAACATTCACATGTTATGGTCCAATAGATTTTTCTCGTAATTTTTTTGTTGCTTCAGATTAAAATTAAACAAAATGGAAAGTTTATTGTAAAGATAAGAAAGAAACATTGAACCAGTATTTCTACCTCAAAAGTGAATTTTGTGTACATATTTACTATCAACCTTACCGACAGTATTAAGCAAAGAAATTTGATAATATCTACATTTTAGTAAATAAGTAATATTTTTGGGCAAATATTTGAGTTAATCATTTTTTTTATATTATCTTCTGTAGATATTATTTTTTATATTGTAAGTTTTGGATAAGAATTAACCCCAGAAAAGATTTTCAAATAACCGTGCCATTTACTGTGTTCTTTTACTTACCCTGAATCTTTGAACAAGATCGGGAATGGCCACTGCCGGAACAGTATTGCTACTCAAATCCAGTTCTACAAGGTTTGCTGCTGCGCCCGGTGATAATGCATTTGTGGGCATTCTCGATAAGTCATTGTTTGATAAATCTAACCTGTTACATTATGTATTATTAGATGAAACGTTAAACATCTTTATACTCTAGCCTTGCAGTACTTTGATAAAATAAAATGTTTCTATTGCGTTGGACAGGAAGAAACGGATACAGAAACACTCAAGTTTTGAAAATCTTAAGAACTTTTAATAATATAAATGTAGAAAGCAATGAAGATATGAATGTAAAAATACCTTTCCAGAACAGCCGATAAAATAAGGTTGTCAGCCAAATTCCTGATACGATTATGTGAAAGATCAACAGATGTCAGCATTTGCATATCATGGAACACTTCAACCGGCAGTTCAACTAGATGATTATGCGCCAAGTTCAAAATCTGAAAACAATGAAGCATTGTAACACCAATACATGATTTGCGATAGATTGCACATGAACATGAAAATATTAAATTGATGATTTCGAAATAAAAGTAATGTCCAATGAAAACAAATTAAATGTTACTTCATTTATCAATTTACTCGTAAATAACCATTAATGATTAAACCGAGTCCAAGTCCACATATGTCCATCTGTAATTAATTAAAGACAAGTTTCTTTCAAAAGAACAAAACAATCACAAAAGAAACAAAGAGACAAGGAGAACATAAAACAATACAAAAACTCTTCTATAACCCATGTTATTCCAAAAGAATTAATGTTAAGTAGTAACTATCTAAAACTCTAAACTAACGCAATGTGGCTCTGTCGAAAATTCTCTGTGCCTTTTTGTAAATGCATTGATTAAAGACTTACCTGCAAATTCTTGACCTTTTTAAAGCAATCATATTCCATGTGGAATATTTGATTATGTGACAAATCTAGGTACTGTAACATGAGCATCGAGCCAAATACTTCCCTTGTTATGTTTCGTATTTGATTGTGAGATAGATGCAACTCCGATAGCGTCAAGTCAGCGTGTCTGGAATTAAGTATTATTTTTAGTAATACTGGTAACTCTAAGAGTGATAAAATTGGCTGCAAGGGTTGATTAATGAATAAAATCCCTTTACTCCTTAACACTTAGGTGCAATATATAGCTGCAGTATAATTTTAAATACTTGTTTTAACAAAGTTTTACTAATTAACAAATGACTAAACTTACCTAAAGTAATAGGGAGCTATGTAGGATATATTGTTGTGAGAGAAATCCAACACTCTTATGTTCACAGACACCGTTCCGAGACCTGAAAGTATTAAGTTACTAATTACAATTTAGAAATAGTTACAGCGACTAAAACGCAAATAAAACATAGCGCTAAACGTACAAAACAAACGATACGGCGACGCCGTAACAGCTTGGCCTTGTTTAGTCTTATCTGAATTTTCTGGGAAAATTAATAACGGAATTAGATTGGAAATTTCAAAATGAAAAGTGCCAAATGAAACCAATCGAATCGAGAAAATCGATTTCGTCATGTCCGAACAAAAATTTTCCCGGAAAAACCAATAAGTATGAAGATTCCGTGTAACCAATTTGAAAACTGTTCGTCCGTCTAACAATTTACAAGGGGTCGTCGAGAAAATTGATTTTTTCGATTTGCGTCATCAATGATACCTTTATGACTATATGTCGGAGATGGTAATGTGTATGAATATTGATGGTGCAATATGCCATTGGGTTAGTAATGTGATGACGGTCATGACATCGAAAATCCAGTAATCTCGATATTAGGCCTTAACAAATCCTTACCCCTAGTGGCTTGAAAAGAAAATATTTATTAGAAAATAAATTACAAACAAAAAGAAGGAATAATAAAAGTCACCTTGCTCGTCCACGGATATTAAGCCTGTTTTGGAAGCGAGATGAAAAGAAAGAACATAAGCATAACACAGAGAAAATTAAGATAAAACTTACGTTGAAATTATTAAGGCTTACCTAATTACGTTAGAAGAAAAAGTAACAAAAAGATATAAATATGCATAAATTATAGTACACAGAGGCAGAAAGATTAAGTTGTAAAAAAATATTGCGATAACATTGGAGTATAAAAAGAGAGAATACTTACTTTGCGCTTTAGGTGGAGGATAGAAGTTCGATGAAAAGAAACTTGGTGCATTGGAGTCGGTCAACGATACGATTTGGTTGAAGGAAGCATTCACTTTCAAAGCTGTAGCTGAGCCCACTTGGTCGAATATCGAGAACTTAAATGTTTCTAAGCGGTTAAATGATATATCCAACCTGAAAAATTAAACAGTTTAAAAATATTAACATATTATACAGAGTTTCGGATAATGTTATTTTTAGTAGCGCGAGTATTTTTTTCTTACTCTTTTAAAGCAGGCAGATTTTGGAATGCTTCCTCGCTAATGTCTTTTAATCTGTTTCCTTGCAATCTGATGACTTTCAAATTATCAACACTCATAAAAGCGCGTCGTTCGATAGTTTCTATCAAGTTGTCTTCAATTAGAATTTCTTGAAGCTCCCTGAGGTCTACAAATGTGTGTTGTACAATTTTTGTCATTTTGTTGAAGGATAGGTAAATGCTTTGTAGTTGTCTATGTATATCGCCCTGAAATACAATATGTAGTAGTTATTACCTCATCAAAAAATAAAAAATATATGACATAGGCGGGCCAGGAACCCAATACCTAGATGTGTAGAATATTTACCACGTTTTTTTAATTAGGGAAAATTCTTAAAATGTATGTACTTTTTATATCAAGTCTAATTCAAATGAAAATACTGTAATACAACTCACCTGCAGAGTTCCTTTAGAAAAATGTTCAATAAGGTTATCCTGCAGATTCAAAGTCTTCATCTTATAAAGAAAATGGAAGGACGTATCCGGTACATTTTTCAATTTGTTATTACTGAGGTCCAGATGTTGTAATTCAATAAGAGCCTTCAGCGGCTCGAATGGCAGGATTTTTACAGAATCCGCGAGACCGTTTGCAATTTTCAACGTCGTTAGACTATGTAACTAAAAAAAATCATAGTAAACATAACGCTCTAAAATAGTTTTAATTAGTCTTAAATGAAAAAAGAAAACCAATTACCTCAGCAAAGGCGAATGGGTCGATGAAGTCAATGTTATTCTCTGATAAGTCCAGGGTTTTGATGGTCCTAACATGCTGAAAAGCGCTCGCCTCAATCTTAGTAATAGTGCTTCCGAATATCTTGAGATCTTCCAATTCAAGGCCATATTCTAGAAAATCCTCCGAACTTATACTTCGCCGAATCAGCTTACTTACCGCTAAGAAGCGAAGGGATCGCATTCTGAAAGTATTGTCAAAGATATATAGGTATAGATTTTGCTCAAACATTTGACTATTGGAGCAAGGTACTGTTGTCCTGTTTATACTTACCTCCTTATGTCTTGCAAGCTCATTTCAATAGGCGAAGACCCGCTAATGTCTAAATAGAACAGTTTATACTGGAAATTATTAACAGAAGTTACTGAGAAGTCGGAGGGGTTGCCAGTCGATAGTAAATTCGTGTCCACCTGAAATATTAAAAAATGTCACAAATTACTTTTTATTTTAATGTAATTCAGAAGGGTAATAATTAAATACATATCTTTTATAATTTCTGGTTTTATTGCTGTAGAAATATATTTAAAAAATATGTTTATATTACCTTATTCTCTCGCAGATTCAGGAATCTAAGCGAGTCCAACTTATTGAGCATAAACTTGGAGATCATAGTAAGGTTGTTTTCAGACAAATCCAGGTTCTGCAGCGTGTTTTCTAGACCAGCGAAGGAAGCGGGAGAAAGTTCAGTAACGCCGCAGTCTCGTAGTGACAGAGATCGAATTTTTGCATTGCGGAATGCGTCTTCCTAAAAACAATTTATTTAATTTATTTATAGAGTGAGAATAAATGTAATTATTTATTTCAGAACACATAATTCCGATACAATATAACATATAGGGATTTTCCAAAAACAAAAGCTTTAAATTAAAAATTATGTGTATTAAAGATTTTAATAGCAAAACATTATTTAAAAACTTAGAATTTAACAAATTGTTAAAATGATAAAGTATACTTACTCTTATCGTGTATATTGGATTTCCATCCAAGCACGTTGTATTCAAGACATTGAAGTATTTAAACGAACCGGGCAAAAGTATTCTAATATTGTTGTTGTCTAATCTAAAACAAATATGTACTGTTTTGAATCACGTACAAACTGTAAATGTAGTCTATGTAGTAATATTATTTTTAATCAAAATAAAATATTTAAAATCATCAAAGATAATCAAACTTACTTCAAAGTATCGAGAGATAAAGTGATGCCGTTGAGTTCGTGAGCGGGAGGCACTTGTTTGATCAAGTTATTGGATAGATCCAAGTAGCGCAACTGACGCAGCGGTGATATCTCCTCGTAGGGGATTAAAGTTAGCTGATTGTTGCCCAGAAGTAGCTGAAGATGGAAAAATATGAGATTGAGTGCTTATAGAAGAAGAAAAGAAGACAATTTCGACTATTTATAAAAACAATCTGAACCTTATTCAATCTATTCATGCCATCTCGAAAAACGCCACTGTCGATGACAGACAAGTGGTTTCCTCGCAGGTCCAAAGTGTCCAGCATTGGTAATCCAGAAAAGGCATCAAGGGGTATACTCGCAATAGAATTGTCAGCTAGGATCAACGTATGCAGAGTATTCTCTAAACCTCGCCAGTTTTCTCCAGAGATATCCGTTATTTCATTGCCTGAAAGGTAATAAAGACGATTTAATTAATAAAAAAGAGCATATAAATGATAAAATATAGGATAATTAATATAATAAAAATTTATGAGGCCATGTTGGCCTAATGATGTTAGTCAAAAAAAATCAACATAACTTGGTAGATTAAACTCAAATAAAATACAAGAACAGAAGATTTGAACAATAACTCCGTAAGTGAAGACAGGGAATAAAGCCTTCGCGTAGCATAATTGAACGACGGTAGCTGACGTAATTAAGATTGAAGGTGAGATTTAATTGGGTCAGTAAAACGATCATAGGATGATTAAATAAAATGTTTATGAATAACTTTAATATAATTTATGAAAAGGACACATTCAAACTATAAAAAGGAAAACACTTTCATAAACAGTTTTAAACACGTTTAAATTTTATATTCATCCAATATTTTATATTTTATCAAACTACAAGTTAACAAACCCTTTGTATACAGTAAGGACAAACTTGTTGATGAAGTTGTGTATGTGAAAACTGTAATATTTTTTACATGTTACTTTTAATTTATATAGTGCTATATAAAGTAAAAATAGATTTTAGATTTAAAAATTTTAAATTGTTAGAGCAACAGTAAACGTAAGTTAAGTTCCCAGTCTTATGACTAAGTATAGACTGTTAGAGAGCTGTAAAATGTTACGCATGTTTTGTTACTAATTTAATAAAAATAGGTAAAGAAACTTTTTTTATAGTTAAACGGTTTTATATTAAACATACATTGCAATGTTTAAGATAAATGTGCTAAAAACCAAAAAATAATAAAGAAAAAATAAAACAAACGGGGTGAGCTAAAGAAAAACGGTTAAAAATATATAACTGTATGAAAAGTAAGTAATTGCACTTTAATGTTCAGTACACTTTGCACATCACCTCTTTACATAATAATGCTTGTACGAGTGGGTTGATGACATACAGCAATGGACTGAAAGATCGACTAAGCGACTTCCCCATTTTGTATCACTCGACCTATAAAGTGATGAAGCTTACACCACAAAATGTAAATATTCAGTGAAGACATTGTCTCAGTGCATTGCAATTTTCCAGCGATACTAAACGATACAGTCAATGTTTTCGTTCTTAGCTTAGCATGCATTTTATGTGTAACAGAAGCATTGCTAAATGTATAATCTTTTGCCACGAATATAACAATTTATGACGCATATATTTACTACAGTAGGAAAATATTGTGGTTTTAATATTGTGCTCACGTTTAATCCTAATAATATTTATTTAAATGAATTAACAATGAAAAAAATCTATAATTATATTATATATATCTAGTAAAACTATAATTAATAAGTGATTCTTTAGGTCTATTAGTTAAATATACTAGGTGATCAAAATAAAATAAATAAATAAACTTAAATATTATTTGATTTATAGTATAACTTAAAGACTTAATATCTTACTTTCTGAATCAATGGCGTAGAGAGTATCGAAGGAACTAAAAATATTGTGCCTTTTAATAGCAAAGTCCATTTAGGTTTTACTAACTCACCTGAAAGGTCCAGCAAGCGTAGTTTTTGCAGATACCTCAGCGCCCGGCTCGGCACTGCTGCTAGTTTGTCCTGCTTCAGTTCCAATTCCCATAACGTGTTGTCTAGACCGTAAAATGCCTCTTCGTGTATCGTCTCTAATGGATTTTCATTTATTGCCAGTCGGTAGAGTCCTGAAACAATAATTGGCTTGTTGACTGATACAACAGAAAAAAAATCAATATAAGTATAACGCCGAAGAATTAGTTTGTTCGTTAGGCTTTATATATCATACTGCGACCAATAGGAGTGAAGTAACAGTGGGAAATGCAAAAAAACGGGGAACGTTATTCATCTTTGTGCGAAAGAATGATTCCTCTTTAAATGGTCGTGAAAACATGTCCGCCTCAATGTGTATCTGCGTTATTGGGCATGTATCGTCCAATGGACTGTCTTAAAAGAATAACTAATAATATATGCTTTTTTTCTATTCACATGTCACATAAATTAAAAATCTATTTAGATTGAAGATTTGAGATTAATTTGCTAGCGGAACGACGGGACGCGAACGACGTCATGGGTAACATCTATAATTATTAAAGATGAGAAGGTTTACAAAAGCAAATTTTGACACATAAAATAACTATTCTACGCGGACGAAGCTGGCACAACGAATAAAGATGTAAAAAGAGATTACTTTTAAGGAATTAATAATCTTTCAACAAATTTGCAAAACACATATGTTAACTGCCAATTAACATTGCAAATCCCAAATTGATTAAAACATTAAACCTCGGAAACAATTCGTCCCAACATAGTGAATGAAGTTCCTGGTAAACTAATTTGCAAGAGACAACATCATTACGGACCACACAATGTTGATAAACTTGTTCGCAAACGGATAATTAACATAGCTACATATTATGTCAAGGTTTAACAATGGTTTAAATGTAATAATAACTAGCCACTAGACTTTATAACGCTGAAAATATGCAGTGTTAGCAAAACCCTTTCTAGGAGCAGTGCCAATGGAACTGATAGAAATAGATAGAGTTATATGCCTAACGGAATCATTCTCTCGTCCGCATATTTTGGTAAAGAATTTGTCACCTAAAACTATGCCAACAATGTTTCAGTTTCTCCTCGCATAAATTCGATTCATAAATTGGTTCTAGAAAAGCCTTCCAAAACTAAGAACGAGAATAATTACTGAATCGTTTGATTTTTCACATGCATTTTTTTTCTAAATTCACACAGACGGAGGGATCTCACCTGTGGCTTGAAAGAACTGTGGCTCCAAATCTCTGATCCTATTTCCAGTGAGCTGAAGCGTGAATACTTTGGAGTTGTTGACTGCAGCCGGAACCTTCAGGACTGGGACATGCTTACAAGTCACGATGCCCAGATCGCCAGCGGGCTTAGAACAGGTGCACAGGGCTTGGAAGAGACATGGTGGGTGCCCAGTGTCTACGTGCAGCTAAAATATATATCTGTCTGTAGTTTACGCGAGTCGTACATATTAAAATAAGACTTTAACCAGATTTAAGACTGTAAACGGTTTAAAACTCGTATATATTAGTTAAACTTATTTGATAATTAATTTAACTACGGCCCGACGTTTCGGATGCTGTTTTTTTTAAAATCAGTATTCCAAAATCGGTGTACCGGCAAACGCGACGACATTGTTAGTCAATTCTGCAAGGAACTGATGGCATTAGCGTAGCCGATTTACTTTGACATCAAAGACCCTGCATCCATAGTCTCCCCGTGAGCATGGCTGCTGCAAAGTATGCTTAACGTCGGGCCGTAGTTAAAATGATTATCAAATAAGTTTAACTACTATATATCGCGTTTTAAACCGTTAAAGTCTTTTATTGAAATCATTAAAATGTTACAAAGTCAGTTTTAGTAGAAGACTAACAAAAATGCTATGAATTGCGTTTGACAAGTTTAACAAACTGTAAAGCGAATTCAGTCGTTTATAGTGAATCATTCTGTAACAAAATGTTTACAACTTTTTAAAAATGGAATACCATTTATATATGGTCTGGAAATAGAAGTGGCGTGTTGATGATACTTTGTAAATTTGGTATAATTATAACATACCGAATTTCGTATTAAGCTAATTTGTTCGCATATTGCCTCTTAAGACTCCGCACTTATTCATTATGTATTATTTTGTCCTTAAGAGTGCTATTTCATAGTAACAAAATAAATACAAAAGGAATTCTCATAACCTCACTATCATGCTAAGCTGTTAGGGACCGTGGTCTTCTATTATTAATGTTCAAGGGGTAGAGGAATTTTCATTATACAAAGCGCCCATTCAAAAGAAGGACCCCGTGAAATTAAACTTGGCAAAAACCTGAATTGTGGATTCAATTGAAAATAGGCAAATTGGCAAAAAATTTGCGAGACTGATTTTTGATTCAACGAGACCTAATTTTCGTTTGATCATCGAACGATTTAGTAGTGACTTAGTGAGTGATGATAAAACTCTCGATTGAAAGCGAAATGCGAGCAATATTTTTAATTTCTCGAATTTTATCACTTGGTGGTAAAGAGTAGGGAATAAAAAGGATCTGAAGAGCAGACAATTTGGCAATGGTTAAAATTTAAAGGCTATCCAAGATTCTCGAAATAAGGACCCTTAAGCTGCTGGCAATTGCAGCAGTTAAATAATTATACTGTAATTTTAATAAATATTTTTGAAAGTACGAACTGATTTACATTAACGACGGGTAAGGGCTGTTAAATATTTTGAAGATTCTCAAAACTATAACGTTTACCAAGGCAGAGTTCAAATAAATGACGTTATACTTCAAGTGAAAAGAAGTCGGTAAATTTTAAAGGTAAATTAAAATATACAAATGAACGTACCTCCAGAGCTCCTGAGAGCGATGCCCATATCATTAACAGGAACGCAACTATAAGCATAGTATATCCCAATTTGATAATTGTCATTAGACCCTGAAACATAACAAAAACATTTTACTTCATGTTGATCGTCCGAGACCTAAAACACTTATGTATTTGGTATACCAATAGGGACACGGTTCAAGTTCTTTAATTACTACATATGTGTCTCACATAAAATATATATTTTTCAGGCTATATGTATATACAGGTTGGAAAAAGTGTGAATTGGAATAAATTAAAATTATAATTTATTCGTATTGGTAGGATATGACCACCTGCACTGTCCATTGCACTAAATTAACTATTTACGTGAACATTCATTATTTCCGACAACGCAGAGCCGATTACGTGCTTTGAATCAGTTCAAGGATAACAAGCGAAAAAGAGCTTTAATATAACGTAGTTGGGGTGGAAAATTCTGTTTCTCTTAAGTTTCATTGATTCTAAACGTTCAACTGTATTGTTGCGTTCGGTACAATAAATTCTCCATTCCCTTGGTACGTGGAAACAAACTTTACGAATGAATGATTTAATAAATCATTGAGAGAATTATTGCGATGTACGTATGCTGTGAGTGTTTGATATATTTCTTTATTGTAAGCACTTAGATGCTAAAACACTATCTGTAAAACTATAAATTCACACAAAACAAAGAAAATGTGCAAAACATTAAATTTCTCATTAAAAAAGAAAATCCATAACTGATTGCTAGAACTTAATTAGAACAGAATTAGCATTTAACTTAAGCCCGCTTTCGATTATTCAAGTTTAATTATAAGCGTAAGCTGAATAAAATGAAATTCAGTAAAACTTTTTTGTAATCAATGAAAGTTCGCTGAAAATGATTAAAACATTTCCGATTTTCCATCCGTGAAATGAATCGCAAAGTCAATGTTAAAGCACAAATTAAAAGTAACATCAAAAGGTTTTTCTAAGTGAGTTACTGATTAGGTATTTACGTGATTTTGAAGTTGGAATAATGTTTTTGGGCTAATTTACTTCTTCTCAATATATTTTAGGAATTCCAATACAAACTAAGTCTTTTTTACATACGTTAACTTAATAATATTAACTGCTGATTTTTACCTTTGAAAACAGAATGAAGTTAGTGAAACGGGCAAAAGTCTAAACTTCAAATTTCGTTTTTCAGCCTTCTTTCTAGCCTTTTTTTCAGACAAAAGAAGGCTATACCCAAATTAATTTATATTAATAACAAACCCCGAACATCAGATTAACGTGGTGAGCAACATTTTAAAAATTCATAATAAAGTTAACCCGCGGATGAAACAAAACAAATCGTAAGCTTTATTACAGTGGCCGTTCCGAGTAAAATTAACGAAGTACTTTGCCTAAAAAATTTTCTTAATAAAAGAAGGTTTTGTAGACGTCCTTATCCTTAATAAGCCGGTTACATTGTGCGAAGGATACTTTAATATTATAAGATTTCAATTTCTATGTAAGTATGTCAGTGATTAGATACAAGCTAACAGCAGACGAAATAAACAGTACTACATGTAGTTCGACATTACTTAAATGTTGTCAAATTAATTATAACTTGGCATAGTGTTTTGTTGATATACACCTAAACTCACCCAAGAAGCTTTACAAAATGTTATCTTCAGCCCTCTAATTTGAATTTATGCTTTGTATTTTCAACTAAAGCCCATATTTTTAGTAATGTTTTATCTATTTTTCAAAATATTTTTTTTGTACAATTTAGTCTTCACTTTGTCTTTGTATAGCTTTGCATGCTGTATCTGTATATAACTGTTTTAGACATTTGTGTATTTTTTACCAATTTTAAAGTAAAGTTGTATAATAAGTAATCGTGATAAAACCACGACAGACCTTAAATAAATAAAAAAATTAAGAAGATAGAAAAATCTAAATACATTAAAAATATAATATTCCTAAACTTGTAGTTCAATATTTCTTATCTTCTTAAAAGTGCACTTGATAATAAATATTATTTCAGTCGCCCTAATTCCTTGACGGCTTTTTCTCGTTTATATGGATAAGGTGATATTTGATTTCATACCACTTTAGACAAAGACACAGCACAGATTACGTCAGTATAACACAGCTGTAGCTAATACAATTCTCTTTGCAATAGGAAGCCCAGGTTAGTGTCGGTACATGGAGTAGGACGTCAAAGCAATTCCACGTACATTTCAATAACAGTAACGTTGAAATTACGATCGATACGGAAATGCAGGCGCATATATGTACGCTACACGTATAACAAACTCGTTGATCAATCAAAGTGTGAAAATCTATAACAGAGAACGGGATTCAAATTTCAGATTGCGTATTATTTTCCCTTTTAAACCTTTTTATACAACTTAGACCGGAAATTATTATTTTAGGATTGCGTGAGATCCGTTCTCGGTAAAATTAACATTATAATAAACAAGGAAATTGTATTGTAAACGGAGGAGCCTTACTAAATACAACCTTCACCTTTTATGTAGGACAACTATTAATTTTAGTTTTTATTTTGTTAATTATTATTTTGTGCAATAAATCAATAAATAAATAATTTGAGAGACAAATAGTCAAGATTCCAAAATAAAAATTTCCAGACCAAGTTGGCCTGGAAATTTTATATAATATAGATAAAACGCAGCTAAGTTTACCACTTTAAATCTAAGAATAACGTTGTAATCTATGTCGTATTTAAAAATAGGAACACTTACCATGATTTTGATTTAAGTGCACAATCGCATAAACCTACATCGGCGTGCGTCACTTTACACTTCGTTTCTACACACTAAACCAAACACATCATTCTACACAATAAACTAGTCTTAAAACTCTTGCCAATATATCTTCTTTCCGGTCTTGACCAATGTATCTGAAACGAGAAATGGTAATATAAATAAAAATACGATGACTAATAATCAATTATTAAGTGTGCATCATTAATTTGCAAATTTGGCTATTAAGGGCTTTGTAATATAACCCAAAATTACATTTATGTGACACTTACAGAAAAAGACATATTTCTGCATCTGTCGCTCGACATAACAATTTGCGAGGTTTCAAGCATTTCTCCTCGTAGAGGAGATTATGCTAGGCTTAGTATATATTTAAATAAAACACTTTAACGGTTTAAAACGCGATATATTAGTTAAACTTAAGTTTTAATTAAATTAAAGTTTTAGTTAAAGTGTTTTATTTAAATATGTACTACTCGCGTAAACTATAGACAGGCCTAGTATAGTCATACTAGGTTATGAAGAAATAAATATTAAATCAACTAAAGTTCTTTAAAAATCGATTATAAATTGAAAAAAATTACGACTCGGGCAGGACTCGAACCCGGCATCCACAGCGTTGCTCTGTTGCTCTAACTAATTGAGCCATCAAGTCCTACACGTCATCGTCGACTTTCTTTAACCTCTTGATACAAGCAACTCTCGCGCAATGTAATTTCAATTTAATAATCGATGTACAATGAATACAGTGCCATCATGTGAAAATAATATTAAAGTTTTAATTACTGTATTAAGAAGAAAAACCTAAACTTGAAGCGGAACGAAATGATGGAAACAGGAGAGAAATGGGAACTAACGCAGTTAATAGCGCTGTCGCTTACAAGCGTTTGCAAAATTAATGACCGCTTAATGTACTCACATTTATTTATTCTTTAACAAGTTACAATTTCAACGGTGGCCTCAATTTTTATTTTATAAATTATACTCAATTATTTTTAACTACAGTTTATTTATAGAATTATACTGATTTATTTATATATACATAATAAATAAAATTTTTATATATTCATGTCTTTGAACTGGAATACGCCTATGGTGTCAAAGGAGACGTTCGCGTTATAAATACTACATAGAAGTAGATTTTACGAAACATGTTTTTGAGTAAGAATGCAGTAAAACAATCATTTCCACTAACATTTTCTTGTCCACTAACTGACCTGGCAAACGGAAATATGAAGTATTTCGACTAAATTTGATTACCTCAAAAACGGTGTTTGTGAGTTAATCTTAATACATAGACCACAGGAAAAAAATATATAAATACATATTTTTACAGTATGCTTCAAGAACCATTTTCGCAGCGCAGTCAATAAAGTTTCTCGTTTTTTTTTCAAATTTATCATTGTTTTTTCGGCCCTATTGGTCGCAGCCTTATGTTTTATACCCTGAAACCTTGCTCGATAAATAGTCCAACAAAAAAATATTGAAACGAACCAGTAGTTACTGAGATTAGCGCGTTTTAACAAATAAACTCTTTAGATACATAATATTAGTATAGATAACATTTTTTTTAACAAAACTTAAGAATCAACTTTAAAATCACCTCGAGAACTTTTAATAATCGTAGGTGGGGTTTACAATATTCAAAGGAGCTTTGTTTCCCAGGAAGAAGTGGACACAAAGAAGCACTTGACAACAAGTGCCAACCGCCAGCGCCGCCTCGGAACTAGGTTTGCATTGCTCGTGTATTCTTGCCCTATAAAACTTGTCCTTTGTTTTAAGGACGCAATGAGAAAACTTGGGAAAATGTTCAGGCTAAGTTGTTGACTTTCCTCTACTTTTTCGGTTTATTTTCGGCATTCGAATGTCATTGTGAAAAGGGGCGCGTTTTAAGATTATGATAATAAGGTTAGTGGGACACCTATTATATTTTTGATAAATATTTATTACTTAATGTAATTAATCTACTGTATCTCCTCATATTTTAAAAGGTTTATTGTTCAAAAGTAAACGAATGCAGAATATGTTAAAGCTTTTCCTTAAAACAAATGAAAAACATAAAACTTAATTAAGTGTAATGTTATTTGAATTTCAGAGCACAAAATAAACGTGTTGGTAATATAAAACAACAATTCGGTATGTATCCGTAGCGAATACCTCTGATTTACTACATTAATGGATAAACTGAGATATATTTAAAATCTATGAAATAATAATTTCTTCCTATTCGTTATAAGCCCTTAATGACATAAAATATACCAACATGAGATATGAACCTCTCAACCTGAATATTCATCTTGGTAGAAAAATTTAATGAATCATGAGGATTACTGCCGAAGGGATAAAATGGACCACAGTATAGAGTCCCTAGCATATAAATATTGCCTTTAATTAATGTTTAAATATCATATATATTTTTCCTTATATCCAATAGTTAATAGCTTTATATATCTTAATATAGTTGGAATTATATTTTTGAATTTGAATTGTTTGAAAATCCACAGATAATAAAGTACAGATTAGACAAAAATTGATAGAAATATATTCATAATGCGAGTTGCGATAACGAAACTTACTGGTTCCCTAATACTTTACTTACTAAAGCGTTTAACTCCACTTTCCTTATGAATTATTAGGATTCTAGTTTCAATCATTACTACTACCAGCTAGCCTATAATAAAAGATTTGTCTAAGACAATTTTTTATGTAAAATTTAAGATATTCTGTTCGGTGTAGTATAGTGAGGTAACACGTACAATGTGACTCATTCATACAAATTACAAAGGTAATCATTCGTCAGATTAAGCTATGCTATGAGTAATCAGTGTGTTGTTGTTAAAATCAATGACATCCTAGTAAAGCGTGTTATATTGAAACCTGTTTTAAGAATTATTTATTAAACTTGAGCCGATAAGAATGTTATTCAACAAAACATCTATAATATATAATCATGATTTCATTATCTACGAACTCTACATTTATCTTTAGTCTTCTTCATTGTCAGGCCTGGGCATCGCCATTATATGTGCAGCGTATATGACACAAGTTGTCGATTTTTTTATTTAGGGTTTCCAGAACCGCCTCTATAGCCAAATGGTTAAACGTATTGCCTAGCATTGCGTTAAGCGCGAGAGGTCCTGGGTTCGAGTCCCAGGGAAACAAAAAATTGTTTCGGTCGGACAGGGCACAGAAGTCCGATCAACTACTTGCTTGTTAAAGAACGGATCAGTGAAACGGACACAGAAATGTGTTCGCCCCATGGCCCACGAGGGGGAAACGGGTTTTCAGAGAGCACGTTTATATGTTACGGCCTTAAAACATCCTTTTCACATCTTTTCCGATCAATGATCGAAAATAGGCATCGCTTAATATTTACGATAGGAAACTCTGCAATTTTGACGCTAATGCATTTTTGATTTCATTTGTGTATTTTATCGTCTACTCGAATAGAACGTGTTCGCAATGTTCGACTTTGTGGGAAAAAAATCTATTTTCCGTCCTTAGATAGACAAGGAATTTTCATTAGGGGATGAGATTATTCTAGAATGGAGCATTCCTTAGATTCGGCAGAACAAGTTTAGACAGACCAATAATACAGAAACAACAAACAAATACCAATTAATTAAACTTAAATAAAACACTTTAACGGTTTAAAACGCGATATATATTAGTTAAACTTATTAGAAATTAATAACTTATTTTAACTACGGCTCGACGTTTGGGATGATTTGCCTCCTGGGTGTTTCCGACGTTAAAGTAAAAACTGCTACGCTAGCGCCATCTGTTCCGTCAAAGTTGGCATTTGGCGAATAACAAACAATCTAGTAAAATAAATAGTCTCAAGTTATCGAATGTATAAATATACCGCGCATTGTAAATGTTGTTGAAGAAATTAGGTCAAAGAATTCGTTACCTTCGACCCGAACATTTATATTATAAAGTCTGTCCTTCATAATCCGGCGTGGTTCAGGTTCTTCCCAAGATATTCTGTTAAAGTTAAAATGATGTAAGAAATATATAAATATCGAAGGTGAATTGCTTTTCGAAAACATCTTGTATGATAAAATAGGTAAATCAAAACACAGTTTCACTAGATTCAACTATAATAATAATTATTATTATAGAATGAATTTGGAAAAGATCCTCCATATGCCAAGATGTAAACGAGAGAGAACTTCTAACCAAACTTAGAATTTGACCTTCCCGTAAACAAAACAAATAATAAAAAGTAATAGCAACTAACTACGCTTACGAAGCCAAGAATAAATAGTACGTGTATTTGATAATATCGCTTCGAGTGATTGAATTATAAACATTCAGACAAACGTGTAAAGTAGATCAAATATCGCTTTCCTTACCTTGACCTAAGTTTCAAGGTAAATCTAATTTTTCGCTACGATTGCTACTCTAAGTACGGCTCACTTTTTTTATTTCCACATATAAATTGTCATCAATCGACAGACTGAAACACTTTACAACTGTTTAAAAGGCAAAACGTTAATAGCAATGTATGGCTGATAATAATCAATTTAATTCAATTGTTTCTGAAACATGTTGGACTTTTCTGGGAATCTGGATATTATATGGGTAGGGTATTCAATTGTACCATCAAAATCCCGAACCTCGAACCACACAGATGAAAAAGCCGCGAATATTAATCGCGTTTCGGTTATAGTCCATCCGAAGCCAACAATCGGTTAGGTCGACGGCGCTTCAAATTTATGTAAGTACTAATGAAGTTCGATATTTGAATTGTTAATAATACTGAATACAGTTGAAATTGATATTTGATAATAATGTGTACCTTCACGACGAGTCGCTTCAAATTAATTTTACATTTTCAACTCAGAAGGGTTCAATAGGCTAACTTTTCATAAGGTAGACAAAATTTAATAAAAGCCCACTCGGATGATTTATAACTCGGCGATCCCTACATTTCACACAGGTAAGTACTTTCGAGAACCCCAATAAAACTTTTTATT